CCTCAGGACGTCCTCAGTATGCCTCCGTGAGGACAATATGACGCCCTCAGAATGTCCTCTTAAGGTACTAGAATGGCACTAATCCCGTGCTCTTGTCCATCCACATAACAACCTCAGCACATCCTCAAAACAACACTTCAGGATGTTTTGAGTATCTTTTCAGAACAACGATTGCGTGGCCGGTTCGGCACTGTGGGCCGTGATACTACTTAGGATTTACTTGTTTTCATGACATTTTCATACATAAAGAACACCTGCGAGGTCTCGTGTATATATACTTTATGAATCAACAGAGAGGTGACAAAACAAAGCTTGTTGACTGAAATTTATTTAACAGTAATTAATCACAACTGATGGTGTTGTAAGGCAATCGAGTCCACGTATAGTCTGAAAAAAGAAAAGTAATATCAAGGCAGTCAACACAGCTCAATCAAGCACGTTCCTAATCTTCCTCCAACGTTTGACACAGTGTCTTCATCACCACTTGTACTGTGCCCAGTGCACTCCCTAGTGTTAGAGGCTCCGCTATGACAGCCTACCAGTACACTCGGCATGGACTTTGACTTGACTTGCCTGAGGTCGGGCCATGTGTCAGATGCAGAAGTCGATCCTCTCACGTTGGGACCAGGCTGCTTCGAAGCACAATTGATCGCGATTGGCTGGTGTTCCAGGCTGCTTAGAACCACACCTCAAGGCGGTCGGCTAGTGACAATACATCCATGATCAGTCTGAACGTCGACCAACCCAGTGCACCCATCAACACGGCAATTTACCTCCCGCCATCACCAACGACTTACACTCTCACACATATCTCACTCTTAATTATGCACCCAAGCAACAAAAGACACAAACCTTCACTAGTACACGGCACCTACCCTCACAGACCCCATTTTGAGTCAGTTGGCTTGGAATGGCTTGGCTACTTGACTATCCACAATGGTGCCGCATGGTCATTGGTTGTCAGCTGCTAGTTTGTTATTACGCGCTACAGCGGCGTATGACTAATTTAAGGCTGTGACATGACATTTAAGAACACATTGTTTCAAATGTACATTCTGCAATGCCAGGTTCAATACCAAAGCCAATTAATTATGCATGTCTCATTAGGTGGAACGCGCAATTTGAAAAGTTTCTGTCAAAATTGAAAGAAAAAACGATGCAAAAATATACAGTAACTTTATGACTGTGTGAAACAAATGTGTGGAGAAAGTTTTCACACATGAAATGCATCTACTTGGTGCGCAAAAGTTTTGAGGAAATATATCTAAGTGCTCAGTGCAATGCTTTTGTCATCCCCAAAATATCCTTGACAGGACCTTTTCCGGACAAATTGTTGTCCCCAGAAAGCACTCGAAAAGACGTTTCCGGGTCAAAGTAGCTTGTGTCGTTCTCAGTAAGTACTAAGGTCAATGAGAATTGTGCGAGCACGATTGTACCATGTGAGGATGACCTCACGACATTGAGCGTTGTTTGGGAAACCGCTCTCAAAAGCGTAATATAATGCTTCTTTCCACCACCGCATCAGGGCCGGGCCGCCTACGGAAATGTCACGCCTAACCGCAGGCCGTATCTTGCGAGGAAAACTGTGACCTATAATAACGGCTAATATTTGTCCCGACTATTCTGAAGGACACTCCTAATCTGGCCGGTTTCTCTGAGACACGGCTATGAAGCCGCATAGAAGCGGCGATAACTTGACTTGAATTCCTGTCTGCGGGCGTCGAGTCTAGCCAGGATTTGACTAAGAGTGTCAAGCCTCAAGAGAATTTAAAAGTCTTACAGACGATAGCGTGCGTGACATCTTTTGTCGCGGACCGAGAGCCAATGGTTCGACTCCCCTGTCGGAATTTTCTTCGCCATCTCATCGTGCGCATTTGCGACGTCATTTCTGTGACGAAAATACGTGACTGAAGTATTGGTGCAATCCGTAAATAGACGCTCGCGTCAATAAAAATGAATATATGACATATCAGGTGAACGTTACCGGCTTTTTGGGGCTCCACCAAGGTATAAAAAATGCGAAGCCTTAGAGAATATTTTTAGAAGAAAATACTTTAAGTGGGGGATTGGGCAAGAACCACGAGACATATTTTTGACGAATGTCAAGGTCTCGCTCCATTCATAAAGAAAATATTAAATATTATGATATTAGGCTTCAGTGACAGTTTTGGGAACATAGATTAATCTGCATTGAGGACCTGTGAGAGAGGGCAGGAATATTGGTAGTAGAAAGCACAGCCATTGAAAAGGATGAAAACAGAGGCACTGCGATAATAGTGAGAATTTAGAGGTGGAAGGTTGGAATCAATTTGCTAGCACAAACTGCAGATCATACAGAAGACTTGGAGAGAGCTTTGTTGTACTAGTCGTAGCATGGTTCAAAGGGAATGCTGCTCTTATCTATCGTCACCATGATCAGCTTGATTTTGCTCACTTAAGGACAGAGGCCTCTCCCATGTACCGCTAGTCAACTTGGTCCAGTGCTTGCTGTTGCTACTTTATACTCACAAACTTTCTAATCTCATCTGTCCATGTAGCAAACTTTCTGTCTGCCTCTCGTCCACTTGCCTTCTTCTGGAATCCAGTCGGTGATTTTTAATGACCCGGATATTTAGCCTTTGGGCTACGTGCCCTGCCATATTTTGTTCTTGATTTCAACGATGATGCCTTTTGCACTCGTTTGTTCTCTGACATACTCTGCTCTCTTCTTGTCTTTTAGGCATACACCTATCATTTTCCTTTCCATTGCTCGCTGTGTCGTCCTCAACTTAAGTTGAAACCTCTTTGTAATCCTCCAGGTTTCTGCTCCGTAGTTATGTACTGGTGACGTGCAGCTGTTGTATATCTTCCTGTTGAGGGATAATGGCAATCTACCATTCATGATTTGAGAAAGTTTGCCAAATGTGCTCCACCCCATCCTTATTCTTCTAGGTACTTAAATCTCATGATTTGGCTCCATGGTTACTATCTGTCCTAAGTACACTTACTTTTTTACAACTTCAAGTTCACTGCTACCAATCTTGGAGTGCTGCTCTCTTGCGAGGTTGTTGAAAATTACTCTTGTTTTCTGCAGAATAATTTTAAGACCTACTTTTTGGACCTCCTCTTCTAGTTCAGTAATCATAAATTTCAATTTGACAGCGATAGCGTAATGGTTAGAGTATAAGCCTCGCGTTCAAGAGGTCCGGGGCTGGAATCCTGGTGCCACGCAATTCCTTACTGGTAAAATAACGTTATTCGCATGATGATGAAATTGCACTAAAAGGCCTGGGGTGCGGCCTCACCGGTAACCACCGCCGGTAACCCACTTGCTCACCAGAGAAGAATTGACTACCCCCGTGCGGTATCTGGCCAATACTTTGCACATGGATACGCCAAATAACCCTCCGCTCTTAGTCCCCGGCCGCTGCAAAGCAACTGACCAAGGCGCCAGACAGATCTGAGACGCTACAGATGGTGCTAAGAATCTCTTGGTCCGGATAGGCTGCCATTTGAACCTGAACTTGGCATCGTTTAACGCTAGAATCTTGTCTATTGAGGCAAATCTGGCTCTGCTATTCGAGGAACTAGGGGTTGTTTAATGGCATGTAATAAGGCTCAGTGCGGTTGGGAGGACAGAAGATTTGTAGGATTTGAGGATTTTGTAGCACTGGTGGCCTCTCCAGTGCTACAAAATGGGCATGTCCTTCGCTCTCGTGGTTGGCTGACAGAAGAGAACTGAGAGTCGGGTTCCTTATCCACAAAAATATAGCTTGTAACATACAGGAATACCATTACAATAATGAAAGGGTGGCAAGTATTGTAATTAAACTCGACAAATACGAGATGAAGGTGGTGCAGGCCTGCGCGCCTACATCCAGTCATGATTAGGTATAACTTGAAAGCTTCTATGAAGATGTGGAATCAGCAATGAGTCAGGTAAAGACACAGTATGCTATACCGACGGGTGACTTCAATGCTAAGGCGGGATCGTGTTCCGGCTGCGGCAGCTGTATTTTCCGTGGGGGGGGGGGATGCTGTAGGCTCATGTTCTTAGATTCGGGTACACGTTAAAGGACCCCAGGTGGTCTAGATTCCGTAGCCCTCCACTGCAGCTCTATCATAATCATATGGAGGTTTTGGGACGTTAAACCCCCATATCATAATAATATCACTTAAATATAAACGTGGGGAATGAGCGGGCTGCAGACTAGGAAGTAGGGAATTTCGGCATCGACACTAGAAATGCCAGAGGCGAGTAATTAGTAGAGTTCACTTAACGCAATTATTTACGGATCTTGAATACCTTCTTCAAAAAGAAGTGAACATTGAGGAGCCGTAATGGTGAAAGTAAGAACGAAATAGACTTTACAGTTAGTGCACACCCAGGCATCGTGCAGGATGTGGAAGTGCTTGGCAAGATACGATGTAAAGACCGTACATTGGCAAGGTCTAGAATTCACCTATACTTGAAGAAGGAACGACAGAAACTGACACGCAAGAAACAAGTCGATGAGCTAGTGGTGAGAGAGAAAATACAGGAATTCAGATTCTCACTCCAGAACAAATACTCGGCTATGATGAAGGAAATCGGCCTTGGCGTTGATGCATTAAAACATAATATGACGAGTATCATTCCGAAGTTTGCAGTCAAATTTGAAAGTAAGGTAGTTAGACGAGACAGTAGCAAGCTGTCCCAGGAGATCAAGTACCTCATTAAGAAATTCAAAGCATGAAAGCCTCAAACATGTAATTATAGGTCGCGTCTAAGTAAAATCATTCTGATCAGCTCATTGACACAGTGTTCATATTGTACGCCTTTCACTGCCCGTGATATCATGCCGCGATAACAAGAGTTGCTTACTCGAGAAAGTAAAGCCGTACACGTTGGCAGGCAGATAGCGTGAAGCGATACGCTTGTAGGGGCTAGCGTTCCCTTGCTAATACCGTCTTTCTTTTTGGCCCTGTGGTGCTTTCGTAGATGTAGTGATTGATTGGCGATTCTCCTTTCTTTATCACAGAATTGTCGCACAGCGTTCTCCAAGCAATGGCTACCTTCTTAGGAAGTTGTCGGGAGCTGTTACTAGAGCTGGTTTTGTACTTGTGGTGGACTGCGACCCGGCTGGTGTTTGCCTTGTGGTGGTTCTGGCAAAGGCCTCGTCCAGTTGCACCTATCACCGACAAGCTTCTGCTGCGTTCTGCTACATCTCTTGCTGCCGACATCAGAAATGGCAAGGTAACATTGCTCTTCACCCAGATTTGGCTCGAAAATTGTTCTTAGCCCGAATATTCACACAGTCAGCAAATGAGCTGTATGTGATCAATGCAGGAATTTTCAGCTTGGTGGGTGACATGCGCGACTTTGACTGCCTTCGCTCACTTGCAGCCAGGCGTTGAAATATGAGCAAATAGAAACACCATGGCAATTACACGTAAATAAAACTGCGCCAAGGTGGCATAAAGTACTTTGCCAGTGAAGAGGCGACCACAAGGTTGTTCCGTTTGTTCAGGCGTAGGCAACCTGTGGCTCGCAGGGCACTGATTATGGGGCCTCCGACGCAACGCAAGAAACCCCTTCCCCATCCCCTAACTATCCAGTGAACACCTTCCCGACATTCTTGAGTCTGTCCGTGAGCAACTTTGATAGAGAAATGGCCAAGTAGGCTGAGAATGTTAAGCAGAAAGTAGCTTTGAAAGTGCTTTTTTTAATCGCTGCTAATCCTTGTGGATAAATTGCAACCTTGTTTGCTGCATGATTCCCACAGATACGATCTGATTGCTAGACAGGCTTATCACATAGTTTTTGTATTTCGCAAATTTTTTTCTTTGCCCAATCAGTACCCCTCCCCCCTTTTCACCCGCCCATTATTTGCCGTTCAGCTGTTTCACCTTTCGACACCACGAACTCGGCTCTCTGCATCACAAGGTTGCCAACTGCAGCGTTTGTACATATCGTTTTTATGGGCTTATACCTAGCAGATGTACAATTCATCAGCCCTCGCCTAAATGTCATCAAAGATATTACTGTGCTTGAGTGGGCGTCACTGGCACTTCGTCTCCAGTAATCAATATCAAAACCACGCTACCCGGCATCATGGTTTGATGTTATGCCACGGCAGAAAATGTGCTATGTTGCTATTGTACGACGTAACCAATGTTGTGTTGTGTAGGATTTGTGCACAGAACTGTGCACTGGAGTTGATGTGGCGTGCGCGGCACATACACTGTGTTGCCTCTCCAATTTGAGGAATGGCAGCTTTTTAAATATTACCTTCCGAAAGTGGCGTTGACTGTGCAAAAAGTGAGTCCCTACCTCCCGAATAAAAAAATATTTTTTTCGTCTTGCTGGACAGTGGGATAACTGTTGCGTAAGTATTAAAGCAGGAATATTACATTTGCAAGCCAATTAAAGTCGCCTATGTAATATATATATATGACCATAATTGTTCATGGAAACAATAACCCCTTCAGACATGAATGAATAAATGTTATGGATAAAAGTTTTTTTCTTTCTTTTCTGTCATCTATGACCTTAGTTAATAAATTAAACACATCAAAAAATTCTACATACCTCTGGTTTAGTTTTAGGTCGCGTGCACTTTGTGTACATCGTGCCCCACCCAGTACAAACCCACCACATTTGCTGGTAATTGCAAAATAGAAAATGGTTTATTTACACACAAGCCAACGTTATTCTGGCATTTTACATACTGTGTTTTTCATGCAAACCGTGCTTTCGATCCCTCATTTGTTATGAAAAGCATAAAAACAATTCTTGGTGGCAGAAAGACAAAGGAACACATTGCACTTTTGGCAGCGGATGCGCGTTCTAGATGTGCAGCCTTCAAACTTGCAACGCTGAGCAAACGGTTGTGCTGAGTGGGCTGGCCAGTGGCTTAGGCCATCATAGCGAACAGAGGTGACTGGCCTTGGCTCCGCGTTGTGTACTTTGCGGGGAGGAAGTTCAGTCGGCTCCTGGAGGCTTGGGCGGCCCCGTTTCTTCGCAATGTTCTTGCTGCACATGATGAGTGCCATGGCAACTTCATTCTGGAATGCCAGCAAATCCAGAGTGTTCTTACGCTGCATTCGGTTCGCTTCCGCATGTTTCACGTATTCGAGCCAGCTGTTCACTATGGCAAAAGAGACAAAGTGGCATATGACCCGCACTGGCCATTTCTTGGTTCTTTGGCGGAGAGGGTACAGCGAGAGGAGAAAATCCATTTTGTCCACGCCTCCCATAAAGGCGTTGTAGTCCTTTATGAGAGCAGGGCATAGGATGTCGACGTGCTGTTTTGTGGCCTCGCTCCACCTCCTTGCAGTGGACAGGTCATCCACGCCCACGTAGCTTGAAGCGACGTTTACGACTCCGTTGTCTTGCCACCGTACCAGAATGACGTCTCCGTTTTTTGTGACTTTCTGGTCGTAGCTTCCTCTGCCTTCGCGTCTCAGCTCCTTGTCAGTCTTCAAGACGAAGCGTTGTAGTCGATTGGCGCGGATTGTTCCGACTGCCCAGATCCCTATGAACTTCAGTTCTTGCAGAAGACCTACGGATGTAAAGTAGTTATCGAAATAACATTTCAAATTTCGATACAAGGGCAAGTCTTTAACAAGCCTCATCACGATTGAGCCACCCAAGCCAAGGCTCTTGTGCTCCTCGGACACACCAGTTCCTTTTCCTTGGTACAGTTCAAAGTCATGGGACATGCCCTCTGCACTACAACGAAGGAACACCTTTACTCCCTCTGGGTTGGGTTTGTTCCTGATGAACTGTTTCGCCGCTACCCTGCCTGTAAACGGGATGATTTGCTCATCAATGCTGTTGTGCTCCGAAGGTGGCAACTGTAAAACACGTTCTTTGACAGCGTTTAGGAGTGGTCGCACTTTCCAAAATTTGTCAGCTGGTGAGTGTGGTGTTGTTGACTCAGTGACGTGTAGGGCGGACCTGAGCTTGAAAAATCTATTCACGCTCATCGCTTCACAAATCGTAGGAATCTGTGTCGCTGGTTGCCAATACATGCGCATGCGCGGAAACTTCAGGGTTCCCATTATAATCAGAACACCAAGGAACCTTTTTATCTCATCTGAAGTAGTCGCGAGAATCGTTCCTGTCGTTTCCATGACATAAATGTTTGTGGATCTTGCCATTTCTTCAAACACTTCCTCAGAAATGTACTTCAGAAAGTACTCAATGGGTTCGGCGACTGCAACAGGGTCATCGTACTCGCACTGGAATGTGGTGTCTGGCCGCACGAAGTGTCCTTCGCGGTCCACAAAACTCTAGTTTTCGCAGTGGACTCTCCATCGTTGTTGTCGTTTTCGTCCACCGGTGATGAAGGCCCGGCCGCAACATCTGGTTGGTTGTCCTGCGTTTTAAGTATATACTTCTATATCACGAAAATTGGTTTGCAAGCACGAAGAAAATGGAATAACTGCTTACAGTTTGAGTCGGCTGCTGGTCGCCTTCCTCGTCGTCTGACAAACTGATGTCTGACGTATTCCCATCCGCTATTCTCATTAGCAGATTTTCAGCTGCTTTGTTTTTTATTCTCGTGCGATTCTTCGCATGGTCCGCCAGCTCTAAGTATAAAAAAGCAAAATAATAGCCGTTTTGAGCACTTCTGCAGCACCACTAGCGAAATGGCAAGAAATGTAGTGTTGTATTGGAAGCGGCACAATGTAAACAAATGTGTACGCATAAAGTCAACTCCTCTTATCGCGACGAATTCGTTGTCCCAAAAGCTGATATTCAGTCAAGTTGTTAATAAACTTCTTCGAACCAGCTACCAACCATGCACAATAATTGGAAGATTGTGCCATTAGGTGAAAATTGTGTTTTTGTAACCCTCTTACCAGAGCTGCCGTAGAACGAAGCGACATCCATTGCGGAACTTCTTCCTCCTTGTTTGTTTTCAATTCTTTCGGTTAGATGGCGCCACATGCTGGTTCTCAAACTTGACGCAGACGTGTGGCGCGCAATTCGAAGTCGCCAAAATGGCTGGCGGCCGCAAAAAAATTCTGAAACTTTGCGTACACATTTGTGTACGCCGTGTCTGAAGGGGATAAACCTCATTCACGCCATAGGCATGAGCTGGCGCGCAGTTTTAATTAATAGGGTGTGGTGTCTTTTTCATCGATAACCCCTTAGCCTATCCAAGGGCTTCGTGTGACTCTTAAAGAAAGCAAGAAAAACCGCGATTGATCAGTGTCCACTTGCAATTGAGCGAACATCGTGCAGACACAGCGACTGAATTATCAATAGCAGTGGCAGCAGTAATTTTTCAATGCGACAAGCTACAACTTTGATGAAATCAAGACTCTCATACGTCAGTAAAAATGCTTGTCTTAGTGAGGTGGGAAAAAATGAGAATGATATCTCTCCTGCGTAATATACTCCAGCAGCTAGGTATGACCTAGTCTTGCATAATTGGCACCTATACATTCGATTCCGATCCATTGCAGGGAATTAGAACTGGCCAGAATTTTATTCCTTTCAATTCCTGAAAACAAAACCTTTGTGCATTCCCACTCTGAAAATGGCCGCGCAGTTCAATTCTATTCCTCTAACTATTTAACGTAGGAAATGCATCTGGATAGTTTTATCGAGTTAAGAATGAACGGGCCATAACGCTGACGCCATAAGATGGATTAATAACTGCAAAGTTACGCAAAACACCTCAGCAAGGTTCAGGGATAGTAGCTTGGAGACAAATCCCATGCAAATCACGTATAGTACAACCACTCTACGAATTCTCATAAGAGCAGTTCTCCCACTACCTACATTATTTGAATGGTCAGCTTGTTTGAATGAATGGTGTCGTTTTATTGTCGTTTAATTTTATGATTGCGTTAATTGCAAAGTTATGACTTAACGTATTTTTATGCTGGCCAGAGTAGTGTTGAAGAAGGCTAAGCGACTTTGCCACTCCTGTGCGGAGAAAGCTAAGATTTGGGTAATGGGAAACAAAACCCTCTAGATCTGCTGGTATAATTTCGAACAATGCATCACTGAGGCCCCTTGTGCATTCGCATCGAATAAGCTACTCCAGGTCGCACTACTCGTCAGCACGCACGTTTGTCAAGTGCGTCTCGCAGGCATGAATCGGGTGAGAACTTTCTGAGTTCGCCTATGCGCAGGTACGCAGCGTCTTTCTTGTTGCAAGAGTTGTTATACGTGTGTCACGCATAGGTCGGTAAAACGGGTCGAGCTTACTCAGGCTCATTCATGAAATTCATTTCGAGGGATCTCCCAGATATGTGCAGCAGTGGTCACTCACAGCTTTCTGCTCTTAGAAGAAGCCACCCACCTTTATTTTTTAGGGGCGAAGCTCCTTAAGGCGTGGGTGTGTCCGTCCCTTGTATGTATGTAGTAGTACGTAACCACTGGTGGCACATACCCGCTCAAGAGCGGGTATGTGCCACAGGGGATGCGAGATGGAAGATGGCGGTACTTGGAGTGTTCACTAGATGCCACGCATGGACGGACGGACAGACAGACTAGCAGATGAATGGATGGATGGATGAATAGACGCGCGGATGTATGAATGGACGGATGCACGAACAGACAGACAGACAGACAGACAGACAGACAGACAGACAGACAGACAGACAGACAGACAGAAGGATGGACGGACTTACGATGGACGCACGGACAGACGGACGGACGCATGGATTGACGCATGATTGTTCGCGCGGACGGACGGAAGCAAGAATGAACGGACGGACGGAATTACGGATAATCTGACGGGCGCTTCGCCCCACTGATCGTCATTCACTCCGTGGATATGCCGTGGTGCATCAATTGCCCACTATTGATTCTCTGGCAGTCCCTATGTCATAAAAAGTGCCCAGGCGTTATCGTTATTTTTAAATGCTGCAGTAAAAGTCTCAAAAAATGCGATCCGCAAAAAGGAGCTTTATTTTGGGTTTAGTCATCTAAATTTTGTAACGAAATGTTATAAGTGGGCACGTCACTGTTCTGTTTTTCAAACCCGAAGTTTGAATGACGGTTGTTTCAATGGTGGTAAAAAGGGGGGAACGAGGTGGGGGTGTACAGCTGACTTAGTTCTACACGATGAATACCGACGGCATAGAACTGTGGTTACGCATAGGATAGAAACAAACTTTGGAGCAACACAGTCTATCTAGGAAAGCATTGCTTATAAATGTACTGTGCTTGTAATCAGCCAAGCTATCTTAAAAATACTGCTTTATTGTTAAATTAAAGGTTCTCACTAACTTATGCTTCAAGTTTGAAGAACAGTGCATTGATCAAATTGTGCTTTATTTTTGAAGAAAAAAACGCCATAGCATTCCTTTTGCATTCCGCGAAAAAGCTGCATAATTCTTGCCACATTCCGTTCCTCGAAAAGGTGTCCCCATTCTACTCCCATTGTATTCCAGGGTCGCCAAAAAATGTGGAATGGTTCTGAAGTAATTCCAATTTCGGAGTGGCATTCCACTAGAACTTTTCGATGCGCGTTTCCGAAACTGCCTGATGTACAAGTACAGAAAGTTGAGCTTGTGGGTAGGAATGCACGATGACAAAAGTAAGCGTCGCAGACACAGATGGAAGACATCGATAGAGTTCTGATTTCTTGTGTTTGTGCCTGCAGGTTAATTTATTTTATTTGCCTGATAGAGTAGTGTTGCTCTGAAAATAATTACTATATCATACGAACACATGCAAGCGGAGGACAGCGGTCACGATGACGTGCCTTGGGAGGGAGCAGTGTGTTAAAAAAGTTGCAAACAATTTAGAGTACTTGATACTATACTCTGGGAAAGCTTGGAGGCATCCCTCTCTTAAGTTACAGAAGAAATAGACACAGTTAGGACTCTTACTTCACCCTTTTCAACCGCTCTGACCATGCTCACTTCCTGCTCACGTGTGATGCATTTTTTCGCTAAATGCAAATTCACCCGGTTTCCATGTGCCTCAGTCGCTCCAATCACCCTTACCCACCCAAAGGAACAAAATCCGCATACATTGCTGGTCTTTATATTAACTTTCTTGGTTTGCTTGCTTTTCTGTATAATTTATCACTTTTACTCTCACCATTTGACCATATTGTGAATAGCCTCCTGCCTCGCTTTCGAAGTCTATGGTTTCAGGGGCAGTAACGAGGGGGGAGTTGAAAGTGTTCTGACTCTCCCAAAATATTTTTTATGCTATAACTTTTCGCATAATACTTAAGTATTTACACCCTTCCACATTGATAAACACTTGGCAAAGTTAGCCGATCCTCAAAAGCAACCCTAGAAAAAAATTTCTGTGAACAGCTCTGCAGGGTTCTTCTCGAAATTGCGCTTAGTGAACACTGACCCAGGACAAATGAAATAACGTAGGAGACAGGAGGGCAATGCCTGATGTTCACTTAAGTCCTGTATTTTATTCCTGCTGTGTCTCTGTCAACTAAGCAAACATTTGAAGATGAATAAACAGCAGCTAGCCTGTCTTATAGTTATCCTTAGAACAGGGTAACAAAACAAGAAATAGGAAAATACACATTATGCACCATGTCCTTGTTTGCTGTGGGGTATTTGCGTTTATTATGTGCTACCGCTATGCATAAGTTTCACCCCTTCATACATTCTTTGCATGTCCCTGTCTTTTTCGACATCACTTTATATTTTTTGCCTTGGTGTGATTTTGGGAGAGGGATCAAGGCGTGCTCATAGAACGTGCCGAAAAACGCAGAAACTTCACACCTTGAAGAATAAAAGTCCACCTGTCAAAACGGTGGCTCCAGCGACGCGTCTGTTTGAAAAATGTTTCCTATGTTCAAGTTTTTTTATCCCAATCGTGTAGCTTTGTAGGAACCAAGAAATAGGTGACGCAATCATCACTTCTCTTTTTTTTCTGATTCTTGCAGGTGCGAAGTGTCGACGTTGTCTCCACCTACATCCGACGCATCCGGGAGGTGCAGCCCATCATCAACGCTGTCGTCGAGGAGAGATTCGCTGAGGCTCTTAAAGATGCCGAGGAGGTCGACACACTGGTGGCATCGGGAATCATGAGCCCTAGTCAAATGGCCGAAGAGAAGCCTCTGCTGGGGCTGCCGTTCACTTCCAAGAACAGCATAGCGATCAAAGGTTACCAACTGGTGGCCGACGCGCGACGCATAAAATTTGCAGTTTTGAAGAGACCAGAAAGAGGAACGTTAAGCTGAGGCAAACTGGTAGATGAGAGACGTGGTGTACTATCTCTGGAAGTTAGACATTTTCTAGGAAGGTTGAGTAAATATGGGCAGTTGACAGAGCAACATCAAAATTCCCACACTGATATAACGCTAACGATCTTCATTAACCAACTAACCTGCCACCCATTTCTTCCTAGGCAATCAGAGTATGTGTCTACAACTCCCAGTGGACCACCATTCACGATTACTTCCCAGTATCCAAGAGATATGCAAAGGCTTCACAGCATAGGCTTGTGGCCGAGTGGAGCGCTACTGGTGTGATCATGTAGACATTGCACTTTGCTAGAGTAACGACTGTCTAACTAGATGTAACCTATTCATATTAAAAAAACGTGCAAATGCTGACAAAATAGAGAAGTGAGACATGCCTGGTCGACGTTTGTCACGTCTTCACTTCTCTCAGCTCTGCGTGATCGCACGCCATGTCTATTAAGATGAATTCTTTCCAAAAACCTAATTCATTTGCTGCACAATTTTCTGGCTTACACATTGTGCCATGGTTTCACTTCATACAGTGCAGAGATTGTCCACGCCTGTGAGTTGACAGTGAGAGCAAAGTGCATTGTGCTCAGCATTATTTGTATAGGTGTTGGAATATCGTCTCGTCAGAACGCTATACCTTACCGCTGCTTTAACGCGTGACACTGTTAACACTGGAATGTCAGCTGTGTTTCTTTGACAGGTATGCGACAGGACGCAGGCTCTCTATTCTGGTACGGGCGGCGTGCTGTAGAGGATGCTCCTGCTGTAGCACTCCTCAGGGCAGCCGGTGCCATCCCGCTGGCGCTGACGAACGTACCCGAGATGTGCATGTGGGGCGACTCGCACAATTTGGTGGACGGCGCCACACTCAACTCGCACGACACACGTCGTAGTCCCGGAGGGAGCAGTGGTACGTGATTTATACAAATTTTCTGGGGCATCCTTGTTTGTGTCTCGGGTCTTTTGCGAAGCTCTCAGGCTGTTTGCCACATGACATGCTGTCGCGTGGCTCCCTTTTCCTTTCTTTTTCATGTCACCCTCTGCAGCAGCTTAGCAGGATGAGATGCCATGCTGCTAGAGCAGAGCATATATTAATGCGTCTTCCCAGTGGTGCCGAACAAATTTAAAAGAGCACTTTCTACAAAGACGTGTAGTGGACTATTTGCTGATGCGCTAAAGGAATAATTATGACGTAGTGGCCACTTTGCAACCATGCTTGCAGTGGACATTCAGTGATAATATGGAACAGCCAATGTTATGCACACGGTGATTCGTTTCCTTACAAAATGGTTAAGGCATGCTCCGAGAACAGAAGAAGGCTAGCTTTTCAAAAGGCGATACGCCCGAGGCCCGATTACGCCATCGCAAAGGCGAACCTCGATGTTTTTTTTTTGTCCATCTAACTGACACTGCGGGGTTATGGTACACCCTCTTCCTCTCTGTGCCTTTTTTATGTCTTCTTCTCTTTCTATCCGCGCTACTCGTGGTTTTTGCTTTCACTTGTCTGTGAATGTTTTTTAAAGACGATACCTTTGAAAAACCCTTGAAAAAAAGATTTGGTCAGTCTGTCTGTACATTTGTCTGTTTGTCTACTCTTAACAGCACTGGGTACTTATAACGGCTGACCCCATCCGTAGCACCCACCAATGTTGTTCAAGGTTTAGCGTTCATACTTGTGCAATTGTCAAATAAAAAGCAAATACTGCGCATGTCTGGGTTATCATTACAACACGTATATATTCTGCATCTGCGTCTTTTACTAGAAAAGGCATACATGAGAAATTTTAAGGACCGTAGAGTTTATCACGCTGCGCTGACCATGCAACACTTGCACGAAAAGGCGAGTGTTTCCAACGCTTTGCTAAGACGAGACGGTGGTGGCACCTACCCGTTGCCTTGCGTTCTACACCTTATCATCTCTGAGACGGGCGTGCACACTCGTCTCAGAGCAACGCGCTGCGTTTTCCAAGAAAACTGCCAGATGGCACTTACATTTCACGTGTGACGTGACTTGATGCGCTAGTTCGCCTCTGCTGCACGCTCGACTAGGCACTATAATGTAGCGCCTCTAGAATAACATTCACCAATTTTATTTCGCAGAACATCAAATAAATGTTTTGTTCACCATCTCCACATGCAAGACTATCGTCTTTTGAGGAGTTTTGCAGATTACATGCAGACACAGGGCCAATTAATTTTTTACTTCTTTCCATCTCTCTCTATTTGCCTACTCCAGCGCATTATCTTTCAACCAATTGTCTGTCTTTGTTTCTCCCTTCCTCTCACCTTTTAAATATGTCTTCCCCTCTCGTCTACACTTACTTTCCTTTCTCTCTCCCTGCACTCATTCTCTGGTCCATCAAAGCTATTGCGTCTCACGCCAGACAAATCGGCGCGGGTGTTTCGGGAGCGAAGTAGAAGATGAAGAAGAGGTCCATTTTATCTCTTTTGATGATGATGTTGACCTCATAGGCATGACACTCACCCACAAACGGGGATTGGCCTAGAACCGGGTGGCACGATGCTTAAAGTAGTAGACTGTGAAACTCAAATCAATCTGTAAAATTCGTTTACAGATAGAACTTCGAATAAGTAAATGAAAATGCTTACTCTGCAAGTAGTCAGACCATCTCTGTTTCTTGTTTGAAATAACGACGCATTACAAACTAAGACTCTGAGTCAGTAAGGATAGACTAACATGGTAATCCTTCTGTTGCTTTGATGTACTCATACATAGTAGAGCGCCCCACCGTGGTGGTCTAGTGGCGAAGGTACTCGGCTGCTGACCTGCACGTCGCGGGATTGAATTTCAGCTATGGCGGCTGCATTTCAGATGGAGGTCGAAATGTTGTAGGCCCGTGTGCTCAGATTTAGGTGCACGTTAAAGAACCCCGGGTGGTCAAAATTTCCACAACGCTCCACTACGGCGTCTCTCATAATCATATGGCGGTTTTGTGACGTCAAACCCCGCATATCAATCAATACGTAGTGGAGCATAAATTCATGTGGCAGTAGCCTACTGAAGTTGCGGCCAAGTGATAAAATTACTGTAACATTCCCTACTTTCCTAACTTATGAAATGGAGTGCAGCTTTGTCCAAGTAATAGTTCACTTGTGGAACTGCATAGCACAATCTGCAGCAAGTAACTTCTAACTGGCAAGATGCACACCGATGTTTATTCCAGCAATGCCTTAGATGCTCGAAGTCTTTAAATTGATCCAATAATAATTTGCCTTTTTCAGATTGCAAACAAGCATTTCTTAACCTTAATGCTGTCGTGTAAGCACTATGTGGTAAAACTGGGATGGTGGGTTCATCTTAAGATAGTGTGTTTAAAGGGTTTGCCGTTTCGCTCCAATATAATCCGCGGTGGTCTAGTACCCGTAGCATATGCTGTTTTTGTACGTTCTTTGGAATTAAATAATGAAATGTACTCATGAGTTCTAAATTGGTTGCCGCAAAAAGTGCGGTACATACTAATAGAGAACCTGTAATGATCACTGCTGCTGCTTCGCTTGAGGGCATTTTGCTTAGAGCTAAAACAATTGCCAATAATTCTGTAATGAATAAAGGAGTATAATCTGGGAGTCGAGCCGAAAAGGAAAAGGTAAGAGAAGAAGAGAAGATGGCTACCCCAGCCTTTTCTTTTGACAGAAACGTATGAGTCGCAATTGTATTGCTTATTTCCCAATGAGCTAGGTAATCTGCTGACTGGTGCTTTAAATACCTTAATACCTTTGCGGCAGTTTTTTCGCGTTATGAGGAACCATTTGATTAAGTCGTATGCTAAGCATTAAATATAAATTACCTATTAGGCCAATATGCTTAATTTTTACACTTAGTGGCTTTAGCTTCACTTGTGCAACTTTAATTTGTAGGGTGTGTATTCACGACCAATTTGTTTAAAAAAACGAGCTCAATTCTTCACTGAAAACGTAAAATGGGCATCTCTAGTGCGAACTGTATATCTTTAGAATGCTTAAGCAGTACGATTTTGGAACCTATTAGCAGAGAAGGTAGGCGCGCTTCCATATACAACACATTGCTTGCAACAAACTTTGCGAGATTCAGGCACAAGTGCAGTGCTTTCCTTTCCAGCTGTATTGCGGGTCTCATTTTATAGGCTGTACTGCGAAAAAACAATACACATGTAAATTCCATATTACGCCGCACATAATGTTATATATCATTGTTAGTTATCTCTTGTCAACCGCATTTTATTATTTGTTGTAACCATCGATGTGGTTTCACTAATATAATGTGTCGTTAATATGATGCCTAGATATTTAAGGAATTGCAGCCGTGTGATGAGCTCATTACTATACATTAGCGAGATGTTGATAGCTTGCTTAAAAGAGAACGCAAGAACCACGCTTTTCTTGACGTGAAACGTCTTAAGAATGTGTTTCAAGTATGCTTCAAGCATATTGAGATAATTTTGTAGATTCTGATGTAGTGATTGCATATCTTCATTACTCTCAAACAAAGCAACATCGTCTGCATACACATATACCTGAATGTGCTGATTTGATGGAATGGAGCTTAAAAAAGTGTTAAACAACACTGGCGACTGGACAGCCGCATGTGGCACGCCACGTGTCTGCTTATATCTATTCGATAAGCACCCATCTTTAAAGCAGTAAAATTGCCTTTCCCTTAAAAACTAAACCCACGCTCTGATGTACTTAGGAAGTTGGTGGCGTTCCATGTGAATATTACAGCTGAATGCTCAATCATATCGTGCGCATTAGCCAAATCAAGAGTAACTAATGCACACTGTTCGCGCCGACGCCTAGTTAGTTGTATGCGGCTCTTTAAATCAGCATGCGCGCACCATACTGAGCAATCAGGTCTAAAAACAATTTGACTGGGGTTTATATTGCATTATCTTCAACATATTTTATTACGCGGACAATCAAAACTCTTTCATTGGTGCACCAGATTAGACGGTTATCCAGATTGACCGTATACATTTTCCTGCGCAAATCCCATCGCCTGCTTTTTAAGAAGCGGAATTAGTTTAGACAGCTTCCATTCCGCAGGTATCCAAGCATTTGTCAAAGAGGAATTCACCATATTACGTGTTTCAGTTGGAGAAATTTCTAATTATTATTTTTATTATTGCATTGGTATCCCCGTCTGATCCAGGTGCTGAAGGACACAATTGGTTTATCACCTCTGCCAGCTCAGCTATAGCAACGTCATTGAAAAAATCACCCACCTTTTGTTTCACAATGTCCAATAGTATAGTTGACATAAATATATATTGTAGCCCTTCGTGATAGTTTCTACTAATCAGGCAGTTGTTGGAGAAAAAGAACTGAAGAGTCAACATTTTCAGAGGGTGGTAACTATCCCACACTAGATTAATGCATTATCTAAAAAAAACCTTTTGTCTGCACAATTAGGATTTCGGCCCAAATATTCATCTGAGGTGGCACTATGTTACCTCAACTGAGAAAAATAAACAGGTTATTCTGTTTTTATCGGTTCGACGAGGGCTTTTGACACAACAAATCATCGCTCGCATTTGGAAAACCAGAATTATGTCTGGCCCTCCTCTAAGCTTTATTCAAAACTACCTCAGTAACAGGTGTATATGGTGCACGTTAGCGGCCATCTGTCATTACCCAAATTTATTCACATAGGTGTGCTACAGGAATCAATTTTAGGCCCACTTTTATTTTTGATGTTTAATAATAACTTACCTATCATTCTTACTAGGACCAAGTGCATACTGTACGCTGAAAACACATCTAACTTTACATGATATAAATCAGTGTCTACACTCCAGACTGACCTCAACATAGATTTACATAACATCACTTTATGGTACTGGATTAAACAGTGGCAGATGAGGTCTTTATGACGCTTCATTCCCCGGGAATTTCACTTGAAATACCACCTTCTCTTCACATCGGCAATGACTTCATAAACATTTCTAGTGAAGCATGGTTTCGTGGCGTCCATCTTAGATACTGAACTAAAATGTCATAAGCATGCCAGTTCACTCGTTAAAAACATAGTATTTGGAATCAATGTTATCATCAAAACACGTACGTATTTTCCACAGCACGTCTTATGTTCTTTGTATTTTGCCTAAATTGACACTCATGTTTTGTATTGTGTATCATCTTTGGGCAACACTCACTGCACGCACATTGAGTGATGGCAGCGACATCATAATCAAGCGGTTATTTTATTTACTTTTAGCTCATTTCACTCCTCCTGTACTCATTGTTTCCAAACTTGACATACTTTTATTCAGACAATTCTTTTCTCATAGATTGTCCATAGTTGCCCATAGGATCCCACGCGTGACATTGTCACTGCATGCATTGATCATCATCACTTAACTAATAGCAATACTACCTGGGATTCCCAGAGTAATATTCTTGCATTGGTCGTGAGAACAAACTACGACAAGTTCACAACCTTGTTTACAAGCATAGTGATTTTGGATTCAATGCTATTGAAATAAAATCTTCGCACAACAGTCATACTTTCGCCTCAAATAGCAAAAGATATTTTGTTGAGGAATTTATTAACTCATCTGAATTCTGTAAATATATAACAGCTTTGAGCATGTATGTATTAGTTTCGTATCTACATCTGCTTTTGTACAACTGATACCTCTGATAATAAAGCTAGTTGCATTTGTCATGTAGAATTCATTATACTTGCTTTGTTATTCCTGTTTAATCACCTGATATTGAGTATTTTCATGTCTGACTTTTCCAGTTTTTTTATAACATGTTATATATTGATTGTATTTCTATTGTTAATTAGGCTCATTAGTCCTTGCTCACAAATTCGCATCCTTGCTGTATTTTTTGTTTTTACTCCACTTATGTCACCATAACAGGTCTCCCCGTCAGTTTCTCGGAAACTTTGGGACATCTGGCTGCACTATTCTTAACGTGTAACGAGAGTAATATATGAAATAAACATGACTTGATATCTTTCGAGACCTTAAAAATATAAAAAGCGCTTTCTTATTTCTAGCCCTAGAAAAATAATCAAATGTTTTCATATCGTAGTGATTATTTGCTACTTATTGTACAGTAATAGTTATGAATTTATAATCACACCAATGTTTTGGGCATTGGTTGACCTGAAGTTGTTTCCATGCAGATTTTTGTTTTTTATCGCCCCCATACGACCTTCATTCCATCATGGACTAGAAGATGCTCCTTTGGCGGAGTTTAATCGAAAAGTGGCGTTTTTACTGACCTTTTTAACAGGACACACAGGCTCATAGCCATTATGTCACCTTTCATATCTTTGCGACGAACCAAAGTGGCCTTTAAGTCTTTTTCTAATTTATCGTAGTTGACGAATGAGCCGACCTTTTTGGTGCCCATTATTCTCGGAAAGATAAAGACAAAACTAATAGCCGAGTCATCACTGTTTGTAGCGTGGTCTAAAGTTTTCAACCAGAATATACTTGAAGATGAGCCTAGAAATGACAAATCTATTACTTATTTAGACTGACCTCGGACAAAAGCAGCAGCGTGTGACTTTTAAAAAAGATAAATTCTTGTCAAGAGCCAATTCCCACGAGCGTTGTCTATTCAATTCTGCTGTGAATCTGCAGGCCGCATGATGATGTTATCTGCCTACACAAAGTACTTACTGGGAAGTCACCAGTAAGTACTTTCTGTAGGCAGATAACATCACGTATAGGCGTCTGGGGTCGTGCACCCCGGCAGAGAAATATGCATTTACAAATGAAAAAGAAAAACACACGCGTAGTGTTGTGTGTAACACCAAAATCACGTTTTTTCTTAGTTGATATCTCTTTCTTTTTCTGTGCAGTTCTTTCTCTACATTTTTTTCGTTCTTCCGTTGCTTTCTCTCTATCTCTTTTTCTCTCTAAATATTTCCATTTCTATTCTCTCTGTAATCGTTTCTCCCCTGTCAGTTATTGCAGCTCACGTCAGATAAATGAGCGCGTGTGTTCTTGTAGAGAACCAGTTGATGAGGAAGAGGAAGAAGAGGAGAGCTCATGCCACTGGTTCATCATGATGATGATGATGGTTATAATGGTGATGATGATATTTCTATTCACTCTAGCAACTGTAACGAAATGTTTGAACATCTCTGGTGTAAAAATGCGTTCAATGTGAAATGCAATAAAAATTCTAATATTGGCGTTCAGTTTGGTATTTAAGCTCTATTTGTCCACGCCAACTGCAGGTGGAGAGGGAACCCTGCTGGCAGCGGCTGGCTCCCTGATTGGTATAGGCACAGACATTGGTGGAAGCGTCCGAATACCCGCTGCCTACTGCGGCATCTTTGCCCACAAGCCAACAGCTGGTGATAAACTTCAGTCAACTTTTTCTGTTAATTTAGTTGAGCTCTTCCACAAAGTAGTTAGTCCTTGTGCGCACTCGCTAATATTGTGGAACTATTCAGTTAGTACCATCTTGCTCAACTAATGAAAATATTGAGTTAATTTCGTAACTTATTTCTAAATAATCGACATGGTTTGACAGAATGCATTAGTGGACTAGTTGGTCTGAATCCATGGTTTTTGTTTAGAGCAAACCAAAACCACAAGAAAGTAGACACAAAAAGCGCTAGTATCAACTGATGTGATCCATTGCGTCACTCCATTCTTTATATCAACGAGATAGCGGAAGGACTTTGTAGTGTACACCATGCGCACAGCCATCAAAGCTTTGTTACTCGAGCACACTCATGATAGTGCACGCATAACAACCCACGCACCCCCGTGAAGTGAATCATGACAAGCGGGCAAAGCGGTTAGTATCGTATGTCACCGTACGTCATCCGTACATTTACGCTGCGAATGTAGATTGAATGACTTAAAGTATATATATATATATATATATATATATATATATATATATATATATATATATATATATATATATATATATATATATATATATATATATATATATATATATACATCTAACAGACCGTATAGCTAAAAAAGTGTAGGGGAAGCTATTACACCCAATTGTAATGCATATGTAAAGAAAGAAAAGTGGTTGAAAAGATAATTTGCCATGGTCAGGAACGAGCCTGCGACCTTGGAATAGCGCGTTCAATGCTCTGCCAACTGAGCTACCACGACGGCTATCTCCTCAGCCACTTTATTGGGTATATATATTATTTAAACGTGAGACTGTCAGTCAGCACCGCCATTAGCCATGGAGGCGAGTGTGGTGCACTATTATTGAGCTTGTTTTGGCGTCACGTAGCACGTGAACGTATTAAGAGCTGGCAGCTGATCAATATTCTCTCATATACAACCTAATGACACTGAATCTGCCAATACGAGGCCCTCACTAACGAAATAAGGAAAGAAGTGTATACTCAAGTGCTTGTTTTTCCATAATTTGACACAATAATATTGAGATACAATACTGCCAAGAAAAGTATAGGGAAAGGTATTAGACCTAATTGTAATGTGAGTTTGAAGAAAGAAAAGTGCGTGAAAAGGTAACTTGCCACGGGCAGGAACCGAACCTATGACCTTCGAAGAACACATTCGAACATCTACGAACTGAGCTATCACGGTGACTATCTCCCCAGCCAGTTCATTGAGTATGTACATATTAATTAAATGTGGGATTAGGAGTTAGTGCCACCAGTAGCTATGGTGGCGGCTAGTGTGGACACTCCAAATGAGCCTGTTTTTTCTCCTATTGTCTGCTATCTTTTCACCCACATTTCTTTCTTCACATTTGTATTTTCATTTACAGTTACATTTACATTTCGGGCTTGGCCGGCCCTGTTTTCTCCTGCCTGGGCCTGGTCCGGCTTGTGCCGTGCCCTGCTGCAAGTGTCCTTCTGGTATTTGGTTGATATAAACAGTGGAGTGATGCAATAAATCATGCCAGTAGAGGGTAGAGCTTTGTCCTGTCTTGTTTTTTGTGGTGTCGTTTTGCGCTAAAAAAACGCTGCGAATTCTGTAACATTTCGCAGCGTTTCAGCAGAGAAATATTGTGGTCGCTAGCCGTGGTTAACATGTAGTGGACAAAGCCAGACCCGTACACCTTTTTAAAACGTCAGCTTGTTCATACATGATAATACGCTTGCGACCTAAAAAACCAAGTGGTGGTCTATAATAACACATTCGTAAGTCAAATACTCTGTTTTGATTACCCTAAAACACTATTAATCCACAACGTCTTCTGTATCGGTTCCTTCCCCACCTGATATTGAGTCTTATATTAATGAAACGATGAGCTTGAACATTGGTTCTTTTGCTGTTACAGCACAAAAGTTGCCTTTGCGAAAACGTAGCTTGAATAAAAAAAATTCTGGTGCTACCATTCTCGTAAGGACTTTTTGTCTTTTTCTACGCCATGCAATCTCAGGAGTGGTACCCAACACTGGCCTGTTCCCAGACGCCGGAGACAAACTTAGACAGTTCAACTGCGTGGGACCAATGACCAGGTTTGCGGAAGACTTGCCGCTGATGCTCAACGTTCTGGCGGGAAGTCCGACCAACGTTTTCAGACTAAGCGAAAAGGTGCGTATAGCTTCATGACCATTTGTCTTAGTGTTGGTGAACTAATCACTTTCATTGTGATCTTAGTTGAGTTGGCATATTGGCGGGCGACTCCGAAAAATACACAGGTCAGACATGTGCCAGTGCTCGATGTTACAGTGTGTTTTGAGAAATTAAGACTTGTAGTATGGATAGTCTGTTGTTCTAGAAAGGGGTGACCGAATGCGGGAATCAATGCAATGTAAACAAGTATTTGTACTGTTAAGACGTTTATTGGCGGACACTCGTTGATGATTCACGACAGCGACAGTCAATGCGGGGACCGACTCTCTGCACGAGCTGCTCTTCTTCTTATGAAAAGGGCGACCCACTAGAAGGCACTCGAGAGGACGACCCACTGTTCGAAGGCTTTGCCACAACTACCCCGGGTACGGAAAGGGAGCCGCCTGGCGACCTAACAGGTGGTTACAATGAGCGGGTCATGGTAGGCCTTGAGGCGCTCAACGTTAACAATGTCGCGTCCTCGACGGCGCATGTCCGAAGATGGTTCGATTGGTTCAATCAAGTAGTTGACAGGAGAAGTGCGTTTGACGACACGGTAGGGGCCTTCGTATTTGGGCAATAGTTTTGAAGATAGGCCCGTTGCAGTGGTAGGGATCGAGAGCCAAACGAGCGCTCCAGGGAGGAACGTGGGCGCAGTAGTGCTGGCGTCAGCGCGAATGCTTTTTTGCCGCTCTTGATCGTGCGCAGTAAAGGTCTTTGCAAGCTCTCGACACTCTTCAGCAAGCTTGGCTGTAGCAGAAATAGGTGCCCACTCAGACGGATCTGGCCTGTACGGAATTATCGTGTCGATGGTGTGCGATGGGTGCCTTCCATATAATAAAAAGAAAGGTGAAAAGCCAGTAGTGCTCTGAGGGGCGGTATTATATGCGTAGGTGACGAAGGGTAGAATGGAATCCCAATTTGTGTGATCGGCGGCGACGTACTTGGAGAGCATGTCGCCGAGCGTACGGTTGAAGCGTTCGGTGAGGCCATTTGTCTGCGGGTGGTAAGCAGCAGTTTTGCGGTGAACAATGTTGCACTCTTTAAGAATGGCTTCAACGACTTCAGACAGGAAGACGCGGCCTCGGTCACTGAGAAGTTCCTGGGGTGGACCGCGTCGCAAAATGAATCGTTGGAGCAGAAAGGAGGCCACATCGCTCGCTGTAGCCGCGGGGAGAGCGGCCGTTTCGGCGTATCGCGTGAGGTGGTCCACAGCGACAATGGCCCAGCGTTTACCAGCCGGCGTCAGTGGAAGTGGCCCATACAAATCGATGCCAACGCGCCCAAAGGGCCTGGCAGGGCAAGGTAGAGGTTGCAGACCTGCCGGTGATAGGTGCGTTGAAGCTTTTCGGCGCTGACAATCTATGCAGGAGCGAACGAATTTCTGCACGTAGCGGTACATGCCGCGCCAAAAGTACCGTTGGCGAATGCGGTGGTAAGTCTTCGATACCCCGGAGTGCGCACATTGCGGATCGGAATGAAAAAACTCGCATATGTCAGAGCGCATACTGCGAGGTATGACTAGTAGCCACTGGCTGCCGTCACCGTTGTAATTGCGCCTGTGGAGGAGGTCGTCGCGAATGGCGAAATGGTGGGCTTGACGACGCAATGCGCAAGTGGATGGAGTGGATGGATCAGCCAGCAAGGCGATCAGTGAGGCGATCCATTGATCCTTGCGCTGTTCAGTAGCAATGGTATGAATGCTAATGGAAGAAATGGCAAGGTGAGACGCGGAGTTGTGAACGTTGTCGTCAGGCAAGGGAGAGCGTGACAGGGCGTCGGCATCAGCATGTTGCCTTCCATTGCGGTACAGCACGTGGATATCATAGTCTTGCAGGCGAAGTGCCCACCGGGCGAGACGGCCTGAGAGATCTTTCAATGACGACAACCAGCATAGTGCGTGATGGTCGGTGACGACATCAAATGGGCGACCATACAAATAAGGTCGGAACTTCGTAAGGGCCCAGACGATTGCCAAACATTCCTCCTCGGTGACGGTGTAATTAGTCTCGGCCTCAGTAAGCGTACGGCTTGCATACGCGATGACATATTCCGGGAACCCTGGTTTGCGCTGCGCAAGGACAGCGCCAAGGCCGACACCACTGGCATCCGTGTGTACCTCTGTAGGGGCCGTAGGGTCGTAGTGGCGGAGTATGGGAGGTGACGTCAACAAACGATGGAGCGTTGTGAAAGCGTCGTCACACTGTGATGACCACGAATGGAGAGGCCCGTTATTTCCAAGGAGCTTCGTCAGCGGCGATATGATAGTCGCGAAGTTTCGAATGAAGCGCCGAAAGTAGGAACACAGCCCTACGAAACTGCGCAGTTCCTTGACGGATGTCGGCTTGGGGAACTCGGACACGGCCCGAAGTTAAGCTGGATCAGGGAGAATTCCGTCCTTGGACACAACGTAGCCGAGTATTGTCAGCTGCCGAGCTGCAAATCTGCACTTCTTTAGGTTCAGTTGCAGACTGGCGTCACTCAGACGCGTTAAATCATGCCGTAGGCGCTGAAGATGCGTCGAGAAGTCCGGAGCGAAAACGACGACGTCATCGAGGTAGCACAGGCACGTGTGCCATTTCAGGTCACGCAGAACAGTATCCATCATGCGCTCAAAGGTGGCGGGCGCGTTGCACAGCCCAAACGGCATGACGTTGAATTCGTACAAGCCGTCGGGGGTGACAAAAGCGGTCTTCGGTCGAGCGTCCTCAGCCATAGGTACTTGCCAGTACCCTGAGCGCAAATCGAGGGATGAAAAGAATTCTGCTCCTTGCAGGCTGTCAATAGCGTCATCTACCCGCGGTAGTGGGTACACGTCCTTACGAGTGATCTTGTTGAGGCGTCGGTAGTCCACACAGAACCGTCCTTCTTCGTGACGAGAACGACAGGAGATGCCCAGGGGCTGCTTGAGGGGCGAATAACATCGCGGCGAAGCATGTCATCGACTTGCTCGTTGATTACACGGCGTTCTGTGGGAGATACGCGATATGGACGCTGTCTCAGTGGTGGCTGTGTGCCTGTGTCGATGCGATGCGTAATGGTGGATGTGCGGCCGAGAGAAGGTTGGGCGACATCAAAAGAAGACCGGAATTCTTCCAACAGGCCCAGAAGCTGGGAACGCTGGCCTGGCGTAAGGTTGTCGGGAACGAAGGGATCGAATACATCATCGGATGATGAAGCAGATGTCAAAACAGCACTAAGCGTACTGGAACTTGAGCAGTGCATGTCATCGGGTTGATCCATAACTTGTTCCATAACTTGTTCGTCTTCGATGGGTTCCACGCTGCCGAGACATTCCCCTCGCACCAACGTAACGCTGTACGGGGATGAGTTCACTGCAAAAATAGTGGTGCTGCCGTGAGTGAGTTGCACGGTCGCGAAAGGAACCAGCAAGCCTTTTCTGATGAAAACACGATGAGATGGCGAAAGGAGTGCAGCGGTGTCAGAAAGGCTTGCGCAATAGACCGACACCGTCGCGGACGAGTTTGCAGGCACTTGGGTGTCATCTCTGACGAGTAACTTGCTTGCGGCAGATGGACTGTCGGCCGGCGTCAAAAAGGTAGATTGGGTGAGTTCTATTTCTGCTGGTGCGCAATGAATGACGGCGTCATGTCGGGAGAGAAAATCCCATCCTAGGATGACGTCGTGAGAGCATGAAGGAATTATGATGAATTCGACCGCATACATCACGTCCTGAATCATAAGGGGGGCTGTGCACATCGCCGTAGGGTGAATGCTTTGGGCGCTGGCTGTACGGAGGGAGAGCCCGGAGAGTGGCGAGGTCACTTTGCGCAGTAATCGGCTAAGTTTTGCGTCCATGACGGATACGGCGGCTCCAGTATCTACAAGGGCAGATGCACGAACGCCATCCACAAGTACGTCTATCACGTTCGATGGGCTTTCCTGAGGGCTTCCGCAGTTCGACAGCGTCGCAGCCCTTGCCTCGTGGACTGCGACGACTAGTTTTCCTGGTCGCCCTCGAGTGGACGTGGCCGCATCGGCGACAGTGAGCGACGTCGTGGAGATGGTTAACGGCGGGTAGACGGAGCGGGGCGGGACGACGGTGACATAGGTGGCGGTTGGTCATAAGAGCGGCTTGATTGGCTGGGAAAGTTCGAGGCGACCTGCGGTTGCTGCACACGATTGCAATAGCGTGCCACATGACCGACGCGACCGCAAGCAAAGCAGATGGGGCGATTGTCAGCAGTGCGCCATCTGTTCGCGGGTCCCATTCATGTCGCAGAACGCAGTGGGCGAGCCGGCTGCTGATATGAGTGCATGATGGGCGGCACTCGGGGCACGTGGGTAACGTCGGCGTATGTAGGCGACACAGTTTCTCCGAAGGCGTGGGGCCTCGCGGTGGTTTCGGTGTAACTTACAGGGAAATCCACAGAAATCGGTGGGGGCGGCCTGGCTACAACTTGGGCGTAGCTGAGTGGCGCAGATACAGGAGGTGGCTGGTGGTATTCTGGAACGACCTGCGCGATTTCCTGCTGAATGGCTCGGCGGAGCGGAGGTACAAGTGTACTTGATGGCTGCTGAGCATGTTGCGGTGGAGGAAAAGCCAGTAGAGAGACCTGGCGGGCAACTTCCTCACGCACGATTGACTTGATTTCGGCGAGCAAGGTTGTGTCGTCGGGAACCGCTGACAAAGCCGAGAGACCAGCATCACGTGGTGGCGATCGACGGGTCATCAAGCGCTGCCGCCGCAGCTCGTCGTAACTTTGGCATAATGTAATGATTTCTGCCACAGTATGAGGGTTCTTGGCCAGAAGCATGGTGAAGGCATCGTCGGCGATGCCTTTTAGAACATTCGTGATTTTGTCAGCCTCTGACATGTTCAGGTCGACTTTCTTGCACAAGTCAAGGATGTCCTCGATGTAACTTGTGAAGGACTCGCCAGTCTGCTGTGCTCGTTCACGTAAACGCTGTTCGGCTTGTAGTTTACGAACGGCAGGGCGGCCGAACACGTCAACGACAGCGGTCTTAAAAGCGGACCAAGTCGGGAAATCAGATGCATGGTTATTGTACCACATTCCGGCCACACCCGCAAGGTAGAAGAACAGGTTGCCGAGTTTAGCTGCCTCATCCCAATGATTGGGGACGCTCACACGTTCGTACATGGCAAGCCAGTCTTCGACGTCGGTGCCATCCGCGCCGGTGAAGACAGGAGGGTCGCGGATGCGGGGGACACCGGGACATGGCGTCGGTGTAGGAGGGAGCGTTTGCTGAGCGGCGTCCTGGTGCATGGTAGAAGGCACGGTACGGGATCGAAGCTCGAAGGGCATCGAATGCGAACCAAAGATGTTTGAAGGGGACAGCACTCTCCACCAAATTGTTAAGACGTTTATTGGCGGACACTCGTTGATGATTCAAGACAGCGACAGTCTTGTCTTGTCTTGTCTTGTCTCCTAGGAGATTGTGACTCATACCCACATGGGGGATTGGCCACACTGTACCTCTTGATAGATCATTTTTTATAACGCTTGTTAAAAAAAATAAAGAGAAATTAGATAGAAACAATAATAATGTTCCTTTGAAAAAACGTGAAAAAATCAATGCGGGGACCGACTCTCTGCACGAGCTGCTCTTCTTCTTATGAAAAGGGCGACCCACTAGAAGGCACTCGAGAGGACGACGCACTGTTCGAAGGCTTTGCCACAGTACCTATAATTTTTCTTCTTTCTTCACTGAAGAGAAACATTATGATGCTGATGTTTCATGTAAACAATTGGACTATGATCCCCGCTGTGGTCAGTGAAGCTGTGTATCTGATACGCCAACGATACGTATCGTTGAGCTATTGAGCAATTTCTACATGAAGTAATTTACATTAAAACAATTCAATGCACGGGTCTCGTTAACGCTGCTCGTCAGGAGCCAAATTCGTGTAGGTTTTCCATGCAACGAGGTACTCAACTCTGTAAAGTGTGCAAGAGGTGTCTTTCAATTGTAGAGACAAATATTGAAAAGGGCTACCATGCAGGTCGTCGTAAAAGTTGTGCTTCTGTGCGAGAATGTCGGGTCTTAGATGTGCTTTTGTCTGGGGCAGTTAGTGCAATAGTTGCGAAACAAATCAGCATGAATGATGAGACGAAAGACACAGCACAACAAGACCAGTGCTACAGCATTCATCCTGTTGTACTGTGCCTTCAGTCCTGTCCAACAGTCATCGTTGAGCCCCTTCACAAGAGCACAAGCGCTGAAGCATTCCTCCTGTTGTAGTGTGTCTTTCACCCCGCTTACCCGCTAATTTATCTCGCAATTGTGGGGTCATTTCCGTGAAATGAAGTGCTTGTCAAGTTATTTGGCAGCCTCAAACATATTTCTTGCTGCCTGATGATACAAAAACCCCTGATAACGTTCTTCTATGTTCAGGTGCCGAGATGGCTTAACCCGGCGTGCAGAATTGAATGTTGGCTGTTGCAGCTTCTGGTACACGAATGACGAAAAGCTGACTGCGGTGTGTTAGACGCCATCATTGTTTCTTTATAGGAAAGTGGCAATTCAGTAAGGTGGAACGATGTGCGTTCTTTCTACAATCTGCACATCTCAGGGTGATTTTGTTGGGCAGTGGCTAGTGCTTCGAAATCTTAGGAGTGAGCAGGCATTGCACTTGTCACACAAAGGGCGCCAGTCACCTCCTTTTGGCTGCCAAAGTTGTTGCAGATGTACTTGTAAACTTTGGTAACACATCAAAAGTGCCTGAGACTCTTTTCTTGCAGTATGTATGAGTGGCTGTTTTCAAAGGCGAAAGCAGGGGTGGTTGGGGTCGGTGAGATGACAGCGTTCAGGGTTCAGCCTCGGAAGAAGGAACGGAAGTGCAGGTATTGTGATAGAAGTGCACATATTACTACAGAGTGATACATGAAAAACCGCGGTCCTCTGAAGGTGCTGTGGTAACCCCCGCATAGGTCACCAGCGTCTCGAGAGAAGGTGAAGTGGCCTGCAATATGTGCCCTTGTGCTGTTGCAGCACTGCATCCGCTGCCATTGACAACGCAACCAACATATAGCGTGTTGGCGCTTCGGGCGGCGAATGAATCAGCAGCGCTGCAAGCGCCAATCACCTTTCGCCTTCCCAAAAATATCGCTTGCGTTTTGTGCACCGGAGTTCCAAACGAAAATTTGTGTTCACTACGTGGCACAGTTATTTCAACCATGCTGACAAATATTTTACATGGCAGACAGCAGTCTATCGTGCAGAACAGACGGAAATCAACACTTTTGCTAAGGGTTCTTTGAAATCATTTTTAATTGAAAGCGAAATGAAATATAACTTTCTGACTTTAATTTGCACTAATATACTATTTGTGTTGTTACTGAATTGTTACTCATGTTTGTAACCTATTATCAGCGCCATATTGCACGATGTTTTCACAGAAGATGATGATTTTGAACCTATGGATGTTTTTAACTCTAATTTGACACTTGATTATCTCAAATTTTATATCTCTACTGTTAATATACCAATATTTTATGTTTAATAGGCGTTAGTGTAATTTTAGTCAGCGTACGTAGAATTTTAACTGAATCCCACACATTGTCTTCGACTCGAAATTATTGGTTATTGCTACATGTTATTTAACTATGCGGTTGTTTCTATATACCTTAGTCAGATAGGAACGTTTCATAGCCCTTTACTCTGCTCATAACCTCTGCGCTGCTACCTAATCTAAGAATGGATCAGTAGCCTCTTTTAGTTCTCAGTGCCTTTCGCTCTTTCTTGCCACCATCTTTTTATTCTTACAGAACAAATGAAAAGTTTCTTTCTTAATGCGGAGTCATGACAGAAGTGGACAATACACAAGGACCACAACTTTTTTGCTTGTCCTTATGGTATTGGAAAAAAGCCAACAGATTTCGATCAGCCAAAAATAACCCTTGTGCGGCTTGTCGACTTATGCAGCGCTAACGTCATGCCTTAGAACTTTGCAAAGCGCAAATGACATTAGGCGTATGTTGGATGCAATCCAGCGAGTCTTGCGGTCGCCCACCTGCTTGTGCTATCTTGACAACTTCGTTTTTGCTCCACACGTCCAGCGACTATGGCAGGTTTTGACGTGTTTAGCAAATGTTGTCTACAAATAAACAAGCGAGGAATCGCAGTACTTGGCTACGTCACATCCAGGAATGGAATTTCGCCCAATTCAGCCAAGCGATGGGTTGTCGCCTGAATCTATAATTCAACGTGTGTCACGAAATCGCACAATATGCGTCTATGCTTTCGACACCTTATTCAAAACTATGCGTCATAATATCACCCTTGACGTAGCTTCTTGTGAATACATGTTCGGGTGCTTAATAAAATCATTGTATATATGTATGAGGACTCTATTATCATGTCTCGCCGAGACTATTGCTCTTTAGCGTTGATGCGTCCTGGTGGTCTAGTATTTGTGGTGCTCGACTGCTCACACGAAAGTCGTCGAATTGAATCGCTGCCGCTTCCTTGTCGATCGAGGAAAAAATGCTTGTGGCTGGTGGTTTAAGGAATCCCAGGTGGTCGAAATCGGCCAAAGCCACAACTAAGGCATTCCTCATAATCATATTGTGATTTTGTAACGCTAAACCGCAACAACAGTGGTGGAAAAGCACCTTAACGTCTAGTCTTGTCCGTTGTACGTTGTCGGACACAGCACATGCAAGGCACCCGCTATACGCCATAACGATGACGAGGAAGGATAAGTGCCTTAGCACATGCAAGGTACCAGATGGCGGTGACACTGTCATCACGGCACAGCATTTGCAAGGTACCAACCATATGCCATGACGATGACGATGCTTATGACGATGAGAAAAAATGCTTTCCAGACCACACACTCTCTGTGGCATGGATGAAAACGATGGTGCTCTCGCCCGCGGAAGGCAAAACGGCAACGCCTACAAGCTGCTGCTCCGGAGGCGAGAGCGCGGCATGCGGCGGCTCAACGTCTGCGCAAATAGGAAGCTTAGCGGAGGCGAGAGTTCGGGTTGAAGCGACAAAACGCTGACACTCCCTCGCATTTGAGGGCGCGGGACGCGGCGGCTCAACAGCAAGAACACATTGTATATACTGTACACATGCGTTGTCATTCACTTACATGCACGAGTGGGCTATGTCACGCGTGACTTAAGGTAAGAACCATCCTCAGTGCTTCGTCCACTTGTCATGATTCACTTCGTAGAAATCCGTAGATCTTCGTTACGTTTTTCGGTGTTAAAATTAGAACAATTTTCAGTTTTCATGCGGGAATAAAATGTTACTATTTATATGAGGCACAATTTGAAAATTCAGAAACATGTGATTTGAAAACACGGAAACAATTTCTTTTTCTTCAGGTAAACCTGAACATGCTGAAGCTTTATTACATGGACACGGAAGGAAGCCTATACATCAGCCGGATCACAAGTGATGTTCGCAAAGTCGTGAAAAAGGTTAGTGCCAAAATACCCAACGATATAGTAATAAGCATTGCATTAAAAAATAATATCGCAGTATATTTTGAATTGTTGAGCGCATAAAGAATAATGTACGAAATCGTCGCACACACCATGACTTGTCTGCCCCTTCTTGTTGCAAAAGTTTTATACTTATTTTTCTTTCTTTTTCTTATCAATTTGGTATATGTGCAGCTAGCGAAACGGCCGCGACCACGCTATGAGCGTACATGTAGTCATGTGAAACATGACTACATGTACGCTCAAACATGTAGTCATGTTTAGCTACATGTACGTTTTGATCTGCTTCCATTCTGAACGTGACCTTCCAAATTGTTGTTATCGCGTTGATTGCTCCGCCTTCGCGGCAAAACTGTGACTTTTAAATAAGAGGCCTTTCCTAGTGAGCTTCGACGACTTTGAGCGTACGTTATGACTGTCAGGATTTACGTTTCGTGGCCCTGCTGCTCTTGCGGTGGTTTTGTTCACATGGCATGTTGCAAAACTGGTATGGTATGCCATGATTTCATAGCGACACAAGCGACAGACCCTAACATGAAAATCATGACATGCGTGTCATGTAGCAACATGACTGCATACCACGATCATGATGCACTCGCGACCATTTCGCTAGCGTCGCATATACTAAATTTGGTATTATGGTACGTGAATGGAAGACGAAGGTATGTGACTGGTTCAAACATGATAATCATGAGATGCGTGTGATGTAACAACATGACTGCATGTCACGCTAATTATGCACTGGCGGCGCTTTCACTAGCTTCGCTTATACCCAATTTCGTATTACGGGAAGTGAATGGATCACAAAGGTATGATACCGGTGCGTACATGATAAACATGAGATGCGCGCCATGTAACAACATGACTATATGCTACGCTAATGATGCGCTCGTGGCCGTTTCACTAGCTTCATATGTAGCAAGCTCGGTATTATGCGACACGAACGGACGACATAAGTGAATGACACATCCAAACATGATAATAACAACATGCGTGTCATGTAACAACATGACAACTTGCCACACTCATGATGCGCTCGCGACCGTTTTCCTACTTTCACATATGTCAAATTTGGTATTCACGTACGTGACGCCAATGAAGGACGAATGTATGTGACTGGTGCAAACGAAATAATAATCAGATGCGCGACATGTGAGAACATGACCACACGCCACAGTCAAGGCGTCAATACATTTCGACATGACGTGGTGCGCGTGCTCGCTGGCGTTTATTTCGTCGCGTTGCGCTGGCGTTGCCACCTCAAGCGCCGGTGCTGTCATACACTTGCAGGCGTGCGCCACGCTGCGTTGCTTTGACGCATGCGCATTTCTGCGCGTCCAGCGTCCCTTCATCACGAAAAGAGGGAGACGCTGTGTTGTCTGAATAACGCATCAGCACAGAGTTATGTTAATCTATGGCATCGGCGCGAAAGTGCCCGATGCCGTCGGGCCGCGCCGACGGACGCTGGTCGCACTTCCCGTCAGACCATAGAGTGCCCGCGTTTTTCTAACGTAGTGTCGCTGTGCCCACCGTGTGCGCGCGTTCACGCTACATTGGAGTATATTCGGCCCTTCATGATGCGCTCGCGGCCGTTTCGCTAGCTCCGCATATAGCAAATTTGGTGTTACGTGACGTCAATGGATGATCAAATATATGACTGGTGCAAACATGTTAATCTTGACACGCGTATTATGTAAGAACATGGCAACATACCACACTCAAAGCGCGTTCGCGGTTGTTTCACTCACTGCACATATACTTAATTTAGTATCATGCGAAGTGAATAGATGACGAAGGTAAACGACCCATCCAATAATGATAATCATGACACTGAAGTCATTTACGGCAACATTTACCTCCACCTCGTAACATTGTGGCGATTTTAAAGTGACATAACATTTCACATTCATACTTCGCATATCATCGATTCCCACTGTGCGTGGCATCTGCCGAATTTCTTCATGTTCCATTGAAGAGCGTTAATTTAGCACGTGCTGTCTCTTGTGCTGCATGAAGCCTAGTAGCCGGGGTAATTCGAAGTCCATCGTCACACCTATAAAACAGCCAAAATCAGGTTAAATGCCTCTAATGTATGGCTGCAGGCTCTTTACGAAATGGGCAATCCAATCATTAACCCTAATTCATGCAACAGCAACCAGAATGTTTTGACATAACTGCAGGTTGAAGCACCCGCAGTTGAATTAGTCTAATCATGCCCGAGCGGTCTATATTGTAATAAATGACGATCAAACTTTTTTCGCAGGACGTACCACCTGGTATATGGATTCACTGAGTAGCGCTACTCGAGGTTATTACAGCGAGAACTGTTATCAGATCAATACACGGGCCACGTGTGGCGCCATAGTTCTTCGCCGCCGCCTGTGTCTGTAACCACTATCGCATGAAATGAAGAAAAATTGGCAGATCTTACGTACTGTGAGAATCGATGATATGCGAAGCACGAATAAGAAAGGTTGATATGTCACGCTAAAATCAGCACAACGTTACTAGGCGGAGATAAATGATGACGTACATGGCTTCCGTGTCATGATTATCATGTTTGGATGTGTAGTTAACCTTCGTGATCTATTCACATCATCTGATACCAAATTTATTATATGTGGAGTTAGCGAAATTCTCGCGAGCACATCATGAGCTCAGTATGGTGTCATTTTCTTAGATGAGACGCATGTCAGAGTTATCATGTTTACACCAGTCATATATTCATTCATGCATTGACGTCATGTAACGCCAAATCTGGTATATAATAGCTGTGAGCACATCATGAAGGGCTTCATATATACTCTAATGTAGCGTTGACTCGCGCGGGCGCTGAGCAGATCGACGCTACGTTAGCAAAACGCGAGCACTATATAGTCTGACGCCAGGTGCGACCGGCGCAGCCCGACGGCAACCGGCACGAATTGCGACATGCTGCATTTCGTGCCGAAGCGTTACCCAGACAACTCTGCGTCTCTCTCTGTTCGTGGCAGAAGGACGCTGAACGTGGTGAAACGCGCATGCGCCTTAGCAACGCAGCGCGGCGGGCGCCTGCTAGTATATGACAGGACCGGCGTCTGGCGTGGCAACGCTGGCGTGAGCTGGCGTGACGCAACGAAATAAACGCCGGTGAGCACGCACACCACGTCACGCCGAAATGTATTGGCGCCTTGACTGTGGCATGTGTTCGTGTTCTCACATAAAACGCATCACGTGATTATCATGTTTGCACCAGTCACATACCTTCGTCATCCCTTGTCGTCACGTAATACCGAGTTTGGTACCTGTGAAGCTAGCGAAATGGTCGCGAGCGCATCATAATCGTAGCATGTAGTCTTGTTACATGACACGCATATTATGTTTATCATGTTTGCACCAGCATCATACCTTCGTCTTCCATTTACGTCCCATAATACGAAATTCGGCATAAGTGAAGCTAGCGAAACGGCCGCCAGTGCACCATGAGCGTCACATTTAGTCATGTTGTTAGATGACACGCATCTCATGATTATTGTGTTTCCACCAGTCACGTACCTTCGTCATCCATACAATTACCGTAATACCGAATTTGGCGTATCTGACGCTAGAGAAACGGCCGCGAGTGCACCAGGAGCGAGGCATGTAGTCATGTTGTTACATGGCACCCATGTCACGATAATCATGTTAGGGTTTGTCGCTTGTGTTCACCATACAATCATGTCATACCATACCAGTTTTGCAACATGCCATGTGAACAAAACCACCGCGAGAGCTGCAGGACCAGAAAACGTAAATCATGACATTCATGTCATACATGTCATGATTTTTATGTTATGAGTAGTCAAGTATGTTCTTAATACAGTCATGGTATGCCATACGAAGTTTGGTATCGATACCATTATTGAAACGGCCAGGAGAGAGAGCTAAAAGTCGTAGGCGGCTAGATAAATAGATAGATACGCTCAAAGCCGCCGAAGTTCCCTAAGAAATGCTTCGCATTTAATAATTCAGTAAATAAAAGCACGCTACATAAACAGCGGGGTTTAAACCTGGGTCCCCTGCATTTTAGCCCAGTATTCTACCACCAAGCTCCGCCGGTACTTGTAGCTCCCTTGGAAATTTTCTTACGGTAGGCTTGATGTCCGGATAGAAATCACGTTAATATGAGTACTAAAGCGTGTCAGAAACAGGAAAGGAACAACCAGGCGTCACAGAATGAGAATTGCGTAACGAGAGGGTTGTTCAATGCTCCAACGCATTTGAAAAGCTTGTTCTTGATCACCTAATAACTGTGGCGCGTACCTACTTGAGGCCTCATTCTGCATTGTTGTCAGCCACAGCATAAAAAAATTGGCACGACATTTTTTGCGACTGTGTAGCGGACACCATGCTTCTCCTAAGAATGACAAAAGATAGCATAGTGAATGCCGGCTTACTACACAGAAATTATGAATATTTGTGACGCAGTGGGCAACCACCAGGCGTGTCTATACCCGTTTCTTAGAGTGTTTAGAAAAGGCTTTGAAAGGCCGCTCTTCCAACTCTCGCTGTAAATATGCTTTGCGTTCCTCGCAAGACTGTTTTTTTTGCCAGTAATGCAAATCTTTCTGCACATATAAATGTCATCATTCAGTTTGACTGTATTGTCTTTGGAAAGTTAGTTAACTTTTTGCTTCACGCAGGTCACTCAGTACCTCAAGGAGACGCACGGACTCCAACCGCAGCCAATGCAAATTCCCGAGATGCGATTCGCCGTGTTCACGTTGTTCAAGGTTGCCGCTGCGAAGGAACCCCAGCCGTTGTCCGAGATGTACAGGCCCGGCGGCTTCAACACTTTAGTTGAACTGTTCCGTCTCCTGGTGGGAGCTGGCCGCCACACACTGGCAGCGTTGGTCACGTGCAAAATGGCGTCACTTTTCCGCTTCCGTTCTGAGCAGGAAGGTGAAGCGTTAGTCGCTTCATTAGAAAATGCACGTGACCGGTTTGAGGAAAAGCTGGGAGATAATGGAGTACTAGTCCTACCCGCAGCGACGAGCGCTGCATTGTTTCGGAATCAGGACGTTCTCATCTTCGATTCGCCGGACACAGTCACTCTGTTTAACTTGTTCCAGGCACCCGCCACAGTGTGCCCCGTAATGCGGTCAGTGAATAACTTGCCCTTGTGTGTGCAGGTTGTTGCCAAGAGAGGAAATGACAGGCTATGCCTTGCGGTAGCCAGGGAAATAGAGAAGCACTTTGGTGGGTGGATGGATCCTTCAGTGAATTGTTAATGAAGGGTTCCTCGACCAGTTTTTGGGTCATTTAGATATCTCACTATGCATTAGCGAAGGTGCTTTAAGTTGTGCATGCCCATGCAAAACCTGTTTCCATGCAAGCGCACCAGTAAAGAATAAAAAAAAATGGCAGCATATCCACGGAGTGAATGCTGGAGAGTGGGGTGAAGCATTCGTCCGTCCATGCGTCCGTCTGTGTGACCGTTCATGTGTCCATCTGCCCGTCCGTGCATTCGTCTGTTCGTGCGTCCGTCCCTGCGTTCGTCCATGCATCCGCCCCTGCGTACGTTCATACGTCCATCCATGCATCTGTCTGTGTGTCTGTTCGTACATCTATTCAACACTCCAAGTACCATCATCTCGCATCTTTTCATCATATATTCCCCATATAGAAGCACCGCCATCCAGCGGACATTTCAAGGACTAAACGAGAGGTGGCACACACACACTTTTTTACGGCTTGCGCTTCGAGTCTACTTCCCACCTTTAACCACCTTGAGTTCATGGTATATACTAGTTCACTGTATTCATGGCACTGGGGCCCAACGCTCGCTAAATCTTTTTGAAACCAAGGAGGTTACGCCCAGCGAGTATAACGTAGGAACCCTTTTCTGTCAGGTAGTGCTCAATGTACATGCCAATGGCTGCTAATGGGGATCAGTGCATGTGCGTTCACTAAAAGCCGAATGCTCCTGTTTCTCATTCCCCGTTAGCTGTCATTGGCATGTACATTGAGCACTATCTTTTATTGTTCAACAACGCACAGAAGAAATCTCTCGCCGGCACCACCTTGGAGGTCAAAACGTTATACATGTTACACACTACAATGGCTACGAGGGACGAACGGGTGCCGCTGTAAGAAGCTTCGCCCCTAAAAACACACACACACCTTATTTGCCAAAGCTTGTTTTTCGAGCTTTTGAACACCCTATGAGAAGAATCGGAACCGACGATTATTATCTGCACACTGAGAAATTGCGTCAAAAATAAGCAATAGCTGGTTTCAAAAAGGTGTATGTAAAAGGTAAGCATGAAAAGCAGTTCTTATGATTTTTTCTCAGAAATTCTTGCAAATGTACTCTAGTGTTTCTGGTGGCTTCTTGTGCATGATGTCTTCATGATGGCTTCATGATGGCTTCTTGCACATGAATCTTCAGAAGCACTTGCTGTGTCAAAATCGAAGTATAAACTTCGCACAGTCAGCTTATATTAGCAGCTTATCTTCCACAGCCTTTGATTATGAAATCAATCTACTTGTTTATCGAATAATATTGAACTTGTTTATGCGTTATATAAATATGCTTATTATTGAACGGAAATGACGAGTGCTTCTCAGATGTTGTCAGCTGTCTTCAAGTATTCAGTATTTAACTCTGCTTATTCGCAAAGAGATAAGTTTTACATTTCGGCAGAAACTTACGTTAGTAAATTTCTTCGAGGCATTTTGATTCAACACGGTAAAAGCAAACAAACATCATGTCTGAAATGTTATCTTATATCGAAGAATGCGCAAGGCTGAGTGAGATTGGCGAAAGATGTGCGCAATCTTACACATGATTTATTTTCATCGGTGTGGCTAAATGACCACATTACTGGGCGTCTAGGATGGGGTGGCACGCATTGGCTGTATTTGATATCACTGTAAAATAAGCGATAACTAAGAGCATCACCGCAACTCATAAAGCCAAAACTTCTACTTGGTGCTGCGAAAGAAAATTTGCGTATTTGTTGGGTAATAATTTTTTGATGCAATGTAAAACGATTTCGCTAGCTTTCTTGCAGCGGAACATTTTTCCGCTCGGAACCTAAATGCACATGCAATTTTCGAGGAAAGTAATAACTGACATTGACAAGAGCTCTAAGCTGTAGTATAGGCCTGATGAAAGCGTCCTCAGAGATCCCAATCAAGTCGGTCGCTTCAGGAAAGAACAAAGAGGTGGTGACTCTCAGCGACGGCCTAGACTCTCTGGTTAGCCTGTATATTTGAAGAGTTATGTAGAAACTTCTTAAGCTTCATCTCACTTCGTCTGATAGGGCAGACCGGAGTCCACATTGAATGGCCATAGCCAGATAATATGAACCTGAGAAAAAGACTCATGTCCGCATTTCGAGCAGGACTGTGGAATTTCAGGATCTCAATAGTCTTTCTTTTCTTTTACAGAATGCTATCTATCTATCTATCTATCTATCTATCTATCTATCTATCTATCTATCTATCTATCTATCTATCTATCTATCTATCTATCTATCTATCTATCTATCTATCTATCTATCTATCTATCTATCTATCTATCTTATCTATCTATCTATCTATCTATCTATCTATCTATCTATCTATCTATCTATCTATCTACTATCTATCTATCTATCTATCTAGCTATCTATCTATCTATCTATCTGCCTGCCTGCCTGCCTGCCTGCCTGCCTGCCTGTCCGTCCGTCCGTCCGTCCGTCTGTCTGTCTGTCTGTCTGTCTGTCTGTCTGTCTGTCTGTCTGTCTGTCTGTCTGTCTGTCTGTCTGTCTGTCTGTCTGTCTGTCTGTCTGTCTGTGTATATATCAACAAGTTGCGCAGGCACACCATTTCAACAACCATTGGTTGTTGTGGTAGTGCGCCTGCGCAGTGTGTTGGTATATAAACGCGTAGATCTGCCTTTTTTGCAATCGGTTGTTCGTGTGTGCTTGCGGTTGTTTGTTGCTTCCTGTCTAGTATTGACACACACGATGATTTCTATACCAGGATTTAGTGATTCAGCAATAGAATAGCATACGACATCAATACGAAGAAGATGGACATGTCTCGCATCGATGTGACGTAACACGTGCCAAACAAGTGCAGATGTCTCAACCCTATCAATCGTAAGGTAATTATATCTGGAACTATGTTTTACTGCGGAAGCGTGTAGCTTTCTTACACCCTGCAGCCTTGGTAGGGCCGAGCGGTAGCGGGTAGATGGAGGGTGCTGATGATGGGCTTGTTCGTATAGTACATAATTAGGGCAGTTTCACGAAGAATCACATGGACAAAAATAACAAGGCGGGGTACAGCGCTTTGTCCCTTCTTCCTTACGCTGTTTACGTGATTATTTGCGCTACCACCTGAACTAATTGCCTCAATGAGGCAACACCTAATAAAGTTCTTGCACGATATTTTTGGTGTGATTCGTTGTTTTATCTATTGAGATATGTAAAGCGTGTCAGTGAAGTTGTGTGTGCAAAATATTCGGCAGATGCCACGTACCTTGCATGGTAATCGATGTTATGCGAAGCATGGGCATGCAAGCTGACTGTGTTGTAATTTTTTCATCGACCGAAACGTTACGAGATGGCGAGAAGGAAATGTACAAGTGTACGCATAGACATACGTTAAACAGTCGCACATGTTTTATATCACCAGTTGTTTAGAGTTGCGTAACGATGCCAACAACAACATGAATATCACCAACACTAGACGGTGTAAGCGTATATGTACATAGCGCTTCTCCTCGTGAGGATCGTAGCCCTGCACACTGCTACATAAATAAACTGATCGGACGACACATGACTGCAATTGATAACAGGACGAGACGACTGTATCGTATAGTGTTCGATTCCTGATGAGCCATTTATTCTTTGCAATCGTCCGGTCAACGCTGCCGATGTCCACTATTTTTTAACTACCAAGCGTTGAAATTAACCATATGTCGTCTCGCCGTTCCTGAGTAGATATAAAATATCATACACGTGGGGCACATACCCAACCTCGGATATGTGCCACTGTTCTTGGAAAGTGTTTGATGATTTACGCGATGGGATTGTGACATTATTCATGTATGACCACCGTGCCATATTCGTTAAACCATCTTACCTTCCCATGCAAATGCATATTTTCGTTCACGTCAAGTGAAGGGGGTGATCATGATAGCACCCCCGTACTATATATATATATATATCACGTAGTCTAATATATTCTTACTATATATATATATATATATATATATATATATATATTTAGTAAGAATTCATTGGACTTTATCTTCCTCATCTGTCAATAACCATCATCAGTCTTCGTTTCGTCCTTCATCATTGGCGCCATCTTGCTGTTGCTTGAATAAAGCGTCAGCTGAACCGTGGTATTTCAAGTGGTGGAAGGTGCTTCCCGATCTCTTCGACATTTCTCCATCCAAAGCCAGCTCCTGGAGCTCCGTTCGGAACGTCGCTTACGCCAGCAGAGCACCATGGCACAAGAGCAAGCCCAACCGAACTACCCGCCGGCGCAACCACCCGCTGCCAACCCTAGCCCGGTCAACAACCCCACTCGGGAACCTCCAATCTTCTCCGGTCTGCCTGGCGAAGATGTCGAAGACTCGCTCGACAACTATGACCGCGTAGGGGTCTACAACAACTGAAACGAGGCATCGAAATTAGCACGCGTCCAGTTTTACGCATCTCAGGTTGCCAAGACATGGTTACTAAAGCATGAGAGCAACTTCCGCGATTCGTCCTCGTTCAAAGAGCAGCTTCGACGTATTTTCGGCACAACGACCGTTCGTTCGTTTCTTGGAAGAAACTGGCAGAAGGCGTTCAAAATTACGGTGAGTCCTACGCTTCTTATATTGAGGATGTGCTTGCACGTTGCCGCCGTATCGACGACACCATGCCAGAAGCTGATCGTGTCCGGCACCTTCTGAAGGGTATCGGACCTACCACTTTCAACGCCCTTGCCGCGCACAAGTCTTCGACGGTTTCGGACGCCGTCTCTGTATGCTAGCGGCTTGATACCTTGCAGTCAATCCACCTTCGACCCGACTTCTGTGAGAACCCCCTGGCAAATGGAGCTCCGATCCATCATTCGAGCCATAATTCGTGAGGAATTGCAAGCATACATCCTTCTAACAACGTTCCCGCTCAACGCGCCTGTAGCGATCTGCGTGGTAATATTAGGGAAAGAATGTCAGCGTTTCAAAGCACCCGCCATGCTCCACCTTGCCCCCGACCCGCTTCGTATGCACAGATCACTGCAATGCAACCCTCGCCGTCTCAAGTACCACCACCTGTACCTGATCACGAACATCTCGCACCTCTAGTCGCCCATCCACCGAACCCTACCTACCATTCTTCCTGGCGGGCCCCACGGCCTATTTGCTACTGCTGTGGAATTCGAGGACACATTTCCCGGTTATGTCGACGTCGGCAGCAAGATGAACGTCGTGTTTATACCGCTTTTGAACGTGACGACACATGCGCTCGAGGTTACTACCGTTATGCCGAAGGTCCTTCCAACCACCGATCCCCGTCTCCTGTGTGTATTTCCAACACGAACAACAATAAACGTGCCTCCCGACCACGCTCCCCTTCGCCACTTCGACTCTCTGTTTCACCACTTAGGCCTGTCTCTCAACTGACTGCCCAGCGATCGGAAAACTAAACAGTGCAGTTTTTGGATGGAAAACTGCATCACGGCGTAATGACCAAAGTCCTCCTGAACGACCGTCAAACATGTTATCGGTGACTGCGCATGGTGTGCGGGTGTTAACTTTCGTGGACACGGGAGCAGCTATTTCAGTTATGCGTGCCGACTTGTGTTCTCGATTGCGGAAAGTGAAGACACCCTACCTTAGGTCATTTTTGGTTGGGGCCGATGGAGCAACAATTAGACCATCGGCCCTGTACAGCGCGTGTCTTCATTGATGGTATTCGTCATCACATCACCTTCGCTGTCTTAATTTCATGTGCTCATGAACTAATTTTAGGTTCCGACTTTCTATCATCAGCATCTGCATTATTTCTTGCCGTCAACATGTAGTCGAGATGACCGAGACCACACTGCAGCGAACGAGTCGACGAGAAACCATTGCGTTTTTTCACAGCTTCCGATTCCATACTGCTCCCGGGTCAGGAGCAACTCATCACCATTACTTCTCCGAATATTGCCAATGGTGACGTCCTTATCACCCTTTCCAGCCACTGTCTAGCTCGCGGCGTTGTAGTCCCCTTGGCCTGGTCAGGTTCAAAGACAGTGCTGCGATAATCCTTGGCCTGAGCTCTACCCCGGAGCCTGTCCTCCTACCCTAAGGTTCTGCAGTGTTGTGTTATGTGGATACCCAACCGATATCTTTAGTCTCTCTTGACGGCTTGACAGCTCAGCCACAACAGGGCCAGTCTGTTACTTCCTCCTCCTTTGCTCCCGGGATAAATCCTGACCTTTCTGCTTCTCAACGTGAGGCGTTGCTAAGTTTGCTAACAAAATACCAGGCCTCCTTCGACGCCAATGCTTCGGCAACAGGACAGACCACAGTTGCGCATCATCACACCGACATTGAAGGTCAGACTGTTGTACGCCGTCGTCCCTACCGAGTATCCTTGACCGAGCGCAAAATCATCGAGGAGAACGTGGCCGATACGCTAAAAAGAAACATCATACGATTTTCTACCAGTTCTTGGTCATCACCCGTTGTGTTGGTACAAAGAAAAAGAATGGATCGGTACGATTTTGTGTTGATTACCGCGTGCTCAACAAGATTACCCGAAAGGATGTATATCCGATGCCCCGTATAGATGATGCACTTGACTGATTGCAAGGCGCCCAATACTTCTCCACCCTTGACCTTCAATCCGGATATTGGCAAATACCAGTGGACGAAGCAGACAAAGAAAAGACCACCTTTTCTACGCCGGATGGTCTTACGAGTTTAATGTAATGCCATTCGACCGATGTAATGCTCTCGCCACATTTGAAAGGAGGATCGACACTGTTCTTCATGGCCTCAAGTGGAAAACTTGTCTATGCTACCTCGATGATATCGTCGTGTTTTCTTCCACTTTTGCTGATCATGTGCAACGTCTAGATCAAGTGCTCACAAGTCTCCCCAAAGCTGGACTTCAACTAAGCAGAAAGAAGTGCCATTTCGGCAACACAGCTATAAAAGTTCTGGAACATCTCGCTAGTAAAGAGGGCATCCAGCGCAATCCGGACAAAATTTTCGCAGTCCTCAACTTTCCGCGACCTTTTGTTCCAAAGAACTACGCTGTTTCCTTGGACTCGCATCGTACTTTCGCCGCTTCATTCGCAACTTTGCCAGTATTGCCGCTCCTCTCCACAAGCTTCTTGCTAGTACCAGTTCCTTCTATTGGAATCATAATGCGACGCCTCATTTCAAGAACTCAAGCACGCACTGACATTCCCACCGGTGCTTTGTTATTTAGACGACAAGGCACCTACGTTAATACACACTGACGCTAGTGGACAAGAAATCGGCGCTGTACTCCTCCAGCGTGACAATGCCTTTCACGAGAAAGTTGTCGCTTATGCAAGCTGCACTCTGACCTTTGCAGAGAAGAGGTACTCGATAACCGAACAAGAGTTCTTGGCTGTTGTCTGGTCCATCGAAATATTTCGTCCGTATCTACATGGTCGACATTTTTACTGTTGTGACAGACCATCATGCTCATTACTGGCTGTCCACAATAAAAAAAAAACTTGTCGGGACGACTTGGCCGCTGCATTCTCCGGTTACAATCATATCACTTTGACGTCATCTACAAGACTGGAAGACAACACCAAGATGCCGACGCTTTGTCACGATGTGCTTTGCCGCAGTCTTCGGCGCACGTCACATCCCCTTGTCAAATTGTCTATATGGAGAACGCCTCGTCGATATGATCCACTTTTTCCCTACCTTCATCCACCCGTCCGTCAGTACTTACCACTCACCACTGACCTCATCCCTCATTGCACTGACCTCATCGGTCGGCTTACCGGCGGTTCATCTTCCCCAAATGCCAGGCTCCGGAAACAACTTCGACTATTCAAGTTGGAGGTCGATGTGTTATATCGATACATTTTTCACCCGGAAGGCCACCGATGGGTTCCCGTCGTACCACGCGCACTACGCACTGAAGTTCTGCGCGCTTCCCACGACGACCCGACGTCAGGCCATTTGGGTTACTAGAAAATATACGAGCGCATCCGCAGTCGATTCTTCTGGCCAGGTCTTTCCACGACGGTAGCTAAATGTATTGCCTCATGCGCACTTTGGCAACACTGCAAGCGGCCCACTACTGCTCCAGTCGGGACGCTACAACCACTTCCTTGACCAGCAGAGCCGGTCTCTGTCGTCGGAATCGACCTGTTTGGGTCCCTCCCAACTATATCAGACGGCCAGAGATGGATCGTCAACGCGGTTGATCACTTGACCCGGTACGCTGAGATAGCCTCGACCACTTAAGGAACTGCTTCCGAAGTAGCAACTTTCTTCTTGAATGTTATTTACCTATGTCACGGAGCCCCTCGTGTTCTTTTGAGCGACCGGGACAAGGCATTTCTTTCAAGCACCCTCAGTGAAGTTCGCCAAGCATCAAAAACAGTTCATAAAACAACATCTAGCTATCACTCACAAACCAATGGCCTAACGGAAAGATTTAATCGCACGCTGTGTGACATGCTGTCCGTGTATATTCGACCGGAACATCGCAGTTGGGATGCCATACTTCCCTTTGTCACGTATGCATGTAATACGTCAGGTCAACGAACCACAGGCTATTCTTCATTTACGCTTACGGACGCCAACCGACATCACCACTCGACGTTTCGTTCTTTTCTGGCCCGTAAACTCTTCACCATTCGTTTGCGATCAGTTTCTGTCCCGTGTTGCTCAATGCCGTCGTCTTGCCCGTGTGAACACCGAAGCTTGCCAAGAAGATCGCAAACATCGTTACGATACCACCTACCGCGTCCTTCTCTACCGCCCTGGCGACGATGTACATCTGTGGACTCCAGCACGAACGCCTGGCTTGTGCGAGAAGCTTGAGTCGCGCTATCTTGGCCCCTACAAAGTTGTCGAACAGACCTCACCGATGAACTACCGTATCACACCTGTTCATGCCCCCGCTGACCAACGCTGCCGCGGGACAGATATTGTCCACGTTTCGCGTTTCAAGCCCTATCGTATGCATTCCACAGCGTAATTCGCAGCCAGGCTGGCCGCTTCGGTCGACGGGGGAAATTAGTGTAAGAATTCATTGGAGTTCATCTTCCTCATCTGTAAATAACCATCATCAGTCTTCGTTTCGTTCTTCTTCATCATGGCCGCCATCTTGCTGTTTTGCTTGAATAAAGCGTCAGCTGAACCGTGGTATTTCAATATATATATATATATATATATATATATATATATATATATATATATATATATATAGAGAGAGAGAGAGAGAGAGAGAGAGAGAGAGGAGATTGAATAAAGTGCCTACGGTACGCAAAGATTGTCTTCGAATTTAGTGAGCTGCGCTTGAAACAATACCAGCCGCAGTTAGGATGCGTACACTGAGCGCAGTGCAGGTGGAATTGTTAGTAAAAGGGCTCTCAACACTTTGGTCATCTTTTCTGCTACATCGGGGCTGAAAAGTTCGTCCGTCTATTTTTGAGACTCCCTATACGCGTTGTGTGACCTTGTATTGCGCGTTATCTACGAGATAGTGAGTGTAACCAGGGGCTCCAGAACTCCAGAACATTGGGGGCAGTGGGGGCCGTCCGTCGCCCCCACAGGTTAGAAACCAAGGGGCATGCCCCCCCCCCCCCGCGCGCACCACTGAAAGCTGCTACGACCCCTCCTCCCCTCCTTTTCCAGCCTTTGTGCGAAGGTGTATATATATATATATATATATATATATATATATATATATATATATATATATATATATATATATATATACTTTCCCACAAACACAAACGTCGCGCCCACACTTCAGATATACTTCCGGAGTCTCTGAGTGTGGCTGATAAGGAATAGCCTTCGAACACAACCTAAGCGAGATAGCTCGAAGTGGGAGGCGTGTAAATAGGCGGGCATATTCTTGTATACAGCGTTGTTCGTGCAATGGCTACCGTATTAGTAAGTTGTCGTGAGCTGTTACGGGAGTTGGGCACATTCTTGCGGTGCATTGTGGCCAGGGTTGTGTTTGCTTTGTGGTTCTTCTGGAAAAACCCTCTACAACTTCCACCTGTAACCGACAAGCTGCTTCTTCGTTCGGCGGCGTCTCTTGCTGCCGACATTAGAAATGGCAAGGTAAAGTGGCTTGAAAACTTGCCTTGCGTTCAAAATTGTTTCCTTTTATAGGCCATGAAATAAGTGCACAGACGAGACATCACGCTCGCTCAAAAAAAAACTAATCCACAATTCAACACTGTTTAAAGTGCTGCTTCTTTTTGATGGCTGCCGAAGCACTAAGCGTGAGTTTGTTCGCACAGTTAAAACTACGCCTATGTAAATGTAAAATGTTTTTTTAGTGCATAGCGCAATGCAGGACAGCAACTGTGGTTTGCAAAAGTGCTTGCTTTGGGGCGCGTGTAGGTGCTTGGTATTAATCGTGGTGTAACATGGAGGAAAAAAAAAACACGGAGACACAGTAACACAGACAACGGGCGCCTTTCTTTTTTTTCTACGAGCAACTTTGATGGTCTGTCGTGGTAAAACAATGACTAGGCTCCTCCGTTGCTGACCCGATCATCGCGGGTTCAATCTCTGCTGGTGTGGTCGCATTTCGACGGAGGCGCAATGGTAGAGGCCCGTCTACTAAGGACACCAGATGGTCAAGATTTCCAAAGTCCTCCACTACGACGTCTCAGATAACCTTATGGTTGTTGTGGGATATAATATCACAGATATTATTGTCGACAACTTTAATGTAAAGTTGGCCAAATACAGTACATACTGCTCCAAACGCGCAGGTGCCAAAGTGACATCCGGCAGGCTACAGAGCACCCAGACATAGCAACCATTGTGAGCAGTGAAACTGAACAGGACACACGAGAAGGGCGAGACGTATGTTCTTCCTCGTGTGTTCTGTTTAGTTGCGCTGCTCACAATGGTTTCTATGTCAAAACAACAACTCACCGTATAGTAAATTCATTTAAGAAGGACATCAACAGTATGACTATAAAAATGCAAGTTCCACGGCAAACAACATTGTAGAACCTTGGACCACATGCGTAAGATTTGCAATGGTCAGAAACATTTGCAATGTATTCGTTCGAATTGTTAGCGTGCTCCCTCATTCTGTCATTGACGCAGTGGCGAATTTGTCTGCTTGCCACACGACTTCGAGGTTTCATAGACCACGCCGGTGGTGCAACGCACATACCAATTGATAATCATGGCAGCCTTTCAAATGGCTGCTCATGATGATCAAATGGCCTCGAACAACTGACCCTAAATCACATTTGTCCAACTTTTTATGGCACTGTGCAAATATGCACCGATTGGTCAGCCACAAAGCATACCCCCGCGACAGCCTTTTCCATCCCACAAAAAGTCATCGCTCGACGTATCAAAGTAGACCACACAACCAAAGTAACTGGTGCACACGTTGTTTCTATCTAGGAGGTCATACATTATCTTTCAACAGAGAGATGATATTTTGTGATATCAAACCTGTTATTCAAACCATCGGCGGCATGAGGCTCGCATTATACTTTATCTAGAGCAACCGCACAGCTTCTCGACGTTACTACAAATATTGGCTGTCGTATCACTCTTCATTGGATAGCTGCTCAGAGTGGCTTAATGTGGAATGAAGAAATGGACGCTGAAATTATAATAACTGCAAATAATGGCTCGTGAATGCGCATTGTGTTTTTGCGATTAGGCATTGACGCATTGCTTTGGCACGTAATGGGCAACTGCACATTCGAACACTGGAACGAACCAGGACGTTGGCAATGGTGACTGTATGAAAAGAACCTGTATATTAGCTTCTGTTTGATTCAGGAACTAAAGCGAAACATCGCAACAGACACTGCCATCATCAGCCGGACTCAAGGAGGATTAAAGAAAAATTGCTGGAGTGGAAGCTCCCGCAATGCCTTGCCAGAAGAAGTGAAGCCAGCTTTTGCCACTGCCAAGATGGCGGAAACGTGCTCTTTTCTGATAGTGCCCACTTGAAGATCAAGTGGCTTTGATATGTTATGTAAATTCTGCGTTAGTTCTTTATTAAAAGAAATTTGTTCCCGACGAAATAGCACACAGAAACGAGTATGGATGACTGAATCTTCAAAGAATGTTGCCTCCAATTAGAGCCTCACTAAGGAAAACTGGTAACTGTAAGACGCACTTGGAGCACTATGTGACCCGACAAAGTTCACACAATAAACTCGTTGGGCGTGTGAGGGAAACGCTTCGTTTTTAATCGCTGAACGGTAGTACTTAAACTTGCCCCTAGTAAGATGGCCGCCACAGCCACCATCTTGCCAGAGTAACGGCTTCACTTCTGCGCAATCATTTCCACTCCAGCAACTTTTTTAATCCTCCTTGGCTGGACTACGCCCACTGTAGGGCAAAGGCCTCTCCCATGATCAGCCAATCAACCCAGTCTTGTGCTTTCTGCTGCCACGTTATACCTGCGAAATCTTTCACCCCATCGGCCCACCTAACTTGTTTTTTCCCTCTGGGAATTCATTGCGTTACCCTTAACGATCAGCGGTCATCCTGTTGCTCTCTACTTTGCTCTCTACTTGTGTCTTGAGGTGGCACGTATCAGGTTACTTTCCATCGCTCGCTGCATCGTCCACCAGATACATTTATGCCCAAGTAATTAACTTCAGTGACAAAGGTCTCATTTGTTCTCACTGTTAGGTAAAAGAACCTCTGGAACATATATTTTACGTCATAGCACACCATTTACTGATGAGGTGTCGTTAAATCCTTGACATGATGTGAACAGCGCAAATGTTTTTATAGGAGCGGCAACAGGAGCGTTCTTATAAGCCACTCGACTAGATATACGCGTTAGAGTTCCCCAGACGTGACGGGACTATTTTCCCCTTCCTGGCTTGCCATCACCATTCATCCCTCATTTGATGCGCAGCATCTCTTGCTGGGGTGCATGTCTCACAGCGTCAGTGTCCACACTCACACTACTCATGCACAACTTAATTCTTTCCTCTCCTAAGCCAACACCGACTAAATTCCAAGGCCGAAAGGCTGCCGCAGTGACGTCAGAGGTTGGAGGCCCAGTTACGCAACTGAGCATGCTCAGTAAGACTTTTTTTTTCCACATCTTTTATTCGGCCCTATCAAGCCGCAGCAGCTGCGAGAGCGGGAGCGTTTGTTCTCCTAAAACGCGAACGAAACACCGGCTTTCCGCAGCGTTCGCGGCGTAACTGGGCCTCCACCCTCTGACGTCACTGCGGCAGCCTTTCGGCCTTGGAATTTAGTCGGTGTTGCCTAAGCTCCCCTTCTTTCGCCTCGCAACGCCGACGCAGGCAGCGTCTGCTAGAGAGTTTTTTTGATTAAAAAAAAACTGACTGCTCGCCAAGCATAATCGTCAACTAGTCATACTCTTTTTATAGTCACTGGATCTTGAGCTCCAAGCTAGTGCTGGTGGGAGATTTCTCCTGTGCGTTTTAGGCATCGAAAATTCGCACCGTGAGCGGTGAACAAAAGCAGGCTGCCGGTCTTTGTATGCAGTCGGAGTCTTCTGTTTCTCACTGTTCATTAGCAGCAACTGGCACGTTCCAGTAGGAAACACGGGTCCATCACTGCGTGTTTTTCGCCTCCCCAAGTGTCTCTCCTGCGCAGCACCGTGACGAGTGCCAGCGTTAACGTCGCCACAAGAGTAAGCGTTAGCGCCCGCCGTTTCGCATCTACACATAGTACTATTTAGTGGAAGAGGGCGTAGTTTTTGCTTCTCTGTCCCCCTTACCCATTGTTGAGTAGCAGGATAGAGCGAACTGTGACTTAAACCCTTCTCTCTGCCCTCTTGTAAATAAACTCACTCCATTTCTCTTTCTTTCTTTTTTTGCTAAGATGATTGATTGATATGAGGAGTTTAACGTCCCAAAACCACCTTATGCTTATAAGAGACGCCATAGTGGAGGGCTCCGGAAATTTCGACCGCCTGGAGTTCTTTAACGTGCACCCAAATCTGAGCACACGGACCTACAACCTTTCCGCCTCCATCGGAAATGCAGCCACCGCAGCCGAGATTCGAGCCCGCGACCTGTGGGTCAGCAGCCGAGTACCTTAGCCACTAGACTACCGCGGCGGGGCGTTTTTTTGCGAACTACCCACTTAACAAGAGAATCACGACAGCATACAGACGTAGACAAATGAATGGAAGAATGGATAGATAAACAGATATATATATATATATATATATATATATATATATATATATATATATATATATATGTATAGCAATGGCAAATGTGACTTTCGTCTGCAAGTGTTATTCTCATAATGCCGCCTGATATCCAGTACGCTTCCTTTGGCTTAACTTAACACGCTACATCAGGTCTACTCCCCTCTTTCGTACGTTTACTGTCTGTGTTGTGCTGTTGATGTGCCGATAGGAGGGGGGGGATGGACACCTTGTCAGAAATTTAGCAGCTGCTTATCACAAGAGAAATGCATTGGATGATTTATTATCTGGATAAACAACGGAAACAAGTGAAGAATGGTAGCAATTATAGAACAGTCCTGTCCCTCGTTCATGCAGGTGAAGAGCGTGGACCTTGTGTCGGCATACATAAGACGCATCCGGGAGGTGCAGGCCATTATCAACGCTGTCGTCGAGGAGAGATTCGAAGAGGCCCTCAAGGATGCCGCGGAGGTGGATAAGCTGGTGGCATCAGGAAGCATGAGCGCGAGCCAAATGATCGAAGAAAAGCCTCTTCTGGGACTGCCGTTCACTTCCAAAAACAGCATTGCCATCAGAGGTTACTTGGCAATTCCAGAAAACCAAGAACGCATTCATTGCTAGCGAGACCATAACGGCAATCGTTATGTTTGCAGGGGCTGGTAGATGCCATATATGGAGTACTGCTATTCTTTACGTGTGGTAAAGCGTTACAGGCTAGGGAAGTTGAACAATCCACAGGGAGTTCCATTAAACTGACCGCGCTGTTGGCTTTATGTTACCACTAAAAAACCGCCGAAATCAACCAGCCACTTTTTTCTTTTTAAGTAGTATTCAGGAATTTGTGTTTCAGACTAGTAGCAAGAAAAAAAAAGGGGGGGGGGGAGGGTGAACGGGAGTATTGCACCCGTTAAATAAATACCTCGGAAATTCTTAGATGCGTGCAACAGTGACAATGATGGTCACTGCTTAACTATTTTCTATTCATATTGCGTTTGAATAAAGGGGATACGTTGTGCCATTGTATAGTGACATTTATTTGCATAAAACCGTTTGTGGCCACATGGTATGGTTCGCGTAACTCAAATTGAAGTGTTTTTTTCTATGCGTACTCATCAAAAATAGAAAAAGAAGACTGCAAGCACACGATGTTGTGTGCTTCAGTTTCATCTTCTTCTTCGATGCCTGGGCTGGTATGTTTAGGCAGACTATGTAAAAAATCTGCAGCTAAATAGTTCCTAATTAGGGACACATGTAACTGCGATTGCGAAACCTTTTTGCAAAAACGTTATACGGAAAGACATAGCGTAAGAAAAAATCACAGCATATCCACGGAGTGAATGATGATGAGTGGGGCGAAGCGTCCGTCAGCCCGTCCGTGCTTCTATCCGTCCATTCATTCTAGCTTCCGTCCGTCCGCGCGACCATCCACGCGTCCATCTATGCGTCCGTCCGTCTGTCCGCGCGTTCGTTCGTGAGTCCATCCATTCATCTTTCTGTGTGTCTACCTTTCTGTTCGTGCATCCATCCGCCCGTACGCCCACGCGCCTATCCATCCGTCCGTCCGTCTGCCAGTCTGTTTGTCCGTCCGTTCATCCGTGCATCCATCTAGTGAACACTCCAAGTACCGCCACCTCCCATCTCGCATCCCCTGTGGCACATACCCGCTATAGAGGGGGTATGTGCCACGGGTGGTTACGTACTCCCGCTACATACAAGGGATAAACATACCCACACCTTAAGGAGCTTCGCCCCTAAAATTAACAATCTGTTATCACATCTGAGATCGATGGCAAGTGCTCAACGCGTGTAAGCAAGGAATGTCAAGATGTCATATTATACTACGCCAAACTTGCCTAACTCGCAATTCTGCTTCAGAATAACATAATTTGTGACATTTTCGGCAGAGCTGATTTGTAGTACCAGCGCAGTGCAGAGCTTGTGCCTGTAATATCTAGCATTCAAAGCTGACTATACTCAGTCAATATAGAAACCGGGGGGCGGGAGCGGCTGGCCATAAACTGTGAAAAGATAAGACAACCACCCGTATTTAGCATGAAGCCACAAGGAATCGTACGGATTTCTGAAAAAAAAAAGCTTCTTAGTTGCTGAAAAATTCGTCCTGGTCGGCGGATCCAATGCCACTACTAAGCAACTTAGTCAAAAAAACTATGCCCCAGATACCTCAATTTATGTAGGTCAATCGTTCAGAAATCAATGAAAATTTTATTCTGTTCAACAAACATCGTATCCATGTCCTCTAAGCATCGATCTTCTTGCTTGGCGTCATTGTGTTAACTTCAACGTTAATTTGATCATGCATTACCACAGGCAATAGCAGCAGCATAACAGGGTGAAAGTGGTGCGCCTAGTCGAACAATTTTGACGTTCCAGTGTGTGTGTGTTTCCGCTTCACTCCCTCCCTCTCTCATATTTCTTCCCTAATTTTCTGTCTCCAATTTTCTACGCAGGAAACCGGATACTTGCTTTCTAGTTAACCTCCCTGCCTTTCCGCATCTCCCATCTCTGTATATATAATAGTAGTGGGTACGGATGTAGTGGGTACGTAATCAGGTACACAGATAACATGTACGTACCTGATTCATAACATTTTCATAGAACAACAACTGATTTGTAAAGAGGGTCGTGGTATTTCTGAAATATTAGTTGAAGCTGTACGCCTTCGTTCTCGTCCCAGGCATGCGACATGACGCGGGCTCCCTCTTCTGGCTTGGGCGGCGCGCTTTGGAGGACGCCCCGAGCGTGGCGTCCTTGAGGCAAGCCGGTGCCATTCCACTGGCGCTGACCAACGTGCCCGAGCTGTGCATGTGGAGCGAGTCGTACAACTTGGTCGACGGCTGCACGCGGAACCCGCACGACACCCGCCGAAGCCCCGGTGGAAGCAGCGGTATATGACTTGCACGTATCTGCTATAGGCAACTGCGGGTCACGGCATTCATCTGTAAGCTTCATCATGTGTGTGTTTCGTCTTGTCATGAGCAGCTTTCACACTTCTTCTATCTCATCATTCTAAAAGCAGATCTTGCGTTCTCTTTCTATGAAAGAAAGACTAGTGAATTTAAGGGCTCACTTTGTTTACACAATATTATTGAGAAGTGACACACAATCATGCCGAGGAGAGTAAAGGGGATGTTGTTAGAAACAATTGTCATGCAAATGTGAAGAAAGAAAAAAGGACGAAAAGTTAGCTTTCCATTGGCAGGATCCTTTAAATTCGAAGGTCGCATGTTCGTCCCCTGCCCAGGGCAAGTTATTTTTCGTCCACTTTCCTTTCTTCACATTTGTATTACAATTACTTCAATAACGTCCTCTATACCCTCCTTGGCATTATTGTTTGTTAGTTTTGATTTGTTTTAGATAAATGTCGGCCAACATGAGCGTTCTCGGTGTTTTCCGTAAGTTAGGCGTATAAGGAAGAAGAAAGTATCGCCAAATCATCCCCCCCCCCACCCTACACTCTGGTGTAGTCTGAAAGCCAACGAGGGTCGTGATGGAAGAAAAGTGAAATAGGCAAAAAATTGAACATGTGGCAGCACACACCAGGTTCCATAAACAACACGCACACAGGGGTTCCTGGTGTCTGTTGCTGTATGTTATAATGTCTTACTATCTAGCCCACGAATACATTTAAACAAGAAATCGAGAGATGTGGTCTTCACAGCTGACGGCATATGGTTCACGGCTTTTAATGAATAGAACGCTAAATTGAGGTGTTCTTGGGTCCATGACCACCATTATCGCCTACAACGTGCGTGGTCATAACTTGCACTTTCTTCGAGGGACAGGTGTGCCCAACTATAGGTGGGGCAGAGTTGATGGCATCAGATGTTAAAAACGGCTGCAGTGCCGTACTTGTTTCTCTCGCTCAATGATACTCTGTTTTTCTTTCCCAGTATTTGTACTAAATATTAAAAGAAAATTGAAGTGAATAGTTCTGTATCAAGGTAAGCGTTATACTAAATATATCTCACATCGGGGAACAACTTCGCTTTTAACAGGGGTCAATGAACTGTTACGATAACGAATGTAAAGAAATTTATCAAGAAGTTTATTCAAAAGCTTTGAGTAGCTAGGATTGTTGTGGCACCTCGTGGAGCATATCTCAACCACGTGTTTTTACATGCCCTCCGAGATTCGCCGACGTGCGGGTGCTATTACCAGACACCTAAGGACAACCTTCGGAATTTTCAGATGCGAAGCAGCTTATGGCGGAGTTCAATCCGGTGTGCGGCGCGACTCCCATTACTGCGCATGCGCTTCTCCTCCCCCTGTATCTTTTCTCCTAAGTTACCTCTCTTCTCTATAATGACGTCCACACCCATTGAGCGCATGCGCCTCGCCTCCCCCTCTCTCTTTTCTTACGTTTCCCCTCTCTTTCCTCTAAAAAGCGCGTTCGGGCCTGCGAAAGTGGCTGTGTAAGAGGCTGTGACCTCCCCATCCCCCTCCCCCATTGAATTTCTCAGCATTCACGTTATGGCGTCGGGGAACGAGATTCTATGGACGAGCGATGAGCCCACGTGCTCCCGCGCGACGGGCTACAACAAGAGTTCGGGATGAGTAGCAGCAACAGGAACTACGTTGGTTTCATGGTGTGCTCTCCTTGCAAGGCCGCGTTAACATTGGGCAAGATACCCCTGATGAACGGAACTTAGAGTCGACCCATGCACTGCTCACATGCTACCCATGGTTACCTTTAGTGGGAGATAGTGTAACTCTTTTGCTGTTTCCTAGGGTTAAGTGTTCACTATTTTCTGGTATGGGAAAATTGTAAGCGGTCCCTCCTAACACTGTGCATTGTTACACAAACCTTACTACAACAGATGAACCTGGGTATGTTGCTATACGCGTGAAGAATGGCGTGGATATGGTAAAAAGGACACTATTGCAGGTTGTTTTACATAAATATGAAAGGAGTTTTGTAGGCCCGCAGAAGTAGGCAGAAGGAAGCACAAAGAGCGCTTCAAAGAATGTGCCATGACGTGTAGTTTGTGGTATATGGCTCCAACACGGCAACTTGCATCTACACTACTAGGGCATTGAAACTTGAAATTTAAGGGCTAGAAGTGCAAATAGTTTCGTCTACACTGTCTTCAGCTATTATCACATCGGCCTAATTTTTATTTTAACACTTATTCCAGGGCCCGCAATACCTTTGGTGGCTTGATTTGTCGCAACACAATGGGGAAACCTCGAGTAACTGCTCGTACTACTCAATGTGTACTGAAAGATTTGATGCCGTAGTTGTTTCCGTAGGTTACAGTTAGATCTTGGTCTCTATTGAATGCGAAGCATTTTTAGCAAACTTCCGCGACTTTGAATGTATCTGTTAACTTGGCGAGAACCAAAATTATCATGGGAAAGTATGATGGTTTGACGAATATGACTTGCTGGTCAAGACATGTATAATGTCACAATCTCGTCGCGTATGTCGTCAAACACTTCCCGCCAGACAGTGGCGCAATATGACGGGCGGGTATGTGCCGCTGGTATGCGGGTATGTGCCACAGGTGATTGACACTTAGTATTCACCCAGAAATGACGAGAACACACATGGGAAATTTTAACGCGTGAGCGTTAAGGAATACCTGACATCCATAGCGTCGACTCGATGAATGCAAAGAATAAATGTCAGGGTCGCAGCTGGAATTGAACCCAAGCATTCCGCGTGGTAATGAAGCATTTTACCACAGCGCTACGCCAAATCTCGAAACCACTTTTCACATAGACGCGAATCTTCGTAAAACGTCAATAGCGGTTGCAGTGCTGCCAACCCAATTTTATAAGCATTACATATGTACTCCATTGATACAGCCATCACGTCGGGTTAACGTCAATTGTGGTTAGTTGCCATGCGCTCAAAATGTTTATGTAGCAGTGTTCAGGTTCAGCATCGTCGCGAGCATCAGCGCTTCATATAGGCTTCTAACGTTGCTAATACGCATGTTACAGTTATAAGCTTCTAACGTTGCTAATACGCATGTTACAGTTGGCATCGTTGCACAAACTACTGGTTCTATAAACATCTGCAACTCTTCAACATATGTCTGTGCGTGCAACATTTGCACATATATTTAGCGTCATTTCATGACCAGTCACTCATTAAAAAATATACAACACGATCACCTTCCATCCGCATTCTTCGCATAACGTGTATTCTCAGGGACGTGGGATCTGCCCAATTCTTTTTATACAAGAAAACGCTCCACTTGTTATAATATATTGGCTGAGGTGTCATTTTATACAAAAGTGCAACTTCTAGGTGGAAACAGCGAAGCCAAAATGGCATTGTCATGTTGTTAAGTTCCAAGAAAGCAGTAACAGATCCCATTATGAACGGTTGAATCCGGTTGTCATGTGCATACTTTGTCGAGTGCTAAGCACCAAACTCTGCAGAATGTGCCTATTTGTTTTCTATCCCCGGTAGATGAAATTTTATTTTATTTATTTATTTCATTTACAGATTATTGCAGGCCCAAAAGGCGGCCCTAGCAGGGGGCAATGTACAAAGAAATGCATTTTAAACAACACGAAACCTGTGCAAACGTTCCAAAATGTTAATCATAACAAACACAAAATAACACTAAACTATATAAAACAAACACAAACATAAAAAGAAGGTAGGCGCAACCATACAATTCTTCAGAAGGAATAATGCGAAATGTTGACACCAAAAGTAGCCAAAAACCAAAAGTAAACACCTAAGTATATAGTGAAACGTAAGATGTTCACATATTTCAAGATAAAGCCAGATTAATAAGAGCGCGTGATATGTAGATACTCACATACACGTGAAAAAAAGAAATAAACACTTTCCCGAAGGTGCTGTAATAGTTTATTAGACTGTGGGTCAGGAAGCACGAGATACCCAATTAATGAGATAACCAAATGATGATAACCGAATAATGAAATAACAAATTATTATAGCATACGTACGACTGTAGGGTCAAATGATGAATGTGTACTAGGAGGCGTAAAAGCGAATGCTACTTAATGTTTGTGTCTTGCTTCTGTGTTAATATTCATCTGAATATTCTCTTTCGACACGAGTCATGCGTTGGCGCAGTCTTCGTGATGGAGACAAGGTAAAGCCGCAGGCGATATCTGGGGCTGTTACTCTACTTCAAAAAAAAAAAAACCGCCACAATATTTTTAAAATGCAAGAATGACTATATAAGGATCGTAGCTTCTTCGTAAAAAATTATCAAGTTGAAATCAATGTGAAAGCTCCAGAAATTAGGGCGCAGTAGTAATTATCCTATTTTTCGGCAACGTTGGCGTTCAAAACGCTCATCCTGCTCACCATCTATGGTGGGAAATAACACTTTCACTTGAGATGTAGTGGTGACCTCTCTCCGGCTGCTTTCCTTAATCCTCACTTTAAATTTTCTTTCCAGCCCCCTTATACTATACACGACTGTGTTACTACTTTGTACCCTTCCTCATCTACTCCTCTCAACCTCGTATCACCTTTCTCAAAACCTCCCCCTTATTTTCCTTTTTCACCCCTTGCTATATTAGAATACGCTAGGTTACACTAGAACGTAAATTGCGATGTTATGAAATATTCTCTACCCTCTTCCTCACCCTCAATTCCCGTTCCTGCCACCTTGATATACCTAAATATCTGGCTATGCTACACATGATCCTGTCTGCGTCACGCTAAGCGGAACATGAGGTCACAGGAGGTGACCCCAGATGATTGATGATTGATATGTGGGGTTTAACGTTCCAAAAGCACCAAATTATTATGAGAAACGCCGTAGTGGAGGGCTCCAGAAATTTCGACCACCTGGGGTTCTTCAACGTGCACCCTAATCTGAGCTCACGGGCCTACAACATTTCCGCCTCCACCGGAAATGCAGCCGCCGTAGCCGGTATTTGATCCCGCGACCAACGGGTCAATCCGAGTACCTTAGCCACTAGACCACCGCGGCGGAGCGACCCCAGATGACATGAAACCACATAGGACGATAGCCCATGATCACTAAAGTGCTCCGCATTAGAACAACACAGGATACATCTAGACCAAACGAAATCGTACAGTATCGCTCATTATCCAAAGAACGATGCATAAGTCCGGAAATATATTCAGCCTTTTGCATCCAAGGAGCATGAGGTGGTGATTCACCGCTCATTCTTTTCTCAATCCATAGGTGGAGAGGGAAGTCTCCTCGCAGCGGCTGGATCCCTTATTGGCCTCGGAACAGACATCGTGGGAAGCGTGCGAATACCATCTGCCTACTGCGGAATCTTCGGCCACAAGCCAACCGCCGGTGATAAATGCAAATCATGTGTTCGTTGCGATATAAAAAACTGAGTCACCCCTTCTTATCTCAAGCACTAGCTGAAGGCTACAGTGTTGTGCATATGAGGGCAAAATTGCACAACAAGCAGGGTTGCCCGATAAAAAGACGTAAAATATCCTAAAATTGGGAACATTAGCCAAAAAGTGCTCATTATCAACGTTGCTGGGATCGAACCATCAATTATACTCAATTGCATAATCATTGCTGATGTTGAAATTCAAGGTGTTAAACAAAGTAATGCATAATTTCAAGAGACTCGAACAATTAGTTTGTTATCTTGTAGTAAATGTCATTAAGTTCAAAAATCCCATGATGTGCAGTACTTTCGAATGCCCTCTTCCTTTTCAATTACGATTTTAAGGCCCCTTACTTATTTGTTGTTTGCAAACTGAAGCACCATTTAAAATATTCCACAAGTCCCAGCCACGTTTTCGAAAGGTTTTTTTTTTTCTTTTGTGTAGTGAAAGTACCAAGAAATTTATTTCGAGAACCGGAAATGCGCACTAGCTTTTGTGTTTTGACACCTCATGTGCTGGTAACTCCTTGGAACACCTCGGAAACACTTAAAACCACAAACGGTGAGAAGTCACCGGGCACTGATAACTTTGCTTGAATGGAGGCAGCAAAAAAGTAGCTCTAAAGAAGCCACAGTGCTTGCTCTGCCACCAGTGGGAGAAAAACAGATGAACTGGAGCAAAGTGGCCAAACCTGGACACTCTGATTTTACTGTCATCAAGTCCCGTTTCTCACCTGCACCGTTCGACAGTGTATGTTGGCGCACGGGCATTTTGTGGTATACGCTTGCCACCCGAAGTGGGGATAATACAACTGGTGATCTCAAAAAAAAAAAAAAAGGCATGAAGTTTCTTCTAGTACGGTGGTCACACGGGCATCCGTGAACTTCTTTTTAAGTCCCTCAATTTCGCGACAGCGGAGATGCGGTCCGTGTCACACAGTATTTTTTATGTCATGGGAGTTAAACGAAGCTTTTCGCAAAGGAAGCTTGGTGATCTTCCTTAGCGGTGGAAGGGAGTACTCTTGTCCCCAGAGATCTGTAGTAACGAAAATGACTTCAAACGAGAAACATCACTTTAATGAATTTTATTTCTAGTAAAAGTTTTCCACTGCATTATTTGCTCATAACGTGCGTGTATCAAAAAAAGAAATAGGCATACAACTGTACCTACTCTACATAGCATGCCTGGCATACGCCACCGTGTCGCCATTAAAAAAAAGTTTCTCCGAGTCCATTTCAGTCATTTTATCTGTGCAAACTGTGCTGTTTGCATTTCTACTGCTCGTTCGGCTCTTTTTGTGGGGCACCTTATTCTACTTTAACACTGCCAAAACCCATAAAGGTTGACGCAGGTTTGCTTTCTTCTTCGACACCAGTAGCCGTGCCGGCACTCCACGCGAACTGTTGTGTGACCCATCCGCAACAAGGGCTTCTGTACACTGAACGTGATACCTGTGTTCATCCGACATTGTAAACAACATTGTGATCGACGTGGTAGCGCAACTTCGAAAAGCTCGTCGAAAAAAAATCTGTGTGTTAGACTATTGGCGTACGTAGAGAAAACGCGTACAAAAACAAACGTACAGTGTTGCCAGCATACTGCCAAATTGCTTGCAGGAGTACGCGTCTGTGAGAGAAGCCAAAACATTTTTGTTGTTTCGGTGCAAATAAATTATAGTTTACATTATCACACGTATGATTTAAAATGTTTTCAGATGTATTAAACGCCAAACCTTGCATGCGGAGAAGATACTGCAGCGCCTGATGGGCCCCTTGTGGCTTCTGTCCAAAGCTTGTAAAATTGCCGTGACGTAGGCGTAACTCAATGTGCGTCGAATTCCATTGGGGAGTTTTACATTGGTGGAGTTTAAAGGTATTTGGTGTTGGCGTGTGACAAGGACATAAGTAGCGCAAAGCTTTGTACATCGAAAGATACTATGATCTGTCAGCGTGCCTGCATAGCCGAGTGGTTAAGACCCTCACTATGGGATTGTGAGCACGCGTGCACGAATCGCGCTTTATGAGGAACTTTTTTGCCACTGCTTTTTTTTCTTGTGTCTTTCTTTCTCTGCGCATACCTGCACTTTTCTTTCCTTCTTCATCCTCCTTTTCAGTCTCACATCTCTCCTTCGCTTTGTTCTTCCCCGTTGCTATAAGCCGGACAAATCGGAGCACGTCCGTGAGAGCGAAGTAGGAGATGAAGAGGAGGATGAAGGCAGGACGTGCGGGATCTGGAAGAGTTTTGGTGCTAAAAACCAATCTTGTGCGCAAAAAAGTTCGCTTTTTGAAACTTCCAAAACCTTAGCACTACGCACCTCATTTAATTTCGAAGTTCACTCGTAGCATTACGTCGTTGCTTCATCTATAACTCGTTCATTGGAAAACACCATTGCAGTTTTAGAGAACGAATTGAAATGAGCAGGTGATCGCAACGCTCTACTCATTTTCATGATCTCCAATCTGATAATGCTACTCGCAGGAGAGAGAGAGAGAGATTAATGAAAGAGGAAGAGACAAAAAGGACGCTATTTTCTGCCTCCCGTCGCGGGGGCACGGCTCAGCGCCTTTAGGGATCGGGGAAGGGGAAGTAAAGATGATAGGAAGAAGAGAGGAAGGAAAGAAAAAGTGAATGTCATGGCAAGAGAACGTCTTGTCAGTACAGTCAGTAGTGCGAGTGAAAAGAGTCCGTCTATAAGGCGGCGAGGTCCGCGCAAGCACAGAACTCGAGGAAGGCTCGAAGGGCTTTCGTCTTCGAGCGCGCGGGAAAAAGTATGTCTTCCATTGTTTCGGCAGGTAGTCCAAGCAGACGATAGCGGCTTACCAGTGCGCAACGCTCAGTGGCCAGGTCAGGGCAGGAGCAAACAATATGCTGCAGCGTTTCGTCATCACCGCACCTTCGGCACGCTGGCGATGAAGAGCGACCCGCGGAATACATGCGTGCCGCAGGCCAGACGCTGCCAGTACGCAGGCGAAGCAACAACCGCCGCTCGCATCTGTCCAGGCCGGTCTCCGGAAGGGATGGTGGAGGTTTGCCGCTTGCCACCCGTGTGTCAGGGTGGGCCGTTGGTAAGAGCTTCCGCAGTCGCTGCCGTGAGTAATCCGACTGGGTTACCGCCTTAGTGACTGGCGTGTCGCAGTGGTGTGCTGCCTTAGCGGCGGCGTCAGCCTCCTCGTTGCCAGCTATTCCAACGTGCGAGGGAAGCCAGTGGAGGGACAGGCGCACACCACTCTCTTTGATGGCGGTCAGTTTTGCGTGCAGCAACGCCACAGTTATGCCTGCTTGGTCTGGTTGGAGCAGCGCTTGTAGGGCTGGTCGGGAGTCGCACAGAATCGCCACAGGCAACTGGGGTAACGTGGCAGCAAGGTGGTCGGCTGCCAAGTGAAGGCCGGCCAATTCAGCTGCAGTGGAGCTGGCGTGAAAGGGAAGTCGGCAGCGGATGGTTGTCCCAGTCGATGGTATGACGCAGGCAGCCGCGGCCGAATGGGGGCTGTCCCGAACGGACCCGTCAGTGAATACCAGGAGCTGCCCCTTAAGTCTTTCATGAAGTTTCGCCACGGCTGCCTGATGGAGCTCGCATGCCGGTGTGCGCCTTTTTCTGAGGTTGTCCAGAGTTAATTGTACGTCCAGAGGCTGCTGGTGTGGTGGAGGGGGTTGGATTGGACTGGGGGGATCGGGGACCAGCTCTTCATAGAGAGCGCAGATCTGTGCCATCCGTGACGCTGGTCGGCTCCGCAGTCTCCGAAGGAGGGCAGCGCCCCCGAGGGCCCTGTGAAGGCGATCCACGTGATGCAGCGCCTGTCGTAACATCAAGAGTGACAGAGGCCAGGTCTGGGCCTCCGCCAGGGTTGCAGCTATGGGTGACTGACGGGGAAGTCCCATGAAGCGCCGAATTGCCATGCGATGTTGCCGCTCCAGTTGCTCCTTGCGGTGTGGCGCTAGCTGCACCAAGGGCAGTGCATAAGTTTGCGCTGTCGTTGCAGCCCCTTCGTAGAGTCTTAGAGCCAGCCGTGAGGTGCACCCTTGGCCCCTGCTGAGCAGTTTGCTTACGGCAGTCTCGACCCTGGTGGCCTTGAGGACGGCGAGCTTAACGGCTGGTATCCAGGTAAGGCGGTGGTCGATCCTTAGCCCCAGGTACGTCACTGCATCGCTCCACGGGATAGGTCGGTCACCTAGCACAAGCCTTCGGACGGCCCTCCGCGCAGTGGCTCTGGGGTGAACCAGCAGTGCCTCCGTCTTCGTGGGCGAAACGTTCAGTCCGATTGCCTTGAAGAAAGAGACGACGGCATCCAAGGAGCGCTGCAGGGAACGCCTTATGGCCGTGAAGTTTTGCCTAGGCCCCTTAACCCACAGTGCCACATCGTCTGCGTACAAGGAGCACTGCGTGGGGTAACGCTTGTCTGCGGGCATCGCGGTCGGCAGCCCCGCTAGCACCAGGTTGAACAGAAAGGGGCTCAGGACGGAACCTTGTGGAACGCCTGCTGTCACTGGCCGTGGATCGCTGAGCGCGCGTCGTACTCTAACCCGGAGGGTGCGTTTTGCCAGAAAGGCACTGATAAAGGTACGTAGGCAGCTCACGATGCCGAGTGTGTCCAAAGCACTCTCTATCGCTATGTGAGGCAAGCTGTCAAAAGCGCTCTGTACATCCAGCAGGACGAGGAGGGCCACTTCGCCGTTGCGCTTGGCCTCCTCCAAGGTAGAGACGACGTCCGCGATCGAGTCTGCTGTGCATCGGTGGCGTCGGAAGCCCGTCTGCTGTTCTGGTAGGAAATCCTTTGCCCCCGCAATCCAATTTAGGCGTGCCAGTGCTATGGCTTCCATGAGCTTGCAGGCAGCAGAGGTGAGAGAAACGGGTCTGTAGGACGTAATGGCGGCACAAGGGCGGCGAGGTTTCCGGATCGGCACCACAACAGCGGTCAGCCAGGCTTCAGGTAGGTTGCCGCTCTGCCATATTTCATTAAAAGTCCTCAACAGGTGTCGTCGTGAGGCCATATCCAGGTTGCGCAGCATCTGGTATGTGATGCCGTCGGCACCAGGGGAACTGCGGCGCTTGGTTCTGGCTAGAGCAACGTTCAGTTCGTGTTCGAAAATAGGGTCCTGACACAGAGATGCGATCTGGCTGGCCGTCCAGGCAGGGTGATGACCTTGCGGTGGCTTGGGAGCAGGCGTGGCGATGAGGGCTGAAGGATTGGCTGGTGGGAGTTCTGTGAAGCGATCGGCCAGTCGCTCTGCCAGTTCTTTTTCACTAATGCCTAAGTAGATGGCCACCGCAATGACGGGTTGCCGCACCATTGGTCCAGTGACGAGGGATCGTAGAAGTCGCCATGCTTTTGCGCCACCTCTTGCCTGACTCAGGGAGAGGCAGATGCCTTGCCAGCTTTGCCGCCTGCGACGGTTGGCATGTCGCCGACATACCGCATCCACACGATTGAAGAGTGTACGTTGAGCTGGGTCATGGGATTTTAGGTACCTTCTCTCAGCCCTGCGCCTCGCAGCCCGTAAGTTCAAGTGATGGAGGTCTGGCACAGGGTGGTGCTCTGGCACCCTGGTCTGGATAGTTGCCGCCTGCGCTGCCACTGCTACCAGATTCAGGAAATCCTGATCCTCTGGGACGTCTCGAAGCTGCCTTCGAAAAGCCCGCCAATCGATCGTACTACACAGCCTCCTCCTTGGGATCTTTCCGCCCACAGGTGAGATGACGATCGGCAGGTGGTCTGAACCCCAGGAGTCAGGCTCCACTGCCCAATCGTACCGGTCCCCTTCACTGGCCAAGGTGACGTCAATGGCGGAGCATGACGGTCGTGCTGTTCTGCGGACGAAAGTGAAGGATCCGGTGTTCAAAACTTGTAGGCCCAGTTGATGGATAACGTCCACCAGATCCCTTCCTCGAGAGGAGCAGGTGCTACTCCCCCACATGGTGTGATGAGCATTCATGTCCCCACATATGAGGTAGTCTCTTCCGAATTTAGCCGTGAGCTGTAACAGCATGGAGGCGTCCCACCGCTGTCCAGGTCGCACATACACAGAGGCCACTGTCGTGTCCACACCGCGAAGCCGCACCGTCACGGCACAACACTCAAGAGCCCCTCCAGTGACATCAGCCACGTTTATGTGCACATGTGGTAGTTCTCGTCGCACGTACACTGCACAACGTGGTCGACCCTGGGGATGTGCACTCGCTATGCACGGCGCGTCCTGGCACGTGTCTAGAGTACACGACGTGATACTTTGGTAACCGATGTATCCGGGAAGTCGCAAGTCGGTCGCTGCTACGTACACTTCCTGCAAAGCAAGCACATCATACTCGCTCTGCAGGAGATGTGAGGAGAGGTCTGCATGCCGCCGCCGCAACGAGTGAGCGTTCCATTGAAGCACACACGGGCGGCGGCGGCGGTGGTTCTCTGCAGCATGCGGATGAGTGTCAGCCATGGTGGCTGCTATGAGGGTGCGCGCCACCTGCCTGAAGGCAGATGGAGCGCAGCTGGTTTTCAGGAGGCAGCAGGTCCGCAACTGCTCTTAACAGGAGCCTCAGGTTTGCATTTTCCTGGTCCACACGAGGCTGGGAAGGTACCTTCGCGGGTGGACGAGTCGTGGTAGAGTCTGGGTGCTTGAGACCAGCCGAAGGGCCCCGTTGTTGTACGCCTGTCTGGCCTGGATGGGTCGAGCTGACCGTCATCTTGGATGGTGATCCCACTGCGGCAGCATAGCTCTTGCCCGTGGTCTGCTTCAGCTGAGGACTATCAGTTACACTAGGGCTTGCCCGCAAGACTGCTTGAGCCTCGCGGTGAGGCAGGTAGGTGGGAGCTGATGCCTTGATGGTGGCCAGGCGCCGCTCTCTTTGCCAGAGCTGACAGTCTGCGGAATCAGCTGAATGTGGCCTGCCGCAGTGCAGGCATCTTAATTTGTTGGTGCAGTTGGCGTCTTTCCCATGGTGGCCACCACATCGCAGGCACCGCTCTGGTCCTCGGCAAGTGACGGCGATATGCCCATAGCGTCCGCACCGCCGGCACTGAAGCGGGCGAGGTCGGGATGGCCTCACTTCGAACACCATGCGAAAAAGGCGGACCCGGGTGGGAGGCACGGGAGAGGCGAACCGCAAGACTAGTGATGTCCCTTGTCGCCTGGCTGCAATCACCGGCACATCGGACGACACGGCGGCCAGGAGGGCTTCGTCGGTATAGTCGCCATCGACGCCTTGCACCACGCCACTGCTTTGTGAACGGTCAGCAGGGAGGCGGGCAGTCACGGGTATTCCTGCGAGCTCCGATGTTGCTAGTAGGCGATTCATCCATTCTGGTGTAGATGCGTCTGCTGCCACGATGTTCTTTTTCGTGTTTACTCTCACCTCCTTGACTCCGGGCAGCGCAGAGAGAGCTTGCGCAATGGCAAGACGAGAGGTGCGGTGAAAGGAGGCGCTGGCGTTTGCTGGTCGAAAAAGAATAGTGCCCGAGTCTAGCGACGATGAAGCAGAAGCCGGCATGGTGTGTTCAGTGGCACGTACCCCTGCAGGAGCGGTCTGAGTCGCAGTGGGCGCATTAGAAGTCCCTGGAGCAACGTGGGCAAGCATAGCCGTCGATTCAGTGGCGGGACGAGGACCAGTGTGGGCAGCGGGTCCTTGAGATGTCGAGGCTCGCTGTCGGCGCTTCTTAGACTTGGAGAGGACGGTCTGAAACTCAGACTGACTGATTTCGTCAGTTGCGTGTGTGACGGCGTCTTCGTGGGCAACCGCATCATTTGACGTTGGGGTAAGACACGCAACTGTGGCACGTTCAGGCGCTACTGCGTGCATCTTCCGCGAGCCACCCTCATCGTCGCTGCCCGACTCGCTAGGACGCGAGCGCTTACGCGTTGACGTAGTATCCATGTCTGCAATATCAGGTTCCTCGTCTAACGGCAGTGGTACGTTCTGCGGAACGGTGACGTTCACGCACAGAATTGACCCGGCATCTTCGAGTTGGGCTGTATGATGCGCCGCTACAGCGGTCGAAGATGCTGTGGTGCTAGTGGTAGGGCTGGAGGCCGCCGAGGACGTCAGGCCCCTTGCAGTTGTCTCGGCGTCGGCAGCAAGCACCGGTAGGCGAAGTGATGTCGGTTTCTCGCTGACGACTCTGCACAGTTTCTGTGCCTGTTCATGATGCAACCGCACCGCTTTGGCACTGGAGATGAGGTTCCACAGCACGCGGGTGCACGCGACGCTCGCTGAGCGTCTGTGTGACGATGTGGGAACCAGGGAACGCGACGGGCGTTCCAATGGCGTAGCCGAGAATGGAGGGGACTGCTCTGCCATGGTAGTCGGGATGACAGCTGCCCCAGCGACGCGCAGGAGCAGAGGACGCTGTCACAGGGCTCAGGTCACCGAAAGCGGTGGCAGGGATCCAAGGGCATAATCTGTAAAGATTACTCTCCTTGACAAGACTCGAACGGGTATGAGAGTCCAGGAACGCGAGGAGCACTGCGCGGAACGCGGTCGCGTCTCTCGCGGGCTGACGCGGTAGCGTCTCTCGCAGAATCGGGAGCACCGGGCAACACGTCTGCTCTCTGTGAACGCTCGAGAGAGACTCCCAGGAGTGGTGCCAAACACTGGTCTCATTCCAGAGTTTGGGGAAAACGTGGCACAGTTCAACTGCGTGGGACCAATGACCAGGTATGCAGAGGACTTGCCGCTCATGCTGAACGTTCTGACAGGAACTGTGGTGGAAAGGCTTAGGCTAAATGAACAGGTACGGAAACTTTTTACTATTTTTTATGACGAGTGAAGGGAAATTACTAGGGTTTATGCAACAAAAAATAAATTTAATCATTTTTATAAATTGAATGTCAAAATTCAGCAGCCTTCGGAGCGAGGAACCCTGTTAAAAATTCACGATTTTTTTTGCAGCTGCTCATTTCTTCAAATTTTCATTTTATGCAGGTCTTGAATGATGAAGTACACCCAATATTTGGCCATAATTTGTGTTGTGTAGACTTATACTTCTGCGTTCACAAACGAGCTGGCTAAAGTTTAGCGTTTTTGGTCAAACACTTATATGCTTATAAAGGGGCGAGCAACAAGATAGTCTGGCAACAGTGGCGCACCCACGATCCGTGAAGTAAACATTGATATGTGGGGTTTAACGTCCCAAAGCCACCATTTGATTATGAGAGACGCCGTAGTGGAGGGCTCCGGAAATTTTGACCACCTGGGGTTCCGTGAAGTAAACAGCTCCTTGCTGTGCGGGCGTCTGATTTACGGCAAACGATTTCGTTCCGTGGTCAGTTCTGCGTATGCAATAGTCATGTAAGCTTTCTTCAGCTCGGCATTTCAGTTAATCGCGTAGCAGCAGCTGAAACTTTGGCAGCGCACAACGACTCCACTTTGTCCAGCTAAATATGTTGACGCAGCTCATTCGAGGCCTGATTTCGCACTGAAGTATTGCTGGAGATTGATTGATTAATCGATTGATATGTTGGGTTTAACGTCCCAAAACCACCGTATGATAATGAGAGATGCCGTAGTGTAAGACTGGAATTTTCGAACAACTGTGGTTCTTTAAATATATTGTTGGAGAGTATTTTTTGATATATGCATAGACACAATAGGCTTTCTATATGTATACATGTATTTTTTTTGCGAAAACCACAAATTATAGGGTGAACGCGTCATGGCCCTTTGAAACCATTGTTGCAATTTCGCTTGGTTTTCCAGGTCAATCTCAAGTCTTTGAAGTTGTATTACATGGACACAGAAGGGAGCCTCTACATTAGCCGCGTGACCTCTGATATGCGCCTGGCAGTTCGACAGGTTAGTACTTTCATAAAACATTCGTGCAAACACTTCAACCATTTGCATAAAAGCAAAAACACAAAGACGTGTATTTTATTTGGGGTGGGGAGCGATAGAGCAAATATCTGTAGTCAGATTATCAGAATTCGTGTGGCATAGCCACCTGACTGAGCATACATTTATGAGACTGTTTCGCGTGTGTGTAAACATCAATGTTCACGCTATAACGCTTCAATTATTTCTAGACCGTTATCGCATCGTTTTTTGTCTCTTTGCAATGAACAGGTTACCCAGCACTTCAGCGTTGAGCACGGCCTTGAAGCGAATCAGCTGCAGTTGCCGGAGATGCGATTCTGCACGGACGAGTGGTTCAAGATTATAGCTCTCAAGAATCCCACGCCACTGGCTGAGACTTTCAGGCCTGGCGGTTTTAACACGCTAGCCGAACTGCTGCGCCACCTCGTGGGTGCTGGCCGGCACACACTCGCGGCGTTGGTCGCGTCGAAAGTGGCTCCACTTCACCCCTTTCGTTCGGAGCGAGAGGCTCAAGCCTTCATTGCGTCCATAGAAAACGCCCGCGATCGGTTCGAGGAGACGCTGGGTGAGGATGGAGTTCTCGTTCTGCCTGCTTCCACGAGTGCTGCGCCGTTTCACAATCAGGAATTTATGTTTTTGGATTCAACAGGCATGACGGCTCTGTTCAGTTTGTTCAAAGTGCCCGCGACAGTGTGTCCCGTAATGCGATCACCGGGCGATCTGCCCTTGTGCGTCCAGATCGTTGCCAAGAGGGGAAACGACCGGCTTTGCCTTGCTGTTGCCAGAGAAATAGAGAAACGCTTTGGTGGGTGGATTGATCCTGCGGCAAAACTTCGACGAAGACCTTGAAGACTGAGCGAAAGACCCATTTATTATGGCTGAGCAAATCCTCGAAGAATAATCATGGTCAAATGGTTTTGCGCGTTGTGCCACGTAAAGTGAACAACGTCGAAACTCGGTTGCCACGTTCCCATATGAATTATCACGAGGACTTGTTCAAATATTCATAGCATATTTTTACTAGAGGCTATATGGCAATAAAACATTGAATTCTGCTGTGAATAATTTTAGTGATGTGTCTGAAAAGAAAATTGTCCCTTTTTATGCATAACGATTAGTTGTGCCTGCAACACTTCTGCGATGATGACTATATAGGTAAAATGGCGTAGCCTTTTGTAGATTCACAGAACCAGAGCACCTATGCAGTGGACTTGACACAGCTGAGAGGAGCAGGCTTTCTCGAACATGCGTGCGATTGAACTGAAAATGCACACCTAAACGTTCGAACATAATGAGTCATTTCTTTCGAAAAAAAAATTAGCAGCATGCATCGGATCATTCTTCTCATTTTCTCAAACCCGAAATATTGGCATGGTTTGATTGTGCGCAGAACCGCAACATTGAGCCGTGCACTGAGCAATTATACATCTGCGCTCACAGTAATCAGCTCTCGGTACTGCTCCTTAGCAATGACGTTGCTTTCACCTATGCTTGAAAGTGTGTTAAAAAGAAACTAGCTGGTTAGCCTGTTTGGACACTCGTCGCACGCATTGTATGACCATCGAGCGTCCGCTATATGCGGCAGAGATAGAGAAAGGCTGAAATTAATCAGAAACCACGGCCATACGCGAGACGCGCAGGCAATGGCAGAGAATCTTGAACAGCGAGGGAAATGATTTCGAGGCTTTGCTGTTTGTTCGTGCGTGCGTTCCTGGACATGTGTGCGTTCATGCGCGCATTTTGCGTGCAGTTTTGGGCGAAATTATTACAGGGGCCGCGCTTCCTGCGCCTCAGTTTCGATAAGTTTCGATGACACCTTTAATATTCCGTTATGAATGTCTCTAATCACGCGCAACTTTCGTTATTTATAAAACAAGTCGGTATGCCAAAAACTGGCACTCGCTACATCTTTCCAGCATAAGTAACGGGTCTTAAGTAAATAATTAAGTACATTTATGGCGTTTCGTAAATTAGTCTTCGCACTGTCGTTTTAGTTCCGGAAAGAGACTTCCGTCTCGACCTAAAGCACGTGTGTGAAACGACTGTGACGTGCCTGTCATAAAGCTTTTACAAAAAGTCTACATTCTCTAAAAAACAAAAACAATGCGCCGTATACCACACACATGATGAGACAATATAGCATGACCAACATTAATAGTTTGACATGCATCTATCGTACGTCAGGATATGAATATCATAGCATGCATGGTTCATACGCCATGACATCTTTGAAAAGACGATTGATGCCATGTTAGTAGATGGTTTCACTACCTTGCTGTTCACTAAAATATGCATTCAATGACTTGTGTCTATAACATGCCACCTGTCAAGCAACCAATCCATATATCCTAACGGGGTGGATGGCTCCATCATTGTAAACGTTACATACGCGCGCTTTCTGCCCTGATGATGGTAAGGCTGAGGAGGTTCATGCACCTGCCCCCCCCCCCCTCCCCTCCCGCAAAAAATAACAAAAACAGTTTTCTATATACGCGTGCATACACGCAAATGCATACTTGTAAATGCACGTTCAGAGGCTGCTGCCACCTCAGTAAATGGACGTTCTGGTGTCAGCCGCCATCTCGGTAGACGGTGGCTGACGCCGCTATAGCACCCCAGCGGATGACGTCACCTGCAATCCTCCAACATGCGCTTCAATGCACAAAGCCAGATAAGGGAGCGAGTAGCTCAGGGCGTAGCAGGCATTATTACTAAACTGGTTATCGTAGCCGCGAACGTCTTTTCTGCTAGATTGTAGCACAAGCAGATCGTCTGTTTAATTTTCTAGCTCCATGTATGCATTGTATGACCCTTGTGTGCCACGCTATCTGCGATGTTGTGAGGGTGGCTGATAGGAAATCGACACTCTCCTTGTACAGCCCGAGCCAGAAAGATAGCACTAAGCGGGGTATGTTTGTTTAGGCTGCTATTTTCTCGGTGAACGTTCTTCGCAAAATGGCTACCATCTTTGGAAGTTGTCGTGAACTGTTACTGGAGCTGGTCGTATACCTGTGGTGCACATCAACAAGGCTGGTATTCGCTTTGTGGTTCAACTGGAAAAAGCCTGTACCATTGCCGCCTGTCACCGACAAGCTTCTGCTGCGTTCCGCTACATCCCTTGCTGCCGACATCAGAAATGGCAAGGTGAAGTGACTCTTATATACTCAACGACAACTTTTCTTGGCATCGGAGCGAAGGCTATACAGAGCCACATCGCGGGCATCCTACCACCAGTGAAGGTAGTTCCAAAGTAGCATCCGTATTTTCAACGTCAAATATAAATGCTTCTTCTTTATTTTCTACGTGGAGCTATTTGAGACAAGACGCAGCTCACACATGTAAGACAGTCGCATTCTTTTTAATATATCTGCTGTGACTTCAAGTTTTTGAACACATGAAAAAGTCCCGCCGTTTAACGTGCACCTCAAACGCTGAGCGGCGTCTGCGTCTACATGAAACGCTGATGGTTGGCCCCCTTCACTTTCCATAGGGTTACGAGATGCGCGCCAAAACGGTCTGCTTCGTGTAGTGCTACATGTGCAGAAGCTCCGCCTCCGTAGCTTTCCATTCAGTGCCAAGTAAAGTTGTCGCCAAATATCGACCTTTTTATCGGAGAGGAGGATTTCCTCCTTTCTGGGCTGTTGCATGAGAGTACCAAAGCTGACGTCACAACATCGGTAGTGCATTTTCTAGGGGGTCATGCGCACTAACAACAGCCAAGAAAGGACTATGGCGGCACCCAGGGAACCTTGAGTGAAAAGGTCTTGCTTGCTTCCGAAAATGTTCGTAGTTGTAGATCATGAAGTGGCTGCAGAAACTAGGCATAACGCTTAAGCTTGAAAAATCAGCCTGCCAAGTAGGCATTCCAGTTCAGGCTTGCTTTTTTTTAATCTGATACTTTTGGCAGTTGATAAAGTTTACAAGAGCGTGGGCATAAATCAAGAGTGAAAATAATGCCGTTGACAGCGCAACGTGTTTTTGGATGCATAGGCGACCACTGCACTGTCGCGAAACTATAATGCGGTGAAATACGCTTACACATCAAAAACCTGTTCCACCCTATCCCGAAATTACCTCTACATTATGTCATCGGCTACCTCGTCTGTTTCCGGCAACTTTTGTTCTCTGCAGCATTTCATGTTTTACGCCGGGAATCGGGATAACTATTGCATGACTCACAAAACACTGTTGCGCTCTGGATTCCTTGCAGACTACACCTACCGTCGAAGCAGCAATCTATTGAGGAACTTGAAACTTCGCCTACACACTACGCATTGTCTGCTCCTAAATGTAAACAAATATTAAGACGCTATCCAGTAATTTTCACAGAGACAACCACAAAATCATCTATGAGCTTCGCAAAGCTCACACGAAATGAAAAAAAAATTATGGTTCAGTAAATATTAAGTGCTTTTAACTGCTTCAAGAACATTACAGTGTAACTTCCGATCACTTTTTCAAAGTCCTGCACACCCTTTCGACAGCATAATGGCATATTGTACCATAAGCATATTTTTTCCCAAATGATAAGAGTTTTAACATACCATCCTTATATCACACTCGTCATGGCAACGTCACCATTAGGGCCGAATGCCGCATACTTACCCGATGTCGCATTTAGAATAGTGAAGCTTGAATGAAGTGCGATTGTGCCAGAAGTGCGATAACCGAGTGTTAAAAAGTTAGTACATTTGAGATGGCATTTTGCGCACAAAAAAAAACGCAAACAAATCTGCACCTTCTTCTCTTCTTGTTCATGTTTTTTGCGCGAAATGTCATCCATAATGTGCGACATCATACATGATATAGACCTTTTGTAGCTGACGATTACACAAGATCAATTGCATTCATTGCTGAATTCAAAGAATTGTTCAAGCATTGTAACAAATTTTGCAATCCCATAACTTTTCCGTTCGTCGTCCTTGTAGGTCAGAAGCGTGGACCTTCTCGCTGCCTACATCAGGCGCATCCGGGAGGTGCAGCCCATCGTCAACGCTGTCGTTGAGGAGAGATTCGAAGAGGCTCTCAAAGATGCCGAGGAGGTCGATAGACTCGTTGCATCGCGAACCATGAGCGTGATTCAAATGAGCAAAGAAAAGCCACTGCTGGGGCTGCCGTTCACCTCCAAGAATAGCATTGCGATCAAAGGTTAGTTACAGATTTCTGAGAACGCATGACGGGCGTATTCATTCCTGGTGATTCTATGACGGCCGATGTTAAAGGGGCCCTGACACAGTTCTTCAAGTAACCGTGGAATGGGTTCAGAGAAAAAAAGACCTATTGCCTTAACTGAAGAGTTGCGCTACAGTTGCTGCGGAGAACGAAGTTTTAGGAAGGGGACAAGAAATGAAGTAGACAGTACAAGCGCTATCAAGAGAATATTATTGAATGAACTTGGAAGAAAGAAGGCTTCCCAGAAAGATAGAAATCGGTTTAAGTAGAGGGTGGGGCCCGCCAATCTTGCTCCATGGTCTTCAAGTTCTACACGTGTGGTGATTACAATCACCAGATGTGGTGCTGATTCTAAAATGTTATATCCGAGTATGCTTATTAACTTGCTATTTCTTGCTTCTGATAAATTTTATATCTGTGAAAGTTAGTGCAATGGAGCTGGAACTGTACATTTGCTTTCTCGGTCTGATATGTGAAAGGCTTCCCGAATTTCACGTGTAGTCTTAATTTTTAATTTGGCCAGAATTGTAGTTTTTTTTACATATTGGGCTGCACCCGCGCTCTCTGCAGTGCATAGAGGGGTTGCCTGTGATCGCTGTTTGCTGACATGCATACCGATGCTCTTTTAGCTACTCGTTTATGCATCTTCTCGGTTGCCCAGTGTATTCCTGCCAGATGTTATTGGGGTGGAGTATACGATGTTTACTTCACATTCAATGTATTTGGCAGCATGACGTGCATGGGATTCCTCTTTCTTCGCATCGTGGTCGTTTACGTTTGGCACATTCTTAGAACTTTACTGGAGCTGAGAACACAACATTCAGCTCATGTCTCGCTTCTATCTTCTTCAGTTTATGAGATGCTTTTTGAAACGTACGGGATCACTATACAGGCTTTTTGTCATACTTGTTGGGTGCTTAGTTCCTGCTTAGTGTCATCTTTTAAAATTTTTCTCCAACTTATACCAGCACACCGTTGGGTAGCCACTTTCTCGTCGGCGATATATGTGAAAGTTAAAGCTGTCATCGCATCTGTGTGCGCAGGATCTTGACATTAATCGTGTCATGAGCATCGGCCCTCGTTACTAGGAAGTGCATCCGTCAGTTTCAGCTTCATCGCACTAATTCCCACAGAAACCAAATTCATCATAAGCCAGAAACAGCAAGTTAAAGATACTCGGATAATAGCTTCGAATCGGTACCACATCTGGTAATCGTAATCACCCCACTTGTAGAATCTGAAGAGCGTGGAGCAAGATTTGCGGGCTCTTCCTAAAACGATTTTTCTCTCTCCGGGAAGCCTTCTATGTTCATGTCACGAACACAAGAAAAGCTAAAAAAACTTCTACTAAATGTCCAAAAAGAGTAGTCCAAAAGTATATAAGAAGTCTTGTTCAGATGTTATTTAAACCTAAGCAGCTTAAAAACCTTCTGTAGCTGTGCTAACGCTACATTCTTATACGGCTAAAAAACTTCTAGCAAGAATTCTAAAAAAACGTCTTTCTAAATTTCTAGATTTCTAGTTTACTTTTTGCAAAGATTCTAAAAATACTTTTGCTAGATTTTTTCACACCTTTTTTAGACATTGATTTTTCATGCAAACCAGCTTGTTGAGCGTTTTCCGTGGTTAATTTGTTGCTCATGTCAGCGTTTTACAATCGGTGCGTTTAGCTGTTCACTGATGAGAGTAACAAGTAGAGATAGCAACATAATTTAGCATCAAATTATTGCTGGCACTATTCTAATCAGCAAAATTGGTGCCATATTTGTTGAAATACTTAATTAGCGACTGCCGTCTATCATTACGATAATCTGTTTTGCATGGAGACAAGACGGGATTTCAAACGTCAATCATTATTGTTTCTGGTGTTGCCTGGAATGCATTGTACTGCACATCCAAAAGTAAATGCAAAATTTCAACAAGCCTTCTTGCATACTTGTAACATTTATTATACATAACAATGACCACTTTGTCCCAAAACAAGTATGCTTTATAGTAGCTAGCCCCGCCGCGGTGGTCTAGTGGCTAAGGTACTCGGCTGCTCACCAGCGGGTCGCGGGATCGAATCCCGGCGGCGGCGGCTGCATTTCTGATGGAGGCGGAAATGTTGTAGGCCCGTGTGCTCAGATTTGGGTGCACGTTAAAGAAACCCAGGTGGTCAAAATTTCCGGAGCCCTTCACTACGGCGTCTCTCATAATCATATGGTGGTTTTGGGACGTTAAACCCTAGATATCAATCACTCAATTTATAGTAACTGTAATTATACAAAGCAACTGAGGGGTTGGCCAGATACTTGGTCCTGGAACCTGCAAATATACAAAAGGCACAAACTGTTCTCTTTGAGCAGACTTCTATCAGTGCAACAAAATTTAGCGCGCTAGCTTAGTAAACATATTGACCCAGTAGCAAATACATGAAGGTAGACCATTTGTTACAGCCAAAAAGCAGCAGTCAAAAAATTGATTTTTTCCCACCCTGTGCGCCTAAATTTAGGCATGTTAGAGCCATGAGTAGTCGGAATTATCGGGTTTCACCACAAATCTGTGTTTAACAATCAAATTGTGGTTTTGGCAACGCCCCGAATTATAATTCTATCCCAAAATACTCGCACAAAAACACAGTGAAGTAGAAAACGCTACAGTATTCCAGAAAAGCTTCTGTCAGTCATTATCAACAATGTTAAACATGGTTATGTATCACTGTAATATATTTTATATGGTTAGGTATTGGTAAAGTTAGGTATGATTAAGTATGACAGTAGAAAATCACTTGATTGTACTTATGACAATAAATTCGAGAAGACAATGAAATAAGGTTACAATAATAATAAAACAAAATATCCAGTCAATATGGCAGTGAAATTAAAACCATTGATCTGCTACACTCTTATTGCAATGTAAGAAGTTAAATTTTAAGTGACCAACTGGAAATTACACAAAAATTAAACATGACATAAAACCTTAGAAAGCAGCACTGACACATTCAGAGACGTGCATTGTGCTTGTAATAAAGTTCAGCCCTAAGAACAGAAAACTGCCTTTGCAAATAAGTTATTTTTCCAGGGGGACACAAAGTAAGACAATATTGCTGTCAGCAGCCCAATCAACGAAGAATACCAAAATTTTGGTGCCTACAATAGGTGGGTATGTTTGCATAAAACAGTTTGTGGCAGTAGTGTTTCTGCACACTCCCACTTGGAAAAATTCTTCGAGCATGTCTATGCTGTGACATCTTCCACTTGGAAGTTTGTGCTTTTCATGATTAAGCATGCAAGGCAGTGAGGATCGGCAAAACATTACTCCCAGATGGGACGAGCAGTCAGTGCTTGCTATCACCAGCCGGTAGTAAAAAGGTAACATTTATAATGCTTGTCTAAGGCTTGGACCCATGGTCAGATTATATGCGGCATCTCAGGGAGTAATAGCTGTGTGCTAGTGCTCACTGTCCTGCATGCATAATTATACAAGCCACAACGAAACTTTCCAGCTGGATATCTGAGCACAGGCATGCCGAAAATTCTTTGGACCTATGTAGAAATGTGAGTGGCTCAAATTTTTAATACATGCATGGCCAGCTGCTGCAGTCACTAATAAGTTCATTATTAAATCTTATTCAAGGCCGCGGCTGACAGCGATAATTATTGTTGCACATTGTGTTCCTCTGAACACTTAGCTATGTGCAAAAGTAGCTTTTACACACACAACACACAGCACTGACTTTTTTAAAGAAAAACAAAAGGCTTAACATTGAACATCCTGAACATGCGAGCTACTTGAATAAAAAACGAGGTGGCTTAGTGAAGTTTCCTTTCCATAGGAAACAGAAGCCATGCGCAAGTGCTGTACATTCAGTAGCCAACTTTTCCACGAGTCACCATTAATGACAGGCTTGTCGGGAATTCTTTCACACTCAGTTAGCACGAGGTGCATGCATAGGCTGCGACGGAAACACCGAAAAAACAATTTAGTGACATGTGTCTCTTAGAAAAACTGAATTTGTCAGTATGTTTAAAATGATTTGGAACAATGTGTCTTAAAACAAGTAGGATGTACACAAACTAGAGATGTTACAAACAAAACTTTCTTGATGTTCTTGGCGAACACAGTTGCAATTTTATTAGAGAACATGTAATTTACACATTGCAGATGTGTCAAAGATGTGTCAAAACAATGCTTGAATCGCGCTCGTGCATAGTGCATTGAAAGCAAGTTCAATGATACCAGAGTACATACATGATGGTATGCGCTTTCATCAAGTATCCATTGCAGGTAACCTATATTATTGAACATGAACTTGATTTCAAATGCAACTAATGTAGCTTTTCTCAGGCTGCTCACACTGGGAAGATTATACCTATTTCAGAAATTGGTGTCACCAAAAACTATTGTGTACTGCCAAATTATAGTGATCAGTTTCATTGATTCTGGTTGGCTAAAATGGCAGTACCCCTCACTCAAGCATCACAGGCTGTCTAATGAAAAAAAAAAAAACATACGGGGCACATACCTTGAACCACACACCATCCCAATAAAGTATGCAAGCTTCTGCAACAATCTCCGGGAACCAGAATCTCGGAAGCTTATTGACCATGGTTTAGCAATAAGGTTTGATGAAGCTAATTACCGAATTTGTATAATTCCTTCAGTGCCAATAGCTTGAAAACTTGCAGTCTGTATCTTTTATTCTCAAATAAATGCGGTGTCCAATTTTACATTTTAACAGCAATACGTGAATGACTTATGCATGCTTATCATTATTTATAACATTATCGCGAGTTTTAAGCGATAAATAAAATATTAATTCTGCACGTACCACAGATTCCGTCAACATCTGTAGCGCATGCCTTGAAAGTTTACTTTATCCATTATACTGATAAGCTTGTAATTAATCAGAAAATTTCATTGGAGGTGGCGCTATAGCCTATTCCTAATGTTCATACACGTGAAGTGTTTATCAAAGTTTCCACACCAAGGTTGGGAGAGGTGCATAAAATACTTAATGAACCAAAACAAATACATAGTGGAAACAAGCAGAGTAAAATCAATGGTGCTCGAACACGTGGACTTATGACTGAATTAGTGCTCGCACAGTAAAGTAAAGCAATTTGGCCACGTTTAGCCATGAAATATTCGTTCTAAAATACAGTTCAGGATAAACGAATGACTTGAAATGCACGGCTTCAGGCCGCATGAGGCAATCTATGTTGCTGGTGTATACCAAAAGTTGGATTTTTACTAAACGAGCTACATGAACATTTAAGTGTAAGTGCAACATTTGCGAGCCCTACCTGAGACGATGCAACACGCTACATACAAACACGCCTCAACTCGAGCATCATGGTAGTTTATAAAAACGCGTGCCGGCGAAAATGCACACACTGGCATACATTCGGCCACTCGCAAGGAAAAAACTTCTCTGATAGCAATCATAACGTATAACGATAATGTAGCTGTTCAAAATGGAACGTACAGCAGATGAACCTGCCTCAGACACGTTCACTTCAATAGCGCACAATATTAACAGGCATCAACGCGTACAGCTAACAAATGCCCCAGAATAATTAAACCAAAAAAATAGTGGTGACTCGGGAGCAGGGCCCCCCTCCAACACCACTGCCAACAGAGGCGGACAGCTGCCACAACTCTGCTCGAATCAGCCGCCGAATTCCCGCTAAGCGTGCATGCTTCACACTCCACACAAAAGAAATAAAAAACTTGTCCGCACTTATCTTCGCACAATTTAGCCTTTACACTGCTGAAGTACTACAGGAAATCTGTGTCTCACGTAAACATAAGCTCACTTGTGCACATTGTAGGAAAAACATGGTGAACGCAGTGATAACAAAGCGCCGACAGCAGCAGTGTGGCACATAGCTGGCAAATGCTCCACAATACAAACCCACACGTCTTCGCTTTAGTATAGCGCATCTTCGTAATCAGCAGCACTGGCAGAACACCAAATACGAACGCAAAGTGGAAGCACACAATTAAAACACGAGAGAAATCGACTCAAACACGCTCCTTTGAGAGGCGACTGAGCGGCGGGTAAACACGTCCAGACAAGTAAAAGTGTTCTAGCGGCGCAGGCGCACCCCGCATTTGCGCATCCTAATTTCTTAATGCTGACTAAACAGCTCAGTTATTACATTTAAATGTGTAAAAAATATGCAAAATTGTATACTACATAAATATGTAGAGCGAATATTATTTTGATTGAAAAGAAGAAAGAAACGTAGAAAACACCTTGCATATATTGCATGGACAATCGAGACTTCCTCCGCGAATTCTACCAATAGTGCTAGAAAATGAACTTTAGTAAATGGTTTGCAAAAGACTTCTTGTAAAGAACAATTTTAAACGTCTTCCAGAAAACCTACTTTGAAAAACTTTTATTTAACGTCAAGTATTATACTTAGATGTCCGCATACCTTTCTAGTCGTTTCGAGAAGTTTATACGACATTTTGTGTTTCTTGTGCAAGTTCGTTCAATAAACTTCAGTGTATAGTTTGCGCTTGTACTGTCCACTTCACTTCTTCTCTTCTCTATTACTTCGTTCTCCGCAGCAACTGTAGCACGATTCTTCAGTCATAAAAAAAAACCCAACTAGCCCAATCCTAACTTCGCCAAGGCCTATTGCCACACAATTTTAATGACAAAAATGTTTCAAGAACTCGTCCAGCACGAGTTACAAAGATAAGTCGCATGCTGCAACCGCATTCTCTTTTCTCTCGTCCCGACGAAAGCGCTGGAAGCTAAGCAGGGACAGATTGCATGGGCAAACAAAATACATCACACGCACCTAGTGACCTTGAGCGCGTTCTTTTTTTTTTAATACGGGGCTTTTTCAGTGTGATCACTGAAAAGTCCCGCATTGGGGAGACGCCATATTAGAACTATCACACCAATGAATCGACGTTCACACTCAAAAAGCCCGCTTGCTCTTTAGCTAACTTTTTTCCCGCAATCTTTCTTCGGGAGGCTGAGTAAATGAATCGTGGCACTAGAACCTCGAGAACTGCAGGGCACATAGGTAGAAAAATTCCGACGACTCGCACATAAACGTGATTGCAAAATGGGCAACACTGCCAACAGTCGATATTGCTTTATTTTATGTTTGTATCTCAATAGAGGGGATACGCGATATGAAACACAATTCCCAAGTATTTTTCACACGAAAATGTTTGATTCAGTAACGCAAAGTTCATGTAATTCAAATTGAAAGGTTAGTATATATGGAAGTTTTGTCATTAGAAGTGGAAAAAAACACAGGCTTGACAGAAAGCACGCGTGTACACGTGCCTGCGTGTCTTTACCCTCCTAACTCCTCCACACAAACACATATATTGGCGCTCTTTATCATATCTACGCGATGTTTAAACAGCCGCGCATGTCCATAGTGGCAATAGAGTTCTTTTTGGATAATTTGTTTTTATTTTCGTCCTTAGATACCTGTCCTGGTAGTTGCGAGGTGATGCAGATGGGTGTAATGCATCAGATTTTAGAAGTTCCGCAATGCCACCTGCTTGTCAAATTTTGTTTGAATTTGTGCAAGTAAGTCGGTTGGAAATAAATGAAACTATCATTCTCAAGTGACATCGAGTCTTTGCCCTCCTCCCATTAGCCTCCTTGTTTTGCATGACCATGTTAATACTAACTTGATTCTGCATTACCGTCAGGTTAAAGCTGCTGCCTTCACGACAGCATGTACCTAGAGCGCATTAATTTTATGCGACGACCACTCGTTTTACCAAGCGCGTTCTCGCCGCAGGTATGCGACATGACGCGGGCTCCCTCTTTTGGCATGGCCGGCGCGCCGTGGAAGATGCCCCGAGCGTGGCGTTCCTGCGAAAAGCCGGCGCCATCCCACTGGCGCTGACGAACGTGCCCGAGCTCTGTATGTGGGGCGAGTCGCACAACTTGATCGACGGCTGCACGCGCAACCCACACGACACGCGCCGAAACCCCGGTGGAAGCAGCGTTATGTGTTTCGTAACCGTCTGCCTGGACAACACGTGGCACATGGCGTCCGCCTATAAAGCACATATAGTTTGAGCCTTATTTGACAACTCATATGTGCCCTTAATACTTCTATTTTCTTTCTAACAAAAAAAGAGCACTTTTCTGTGTTCTTAAATACATTAAAACTGCTTCAAATACCATCTCCTATACTTTCCTTGGCATAATTGTTTGTCAGTTCTCATTATTATTGTGTCCAACAAAGCAAATGAACCCCTAAGTAGAGCTTCCTTCCCGCCATTCATAGCCAGGGTCTCGTTCTGGCAGACTTCATGCCGTCAAGTGGTATGTGAGAGATAATGGGGCAGCTGCAAGTCGTGATGAGATCACGTGCTACGTGATGCGAATAGAGAAAAAAAAATGAGTTTTTCACACTCAATGGCAACAGGCGGTGATGACTGACGCTCCCTTGTTTAAATGCACATAAGTACCCCATAAAGTGAACGGGAGGATAGCCGCCCTGGTAGCTCAGTTGGTAGAACATCGGACGCGTTATTCGAAGGTCGCAGGTTTGGTCCCTGACCACGTCAAACTATCATTTCGTCCACTTTTCTTTTTTTACATTTACATCGCAATTACTTCAAATAACATCCCCTCTAGTTTCTTTGGCATCATTGTCTCTTAGTTCTGAATAATACAGGGTCTAACAAAAAAAAGAGTTCTTAAGTATGTCTTTTCTTTGTGGATGGTAGGGGCCCACACACGAGTTCTGCCCTCTATCATCCTTGTCTTTTTTATGCAGTTTTTTTTTCTCATGGTGCTGTCAAACAAACTAGCCCAACGACAACCAGTCAGAAAGTTATTTTCTATTCTTGTAGTTATAAAAGCAGATGGAAACGATATACGCTTGAGGAGACACTCGCTAACCCGTTGCGCTTTCGATACATTATGTTCAGGTTACCCATGTATATTTTGGTGCTTTGGTGCCGTGTTTCAACGCCTTACTTTACTTTCTTCCATGAACAATCCCTGTCATTCTATATAGGGAGGCAGAAAGAGAGTGGAAAGTGTCACCGAAGTGCCATAGCCTCCCTCCTGCACACCAAGTGCCACCTGGTGTAGTCCAAAAGCAAAGGAGCTTTTTAATGGATGACTAAAGAAATCTAAAGTGATAACATACATCTAGATCAAAACGGGATATGTTAATAATTGATTGAACGAAATATCAGGCGTCCTCGGCTGCACTGGCGAATACTGGAGAGGGAGAGGGAGGGTTTGTCGGCAATCGTTGAAACCTCTTCTCTCCCCACCCCTCCACCGAAGATTTTCAATACTGCATGTGTATACGGTCATGCATTCATACGAACGCACCCACGGACATGCATAAAAAGCAGTTGAGCCCCACTTCTCCCTAACCACCTGGAAAACATTTTCTGGTTACACCCTTGTTCGGCCGCTACTAACATCGAAAAATTACATGACCATAACCCCATTTCTGGGAGCGAAAGGCAAAAAAAAAAAAAAAAAAACCTCACAGCATATCCATGGAGTGAATGATGATGAGTGGGGCGAAGCATCTGTCAGCCCGTCCGTGCTTCGGTCCGTCCATCCGTTCGTTCTTGCTTCCCTCCGTCCGCGCGACCACCCGTCCGTCAATCCATGCGTCCGTCCGTCAATCCATGCGTCCGTCCGTCAATCCATGCGTCCGTCCGTCAATCCATGCGTCCGTCCGTCAATCCATGCGTCCGTCCGTCAATCCATGCGTCCGTCCGTCAATCCATGCGTCCGTCCGTCAATCCATGCGTCCGTCCGTCAATCCATGCGTCCGTGCGTCAGTCAATGCGTCCGTCCGTCAGTCAATTCGTCCGTCCGTCTGTCCACGCATCTGCCCACGCGTCCGTCCGCCTGTCCGTGCGTCCTTCCATCCGTCTGTCCGTCCATGCGTCCATCTATTCAACACTTCAAGTACCACCATCTCCCATCTCGCATCCCCTGTGGCACATATCCGCCCTAAGCGGGTATGTGCCACCGGTGGCTACGTTCATACATACATGCATACATACATACATACATACATACATACGTACGTACGTACGTACGTACATACATACATACATACATACATACGGAGGAGGAGGAGGAGCGACATACTCACGCCATAAGGAGCTTCACCCCTAAACGTAGGGAATACCCGGTGCCCTCGTTCGATGATTAGAAAGGGTGGTCAAAGCAGATCGTACTTAACGTTAGGGTTCTGTATCCGTCTTAATGTGTGGCGAGTGGAGAAATACGAGCTGCTGGCGCGTGGACAACGCCGGTTGCTTTACATAGCCCAACTAACCTCCGTATTCAGAAATGCTCCTTGACTTGAACTTGAATTGAAACCGCCTTCAGTGCAGCGCGTTTAAAACGCATCTGTGCATTTGTGCTGCCTTGGAACCGCCTAGAGACAGTGAGTTCGATACGCGTTTGTGCTGCATTGAAGTCAGTGGCAAGTCAAGTTCAAGTCAAGCAGCGTTTCTGAATACGGGGGTAAGAAATGCATTCGCATTTATTATATATTGTGTGGTTCTGGGTGGAGGCTGACAAAAAACTTCTCAGAGAGACGATACCGAGACACAAAAGAACACGTCTTTACTTGTCGATGACTCGGCCGCAAAAAGGATGATTATATCTTCTTGCTGATGGCGTTCGATAGTGTGTCAGCGCCTGCTGAGCACGAGCTGCAATTGCCATCGTTCATCGTTTTCTTCTTCTATTGTCGGCGCACCCACAGCCGCCACTCCTGCAACATGTATCATCAGCCTACTAAGACCCTTCGTGCATAGTAGTCCCCCCAGATGACCACGGACTTCCGTGACATGATGCTCTGTATCGACTGAGCACAGATCTTCATTTATATAGTCATTAACGTTAGCTGCTCATACAACATGCTATTATTCACTATCAACATATTAGGGACAGCACATACTTGTCTATCAATAAAAGTATATCAGGTCCACCATCTAGCACGCCTTATGGATGACGGCACCCGGAAGAAACCAAATGTAACATGTTACACTGAAGCCCAAATTAAGCAGCTCAGATTGTCAACAGCTTTAAAAAATGCACTATTAAAAATCCGACACGCGGGGCTTGTCTGTTCGAAGAGGAAAAATTGAAGAAAAGGTGGTTACCTGGGAGACCATTTTGATGGAAAGAGTTAAACAGTCGCACGTTTACTGTTGCTTAACAATGCCAACAGCAACATGGGTATTAGCTGCACCCAGAAGCTGAAAGAGAATATGTAGCGCATGTGCCAGCGATGATGGCGGCGCTAGACACTACTAGATAAATGACCTTCAGTGGATGGCACGTCACTACAATCATGCTACAATTGTTTTTAACTCAATATGACGGCTTTATGATAGGAGTACGTATGTACTGTTTATAAGATTGGATAACCAGCACTGCAACTGGGGTTTAACGTAGCAAAACCACCATATGATTATGAGAGACGCCATAGTGGTCTCCTGAAGTTTTGACCACTTGGAGTTCTTTAACGTGACCCATATCTGAGCACACGGGCTGAACACGTGCACAACAAAAAACGAAACAACCGACTTTATGTGTAATCAGCTCCGTCCGTCGGTCTGTCCGTTCGTCCATGCATCTATGCATCCCTTCATCCGTGCATCCGTCCGGGTGTCCTGCCGTCGTCGCATCCGTGCATACGCTCACTTGTCCCTCCGTCCATGTGTCCGTCCTTTATAGAAGTCGGTTACTTCAACGTAGAAATTATAGACCTTAGGACGTGGTAGCTTCGCCCACCCATCTTTATTCACTTCGTGGAGGTGCAACTATTTTTCTTAACCTTCTCGAACTAAAATTACCAATGTTTCTTTGGGCCATTCTTTGGTTAATTTATATAAACTGTCATTCACATTCAGTGCATTGGGCTTTGCAGTTCATTTTAACACGAAGTTATGGCTCTATCGTAGGAGCACATATGTAATGTTCATAAAATTGGACAGTCATCCCTGCATCCGTAATTGATGCTTCGCGAACATTCCGCTTTACTTGAAAAGCAGTTGTGAGACTTGGCTTGACTATGGGGTAGAATACTTGGTTGCCATGCAGAATTCTGGGGCTCAATTCCTGCTGGAGCCCTGAAGTTTTTTCTTTACATTCTTCGGGTCAATGCAGCTAATGTCAGCTTTTTCCCAACGCTCACGCTTGAAATTACCCTTGTGTGTTTTCGCCGTTCCTGGGTAGGTATGAAGAGTCAATCGCTTGAGGCACATCTACATGCCAGTGGCACATATCCGCCCACGAGCATGTACCATTATCTGATAAAAGTGTTTGACGACGTACGCGACGGGCTTTTGACATTAGTCATGTCCTGACCTACAAGTCGTGTTCATCAAACTATCTTACCCTCCCAAACTAAAAGCACCCAGATGTAGGTGGCTATTAGATAGATAGATAGATAGATAGATAGATAGATAGATAGATAGATAGATAGATAGATAGATGCCAAAAGTCCTTCCAGTACGCAAAGAAATGCTTTGCGTATAAAAGCAAATTAGGTATCTAATTGTCTGAAGAAGTGCATATAAGGCTGGAAACGTAGACTGTGTCGTCGTATTCAATGAGCACAAGGTAGTGTTTGACCACTAATTATTCTCACAAACCACAGGCGGAGAGGGAAGTCTTCTTGCGGCAGCTGGATCCCTGCTTGGCCTCGGAACTGATGCTGCGGGAAGCGTGCGGATACCATCCGCCTACTGCGGAGTCTTCGGTCACAAGCCAACAGCTGGTGATAACTGCAAATCAAATTTTAGATGTGAAGAAGTGTAGGGTCGAGCTCAATCCGGTGTGTGGCGTGACCACCCTTACTGCTCATGCGCGTCTGCTTCCCCTATTCTTCCTCTCTTACGTTCGCCCCCCTCCGACCTCTCAGCACCGACGCACGGCCTCTGCTAACCTATGCTCGCCCCGCTCTCTTTCCTCTAGGCATTCCTCAACGCGACATTTACAGACCAATTGTGCATGCACGTCATCTTGCCATATTTCTCCTCTCCTACACTCCCCCTTTTTCACCTCGCAATGCTGACGCACGCAACGTCTGCTAGTGAGGGTCCAGTTGAAAAAGGAAAGGGGAAGAAAACCATGTGTTTTCAGCACGAAGCCACAACCTACGGATTTTTTGAAAAAAAAAGAGCCTCTTAAATGCCGAAAAGTTTGTCCTGATCTGGGGTTTGAACCCGGGACGAATGCCTATGCGGGGTGGTCGCTCTGCCTATTGAGCTAAGCAGGAAGCTAGCTATTGACAGCGGGAAATAAATCGAAAACTCGAAGCACTTGACACAATAATGAAAATGAGATCTGCGGAAACGTGCAAGGTGTTGGAAGGGTTAAGAAAGAGGAAAAAGACAACCGCCTGTTTGTAGCATGAAGTCGCAAGGAAATCCATACGGATTTCTCGAAAAGCTCCGTCACAGATCAGGACGAATTTTTCAGCAACCAAGAGGCTTTTCTTTCCAAGTAATCCTTGAAAATTTCCTTGTGGCTTCGTTCTACAAACGGGTGGTTGTCTTCTTCCCCTTTCTTAACTCTTCCGCCACCTTGCGGTTTTCCGCCGAACTCATTAGCGTTCATTGATCTACAAGGTAGCGCTGGTAAGAGATTTCTCCTGTACAGAGAAGCACGAACTGCTGGACGAGTTGGTAACTCATTTTAACTGAGTGCGCAAAAATAATTCAAGTACAAAAGGAAGACACCTGTACACAGCATACTGTCCAGGTGTCTTCCAGACGTTGAACCAAAAAAGTCGCAGCATGCACGTTAACTAAAAGCGAACTGCGAATTTATGTTTCCAAGCAGAGTGTTCTGTCTCTCATTTCCCATTAGCAGTGATTGGCATGTTAAAGTAGAAAACACTGGTTCATCACTGCGTGCTTTGGGCCTTCTCAGGCTTTTTCTCCTACGCAACGCCCCGATGAGCGTCAGCGTAAACGTCGCCGCCCGTGTAAGCGTTAGCGTCCGCTCCTTCGTGCCTACGCATGGTTCCCTTTAGCGGGAAATTGGGTGATTTGTTTTGGTGTAACAGCTGGTTCGTCTTTTCTTGTACCCGCTGAAGTTGTTTAGTGGTGCAGTGTCTTGCCCGTGCACTCTAGGTTACGCGTCAAGGTCTATGCTGCGCACCACCCGTACTGTGGTCCCTGTTCTGTCCTAATCTCATTGATAAACCACTCCCAACTAGCCCAATACACCCATCTTTGATATCTCTCTTGTACTATTACAACATTGTGCTGTGGCACGCAGTACCCCCTACCTCAATAGGGCCATCCTTTTGAGGTTCCTAATTTGTGACGATTGAACTTGAAATGACGAAAGACCAAACTTGCAAGCGGAGGAAAGTTGTTATCAAAAAACATGGTTGATGCGTCTTTTTAGGGACTGGTATTTCGCGAAAGTGGAAGTGTCGTCGCAGGGGCAGTTGAGCATTCATTGCGCATTATTACCCCACAAAGGGCGAAGAAATTAATGCTGCAGTAACAAATTGCAATGTCCCGCGAAGAACTGCAAGCAGCTCGAAACTTGCAGTGCACACTTCATGTAGACAGCATGCGCGAAATGAGCATACACAGGACGAGCGAGGACCAACAACTGTCACAGCTTGGTACTCGAAGCACACTGTTGAAACAGAAATAAACAGGCACAGAATCAACGCATAGTTATACACAGGACAAGCCCGTGCAACGGTCACAATCCTTATATACTTTTTCGTGTGCGAGCAGCGTGCTCTTCTTTCGTAAACGTGGCGGCGGCAGCGAGCGAAATGACATTTGTGCTATCTTATACTCTAACTTCAAAACAAACTTGCAGTGGAAGCACAAGAGGCACAAAGAGCCCGAATCCCGAGATAAGTGCGCGCGTGCTAGTGAGCCACTACGTTGGCGAAGATCTATACGTACTTGAAACACGCGACGGAAAGGCGCGCGCATACAGCGAAGCGCGGGGTGGCGCGGCATGGAACCCGCATGCTCAATGCGCTCCCGTAGTGCCATCGCGCTACTAATGACGGAAACGCGCAGAAGTTGCCGAGATGTGAGGATTGCCAGCGGTATATGGTGAATATGAATGGCTTGACGTTATAACCTGTTAAAGAATGGTCGTTCTGTGGCGTAATGGTTAGAGTCGCGAGCTGAGAAGCGCGAAGTCGCTGATTCAACACCCCGCTGCGAATTTTTTTTCTCGTTTTTTTTTGCTAACTGTTAGTAAATATTGTACAGCGTCCTGCCCGTGGCAGAAATACATCCCGGAGCCGTGGTGGACCCCGGCACAAATATCTTTCGCGTGTGAAGTTTCAGAACCTTACAATAGAGAACAGTAGCATTGTGAAGCTCTCATAATTTCAACGACTGTCGTAGAGCGATAACGTTGCTTGATTCACAACTTTTAGGTTAGAAAAGAAGCTTTGCAGTTTTGAAGAGCATTTGTAAATCAGTGTAAATTATGCGCTTACCGCAATTATGTGACCTGTGATCTTGTGCTGCCCTCAGGAGTGGTGCCAAACACTGGCCTGATGCCAGAGCTAGGAGAAAATGTGGCGCAGTTCAACTGCGTGGGACCCATGACGCGGTTTGCGGAGGACTTGCCGCTCATGCTGAACGTTCTGGCAGGAAGTGATACCAACAAGTTAAGACTGAACGAACAAGTATGTCCGGTTGTGTACGTGTTTTTCTATTGAATTGTGAACGAAGAAGCGCGGAAAGAAGAAACCACCTAATTCATAAATTCATGCCAAACATTTTTCGTCTGAGACAGCAGATATTAATCATATAAGCAACACAGTCTTACTTTTTCGTGCAGCAAACTTCTCCGAAGTTTTTTTTCGTCATCCTTTGATTGATTGATTGATTGATTGGTGTTTGGTTTAACGTCCCAAGGCCACCATATGATTGTGAGAGATGCCGTAGTGAAGGTCTCCGGAAATTTGGACCACCCGCGGTTCCTTAACGCACGACCAAGTGTTAGCAGACTGGCCTACACCATTTTCACCTCCATGGGAAATGCAGCCGCCACAGCCGGTATTCGGTCCCGCGAACTGCGGGTCAGCAGCCGAGTAACTTTTAGTCATCTTTTATGTGTGCTTTAAAAATTACTTAAGGAATATTTACGGGTTTGCTTTTTACGCTGTTGGCGCATTATTGCACACAAAGTGAAAAATGATGTCAACGTGATTACCTATGCCAATTATAGTTTGTCTGTGCTTGATGTGGTGACATTTTGTTCTATATCTTATGATAATCATTTCCTAGTAGTGAAAACAGTCAGTGTCTTTGTACTACGCCGAGCGAAACAAGCATGCCATCAAAATGGCGGAGCTTGCGCTTATTCGCGTAACGCTTGAAACAGTGAGAGTGGGAGGTTTCAAAATGTAACCTTGTTGCCTTGCTTGGCTTTCACTAGCAGATGCTAGGTAGCTTCGAGGTCATTGCGGTGTTTTAGATGGGTGATCATAGGTTTCTTTGTTTGTAGGTCGCTTCTTAGCGCAAGAAGATTAGAGTTAAGCCGCAGACAGCCACAGACACGTCATGGATGTCCAAACTCCAGGGAGAACAACTCGCCCTAAAACCAATAGTTCACACCGCCAATAAATCTGCGGGTGCGTCATCGTTCGCGTACATCTTCCATCGCTTCGGGGCCTTCAGACAAGCGGCGTCGCCTTTCCTGTTCACTGGTATTCCCTCGTTGTGTGCACCACTGAACCACTCGTACAGATGCTTCAGCGAAGCTGAAACTTGTGGCTGCGGTGTTTATCACTGCGGAAATTCAGACGTCCTTATTAATTTTTTCCTAACTACTAGGTACATCTGTATAGAAAAGTTCATTGGTGTTTGGCACCCTTCGGTTGGCTTATTTATTTTAGGTGGACCAGTGGTGAGCAGTGGTATTTGCCCAATTTCCGTGCGGAACGTACCCGTTAATAATAACAATATTAACGCGATGGCGTTAAAGAGCTCGTTTCATTGAAATCCAGCACTGGCGTGATCATCAGTGTCGTTCATTGTGAGCGAAAAATCAAAAACGATGTGAACAGAATAAATAAAAAAAACCTGGGTCAGAGTGGGAACGAAACCCGGGACGTTTTGGTACGAGTGGAAATCGAACATGGGTGTGTGTGTGACAAGCGGATGTTCTACCACACAGCCACGCCTGTATTGTGAATTCAGTGAAAATTAATTCCTCTGCTTGGAAATGCAGTGAAAGTAACTTTCATGCTTGACAAACACACGCGTCCTGTATACATGCTTTACAATGCACGAAGAACTATTGCAGTAATAATGCGTGGTACAAGCGTACACTGCGATCGGGCGCGAGAACATGCGATAACTATAATGACTTCATTGTTTAAAGCCAATCATCCACTACAAAAGGCACACGTTACTGCGCCTTGTCTCCTAAGGCCCCGTAGGGGGTACATAGAAAGTTAGAAAAGATGTCAAGTGTTTGAAGTATGGACTAGGAACTGGATATCACTATCGAGTTACTCTCTGAAAAGTGCCGCAACTTTTTGCGCTCATTTCTGCACACAAACTTCGAGTAAGAATGCAAAAATTGCAATAAAACACAAAAGAATATGATCAATGATTAGTAACGTGAAAAACGAATTACCTGAGTGGTAAAGAGCTGACTATGTCAGCTAAATGCTTGCATGCTTCAACACTGTAGAGGAAAAAAAACTGTGCTTTAGGGCCCTGATTTGCTGAGTTGAAGATCCAGCTCATGATGATTTCTGGTGAATGTTGGTTTAGCGTACGAGTTGCCTATACAAGGAAGCGTGTCCAGTGAGAGGGTAAAGATGCCCTAACGATTCTACGCGCTGAAGACAGCGAAAAGGGAAACTAGTAAGCTGAAGACTATGACGATAGAAACTAGGTGTAAGATTGGCCACTTATCTCCATGCTTCACTGGAAATGTCGTCAAGAGACAATAATATTTTTGTCTGAAGAGAGAAAGGGAGAGAATAAAACATGTATTTGCGACCAAGGAAGGTATGTCGGTGAGTGGGATCCTTAGTCCGGGATCCCATTGGCACGGACCGCTGTCCTCGCTCGTCTCACGTGGACTTCTTGGGTCTTCGGATCCGAGCTGGACAGAGCTGCCTCCCACCCTAAGGTTTTGTGTTGTGCTCTGGGTTGTAGAGGTGGATTGTGTGGACATTCCCATATCAAGTGGTACAGGGTGGCTGTTTTATTGACGCACAAGCTGCACTGTGGTGCGTACGTGTCGAGATCTACCTTGGACAGTGTATATGGATTGGGGTAAGACAAAGTCTGCAGGCGACACCACGCTACCTGCGATGCTTTACTGAGCTTTGGCTCCGGGGGCGGAAGTTTCCGCCATTCGAGTCTTTGATGTTCTAAAATATTTGTGTATGTTAGGAGCGGGTCCCTATAAAATAAATAAAAAATAGTTGTCTGAAGGTGCTGCTTGAGATATGGACGCCATCTGACAGCATGTCAGGAAGCAAACAAAAGCTTGTGTAGGACGCAGAGCCACTGGTAGGTGGCAGCACCGTGTCTTCGTGAAGCGTAGAATGCACCCACTTTTTCGTTCATAGCGTCGGATTGTCAGCGCAGCGTAATAAGCCTAGCGGTTTATAGAATTAAGTATTTATGCATTTTAGATATAAGAAAACACTTTACCTGCTGCCTTTACCAGTGTGTATTTCGCCTTGAACTGTATGAAATACGGGCTGGAACTTATTATTCGGTACGGGGCGTTTTGTCATGTTTCGATGACTTATGAAATTAAAGCATAATTTTTAATAAAGATACTGTCATACGTCGCTTAAACAATATTTAGAGCTGACTAAAATTTTTCTAGACTGAAAATAATTTAATTCTGTTTTCCAGGTAAATCTTAAGGCCCTCAAGCTATATTATATGGACACTGAAGGAAGTTTCTACCTTAGCCGTGTGACCACCAATATGCGGCTGGCCGTAAGACGGGTCAGTATTTTCATAAAATCATCTGAAAGAGCACAATAATTACTTCTTTAGAGCCAAGGGAACAACATTGTTGTATTTTGACAGGTGTGTGTTATAGTGATGGAACAATTCAATGCACTAAGATAGGCAGAGCTCGCCTTTATTAGCATCTAAAAGACCACCATTCAATGAAGCTGGGTCACGTGTGTTTGAACTTGAAGTTTCGTGTTCGCAAGCTCAAGTAAGGCGTTTAAAAGACAATAAGCATGAAGTCGTTTCATTAGATAAGACTGCGTCCAATATATAAAGTCAATTTGAACGTACATGCTCAGTAAAGGCTAAGCTGCGGCCTTGTATATGCCTGTCTTGCTAGAACACTTACCACAACCAGGAATGACCCACGTGATCAGCACTTAGGCGCGAATGAATGAAGAGAGAGAAGGAGGTCGTGTGTTAGGTGCATTCATTTTTGCTGAACTCATCTCGCAACTTCTAAGCAGACACAGCGTCTGGCACACTTTCTTATTTACTACGACAAGGAAGTATTCAAACATCAGCGGTGAACTCCACCCACGTGAGGTATTTATCATCTGCAACTTTACGAGGAGAACTTGCGATGAGTTGCGGCTGAAGATTGGCTGGCAGTGTCGATTCCTGTTTCTAGCTTTGCAAGTTGCTTTCGCTGTACGCTTCTTTTTATCAGTGACATGACACGAAATGAAGAGAGTGTGCACATTCCCCAGGGCTGAACAGGATGATGTAAACTTCTGTCGCTTGATGTGCACTTATCAGTGCTGCAACTCTTCGTTCACGTGTCTGCTCATCTTCATAGCACACTATGTAGCCAAACAGGAAGTGACCCTGATAATGCATCCTCTCGGTCAAGGAGAATTCTTTTAGAAGTCGTGACATGCACTTGAAGGCAGATTTCCACTTTTTTGTACACTGCCACAAATCTCTCTAAGAAAGTGTAGTTCAAACAATTCATGGCTTTAAGTCAAAATTTTGTGGTCCACATCTCCCTGTAGCGATAAAACTGGGCCGCATCATTACTATGGTTAGTCAAAACCTAGCAGTAATATTCACCCACAATCATTGGTGTCCCACCAAAACAAAATTTGTGCGTATGTGCCATCTAATCAAATTTGCCCATTCCCGTTACGTCAAGCATCTATGGCGTATTTAAGGTACGTAACGTTCCCAAAGAGGCACACGCTGGCATAGAAACTTCCTGCTAAATTTCAGTGGAATTGCGGCATCACTGCTCTAAATGGTCTAAGGAGCGTTTCTTGTCTCTTTGAAATCAACAGGTCACGAAGTACCTCACAACGGCGCACAGACTACAAGCACATCAGCTGCGCCTGCCCGAGATGCGTTTCGGTATGTACGAGTGGTTCAAGGTTATTGCCATCAAAGATCCTACGCCACTGGCCCAGGTATTCAGGCCCGGTGGCTTTAACACGCTAGTTGAACTGCTCCGACACCTCGTGGGTGCTGGCCGGCACACACTCGCTGCACTGGTTTCGTCTCAGATGGCTCCACTTCACCACTTCCGTTCGGAACAAAAGGCTGAAGCCTTCGTCACTTCCATAGAGAACGCCAACCAACGGTTCGAAGAGACGCTGGGGGACGACGGAGTTCTTATCCTTCCAGCCGCTACGAGTGCCGCCCCGTATCAGAATCAGGAATTTCTATTTCCGGATTCCACAGGCATGACGGCTCTGTTCAACTTGTTCAAGGTGCCCGCAACTGTGTGCCCTGTAATGCGATCGGCGGACAACTTGCCCTTGTGCGTCCAAGTTGTCGCCAAGAGGGGAAACGACCGTCTATGCCTGGCTGTCGCCAGGGAAATCGAGAAACGTTTTGGTGGGTGCATAGATCCTTCGCCGAAGCTTGAAAGAAAGATGTGATGACCTCGTCAACAGCCCGTTGTGACAGCTGTCCTTTCTGGCTAAGTTCTGGCTAAAGTAAGTGCACCGGAATAGCGACAATTATGAACCCGTGTTCACAAAAACGTCTTAGACTGAACATGTTTGTAAAAAAAGTACTGCTGTTCATCCTTATGCTAGACGTAACTACAGAGATCTGCCTTACTGAAAAATTTTCCTTTTAATGATGTGCAATAAATTCAGCCCTTGTTTATAGTAAGAGCGCCTAGAGTGTAAACGATCTCATGCAGAGTATTGTACATTTTATCCTGGTGAGTGAGGATTCATTTCAAAGAAGCTTATCAAATTTGCTAAATGGCCTTATACGCCAGCGCCTAGAAAACGCTTTCACTGTATTTGTAAATAAAATCTACTGCCATCGAATCATGACCCTTGTAGTATACGTTGTGCGTATAGCGTGACGCCTGAATAAAGGAAATAGGTAGTTTTAAGGTGCAATGTTCCTTGTGCTGACAACGCTGAATCGGCGAGTGTTCTCAAAGTGCTTTGGAGCTTGTCAATTGACACAAGGGTACTTTCATTCTAGAGGTAATAACTTTATGGAAGAGATAAAATAGAGGACTCATGATGAGGGCTCACAGCTGCATCAAGATACCGCCTGATAAGATAAGAAGTGAACCCCTTAAGGTCTGAAGTCTTATGAGTTCTTTCAAGATGCCAACAAACCTTAGTATTATGACATGTCACACAGCTTCATAGACCCTCCTTGTGTTCAAGTGCGCTGTTGGCAATTCCAAGGGACCATTGTCAGCCGTGGGGGTGTAGCGGTTGGGGTGCTCGAGAGCTGGCGCACAGGTCGCGGGTTCGATTTCGGCAGCGGCGGTCACATTTCAATGGAGGCGAAATTCTAGAGACTCGTGTACTGTGCGTTGGCAGTCCACGTTAAAACCACCAAATAGTCGAAATTCCTGGAGCCGTCGCCTACGGTGTCTCTCATCATGATATCGTAGTTTTGTTACGCTAAACGCCCCAAATTATTATTACTAATTTCAAGTGCCCCTTGCAAACAAACATTGGGCAGCTAAACGTCGGGAACTGCGCATGCGCATGCCCAGTCTAAAAGCTGAGTGAATTGTTACGTGACTCATACACACTGTGACATCTTCTCTTGAGCAATAGAACTAAGTACAGTCAACTGCTCATGCACCAGCGTCCTGGTAAAATCGCTTCGCTTTTAATATGTGGCTTTCTTCAGCGCTAGATTGACTCAGACGTTTTGTATGTATACCCTGAGCGGCCCTATTGCAGGGCCATTTATGCAGTTTTCATGCAGGAAATCACTGCCGTAGGAGCAATTACCTGATCTATACATAGAGGAAATGCTCTATGGGCGGCACTCGTTCCACATTCGAGAGAATCTTATGTATATATTTGTCGCACATGGTCCCCAATACTTTGTCTTGATCACGAGATGTAGCACATTTAGGACTCTTTCCTTCAACTCTCTCCTGAAGACGCAATGCTCATTCGCAAAGAAACATTTCAAAGGTCGGTGAGTACGCTTGCATATTGCGTGGAATGCAATATACAAAGCCTTCCATGCGTTATGAAATAAAAAAAAATAAGGACCCACCAGTAAACAAGGTATTTCAAAACTATGCCCACAGTTCTAAAAAAACCTCGAAAACGCGATATTTGCTCGTTGTGATCAAACTGTCCTGCATCGGCTTGTGTTTTAAGATGGTTGAACACATCATTCTGGACTATAAGAAAGCTCAAATATTTACTTTTAATTAGTGGAGTTATGCTATTATGCCAAATAGGAGAATGGAAATTTTTCGCGCGGAAACGCCATCGCAGCTGTTACAGAAAAGGCGGCCTCTATCGTTTATTGTGGCGTAATGAAGTTCAGGCGAATTTAACGGTGGAAACAATACCGAAGCACCCATGAGAACAACAAGCAGACTACTATAATGCCGTCACTGTTCAAGAGGACGATTACAGAGGTGACGTTTTCCCCCCTTTATCAGTGTATGTGCAGAAGCCGAAGCCGCGGTTATCGCTTGTGTTGTCCATAGCAAAACGTGCATCATGGCACAGTCCCGTCGAGCATGCTTAGGGTGCACTTTATTGGATGAAGTGATTTGATTGATATGTGGGGTTTACGTCCCAAAACTACCATGTGATTATGAGAGACGCCGTAGCGGAGGGCTCCGCAAATGTTGACCACCTGGGGTTCTTTAGCGTGCACCCAACTCTGAGCACACGGGCATCAGCATTTGCGCCTCATTGAAAATGCAGCCGCCGCAGCCGGGATTTGATCCCGCGACCAGCGGGTCAGCAGCCGAGTACCTTAGCCACTAGACCATCGCGACAGGGTCTTTTTTGCATGAAGTGCTCCCCCTATTTTCAGCTCTCCTCAAAAGTGAGTGTGAGTAACTTTATTCAGTTCCTGTAGCTTACTGGCCAGAGTTCCGGCCTAGGTGTCAGCCGAGAGACCCTGTCCAATGTCTATTCAAGTAGGTCGCGAGAGTTTGGGCAAAAAGCGCTTCAGCGGGTATTGCCAGCGAAATCAGCATGGGAAGTTATGGGAGCTGCAAATGAAGCGTGACTATGTGAAAAACCAGCTTTGATTCAAAGTCATTATATGTGGCGTGTAACGTTCCAAAACCACGATATGATTATGAGAGACGCCGTAGTGGAGGGCTCCGGAAATTTGGACCACATGGGGTTCTTTAATGTGCACCAAAATCTGAGCACACGGGCCTACAGCATTTCCGCCTCCATAAGAAATGCAGCCGCCGCAGTCGATTGATTAAAAGTCAAAGCAATCACGATATGCTTTACAAAAGGCATTTCTTTTCCCCGACATTATTACGTAGGTGTAATGAGCAAACTATTTATGACATTTTTTGTATTATTTCTAAAATATCTTTCTAGCGGCGTCTGGCCACACTATTATTATTCAGTGCAGCCCTTGCACTGCGTAGAGAGACATGCTTGTAAAAGTCGTTAGTGATGACACACCTCCACACGCGCTTTCGTGTGGAGGTGTGTTCTTGCGTGCTTGCGTTCGCTGCAGTGCGCGAAATTGTGAGGTGCGTTTTATCAGTGGTGGAAGTCTTGAGTGCAGTGTCCAACTGGCAACGGAACAATGCGGATTACAATGAACGCCGAGTGCTTCCGTCGATACTTGCGAAAATGATGTGGTGTGCAAGAATGCAGTATAGCAAAAAACGTATGCCTAGTGACTCACGTCTTCTAGACAAAAAAACAAGGGCAATAATTCGGAATACAGAGACCCACTCCCTGGATTTCATTGCCGAACGGTTGTGCCCCCATGGTCTGCGACGACAGCGCAGCTCTGGCCGACTGACTCGCCCTACGCCATCTCCCGACGCCGACAAGAGCTCTCGCCGAGTGGTGCCCCGTCTTCGGACTCCTGCGACCGTGTCCATCTTTCCTATCTCCTCCTTACTTCCGTCGCTTTCTGTCGTTCGCTGTCCCTGCACCGCGCTCTCCCCTTCCTCTCTCTCTCTTTACTTTTATTTTTAATGCTTTTATTAATTATTATTTTATTATTTTATTATTTATTATTTTAATATTCATTATTTTAATTATTTTATTATTTTAATACAAATGCACGCAGCCAACCGCGAGTGGGAGATGAGAATGGCATGGATCTTTATAGTTGAAGGAAGGCCCCATAACCACATGTTTCGCTGAGTAAGTCATTGCATTCCTGTATGCAACTGCCGCTGCATGTTTTCACTTAGCTGAGACTTCGGCAAGACAGTCACGATTGGCTGCATGGATGCGCCTGCTTTCATCGATCCAAAAATATTGTTATGAGACAATGTCCCACAAAAGCGGTTAGATAGGCGCGGAGAAAGACGACATGATTTTGGTGTAGGGCCCCTTTGTGGGTATGCTCCAGGGTAAGAAGGATCATCATCTTCAGCTCTTGTTCTCCATGTTGGCTTGCGCGTTGGCGTGGTGTAAATATATCTTGAAACGCCTAGTATCGCTTGTACCCTCACGTAACAATATAAAATATATTATAACTTGAAAAATGTAGGATTTGAAGCTTGTCAAATATACCTAGATTGTCACGTATAATCCCGGTGCGTATAATCACTGTGGTATGCACCTGCCCGTAATTGGGGATCCACCGAGCAATACCTCTTCCACGACGCCGTGAACATGACCCGCTTCAAGAAGCTCTCTGCCGTTCTTCGATTAGTTTACTGGAAGAAACTCTATACAACGTAGCTCTCTGAACACAAATGTAATAATAATTGGCCCACTTTCCAGCCCCACCGTGGTGGTCTAGTTGCTATGGTACTCGGCTGCTGACCCGCAGGTCGCGGGATCAAATCCCGGCTGCGGCAGCTGCATTTCCGATGGAGGCGGGAATGTTGTAGGCCCATGTGCTCAGATTTGGGTGCATGTTAAAGAACCCCAGGTGGTCGAAATTTCCGGAGCCTTCCACCACGGCGTCTCTCATAATCATATGGTGGTTTTGGGAAGTTAAACCACACAAATCAATCAATCAATCAATCAATGGCCGACTTTCCAGTGGCATGGCTAGGAAAACGCGCCGTGGTGACAAGATCACGTGAAAATTAACGCACTGAATCCAGTTCCACGGTAGCTCGATAGAAAACGCTTTTTCATTCAGCGGCCATGAAAGTGCAATCATTGGTAGCGTCTATTTCATGCGCCAAGTTTGCTGCCGCATTAGCCCGAGGTTGATAAGGTGTGATTGTTTAGTGAAAAAAGCGGCCCGCTCTGCAGGCACGCAGTTTCGTTGAACGGGCTCCTCGCCTCCGCTATCATCTTCTACCAGCTCAAGCTGGTAGAAGATCAGTGGGCGCGGTGGAGGCACGATGAACGTACATTCATCAAACCCCTTTTTGTTTTTTGTACAGGTGAGAGACAACCGTTCAGTTTCCTGCTACAAAAGCAATAACGTGTGTCTTTTGCTTCTACCGTGCCCACTGTCACTGCTTTCAAATATGCTTGCCGTATATCATTGTTTCGTTGACTTGTTGACCTGTTGTGGTGACGTAGAGGAAAACCCGGGTCCTAACACGGAAGAAAAGCTCAGGTCATTAATGAAGGATATGAAGGAAATTAAAACGGCCATCAGTACTAGTAGCCTGAAGTTGAACGAAACAACGCAAAAGCTGACATCAATTGAAACGAAACTGGACGGCCTTTCGTCCTCTGTGTGCGATTACACATCTAGAGTTGACGACCTGCAGAAGACGGTTGATCAACTAATTTTGAAGTTAGACGATTTAGAGAATAGAAGTAGAAGGAACAACCTTATTATATATAGTATTACGGAGCCTCGGGGAGAACAACTCGAGTCGTTGGAAGAAGTTATTCAAAAAATACTTCGTGATACCTTGAGTGTTCACGAC